CGGAAGCTGTACAGTGTTATCCTCTCGCTGCTTATATAATTGTGTTTTCTTTTCACTTGACACTCTTTTCAGCTTATTTTGCTAGCGTAATTAGACTAATTAAGCCTAATTATGGATATTTCACTTTGCTTTTGGATTATACTATGACTCTAAAACCACAACGATCTGTTATTTTATTTTTTTTGTTGTTCCCTGGAATTAGATCTAGTAGTGAGCGTTGGTCTTTATGTGCTTATTTAGTAAAAATATTTAGGCCTAATTATTTGTTTTTAAATTTGTTATAGCTTAATTAATTTGTTTTACTTCTTATTGATTTTATAAATTTTAATTAGGCTAATTATAATATTATTTTCACTGGTCTTCGTTGATACATTTATTTAATATTAGGCTTAGTAAAGTTAATATTATTACGATTTTAGAGGCCTGATAGATAAATTAAATGATTTTAGCGTTGGGTCTAAGTTTACATTACTAATTAGTATTTAGTAAACCAAGTACGCATGGACTAGGACATGTATGTGTGTGCTGTGCCCGCGCTGTGGCGGGCGAAGCCTCTCTCGCTGACAAACCAGCGCGAGCGAGCGAGTCGTGTGTCACACTTGGTCTGTGTCGATGTTTGGAATGCATAGGCATATGCCTAATTCTCGCTCTCGGGTAATCAATTTTTATGCGCTGACATTTGAAAAATCAAATGACAAATAGACACACATCTTAATTAAATACATTTAATGTGAACTTTACAGGGTTCCCACGCAGCCGGGAATTTCGATGAATAGCCGGGAAATATCTTTAAAAACCGGCATATCTTGCTTCTCAGGGCTTTTTCCTTTCGGGTGTCGCGAGATTCGAACCTGGGTAAGTCCTATCCAATTGCTAGTCTCGCAGTGACTCGTGAACCCGTTAGGACGTATAAAACTTGTCTCGCCGGTTCTCGTGGTGCCTCTTTACCGTTGATCTGTTTTCCACCCATCACACATGCGTACATGGTACATCTATGCTAGCATAGGCTAGGGTTACCCATCATTGGCGTGACGTCATTTTTTTTTCATTGTTTTTTTTTTTACAGTTAGTTTAAAATTTAGTTTAGGCTACACGTGGGTTTTTTTTGGCTTATTTGAACTCGCCGTGTAGTCTAGAGATGGACCTACATAAACTGTATTATAAGGACTAGGATCGCACGCGAGTACAGTTTTGTTTAATATTGTTACCTATTTTAAGGATAACTGTTCTAGCAGAATATATAACTATTAGCCAGTGATACTGAATTTGGGAGAAACACAGATTTAAAAAAAAACACGAAATTTGCAAAAGCCAGCCTTTCTTGCGTTCATGAGAAAAAAATTAAAGGCTAGTGACGTCACCAACAATGTGAAATGCGTAGATGGTCAATTACAATTATTTCATGGAGTGGGGAGATAAAAAATTAACAACTGGAGTAAATAGGGCTTTCTTGAACTCACTGTGACCCCAAGTAGGCCCACGCGTTCATACCGCAAGGTGGTTGAGGGGGGGGGGGGGAGATAAAGTGACGTCATCAGCTATCTCAAATAGCAGTTGACGTATGCTATAGGCCTTCACAATGACCTCTCAACGTTGTCTAGTTGTGGGGAGGGGGGATGCCATACCGTCAAGGCTTTTGAAAAGCATACATAATGATGTATTTACTATTGTCTTAGTATGTGTCTGCTTGGCTTAGAAGTTGTTTTTTTTTTTAATTTTTTTTCTTTTTCAAAATACTATTTATTTTTAAAATGCCATAGGATCTAATTTCAGTTATTCCGGTTGATCTCATTTGGGTTCGTCCATAAATGACGTCACACTCGTAAGGGGGGGGGGGTCCGTAATTTTGTGACGGCTGACATTTTTAAAATCAAATAGACACACATCTTAATTAAATACATTTAATGTGAACTTTATATTAATCTAGACCTACAATACTAATTATAACTTGGGATAACCAAGTACTTGGACTAGATTTAGCGCATGCTCACACTGTGCTGTGAGTTTTCTCTCGCTGGTTGACAAAAGAACGCAGGCGGGCTAGCGATGTTTGTAATTTGCATATATCTTCGCTCACAGGCGATCATTTTAATGCGATTGGCCTCTTTTTATTTTATAGGCCTAATTAATTGTATTTGATAGGCTAACTTTTCTGGTTGACAAAACTAAGCGAGCGAGATGTCTGTCACGCGCACTGCCCGTGACGCTGTTTAGAATGTATTTCTCGCTAACTTAATGAATTTGAATGCTATTGCAGTGTTTTTTAAAATAAATCAAATACTTACAAATCTTTACATTTTAAACCGAGCATAGACAAAACTTTGTAAATAACACACCTGTCCCAAGTGAAGTGAGAGAAGAAGGTTAGATTAATTTTACAATGACATCGCAATATTTTATGAATTGCCCTAATTAAGCATTGCTAAAACACTTACACTAGTTAATAAAACATGCATGGGATTGAATATCTTTAAAAAGATTAGATCTATACTATATATTCTTGAACATGTTGTTCATTAATTTGAATTTAGTTTTCCTTTTTAAACACCCTTCCATTTAAAAAAAAATTAAATAAAAATATTTAAAAATTCTCTAGATCTAATTCCATTATGTGATTTTTTATTCTGACGAAGACAGTGTCCATACGAATAGAAATGTGGTAATAAAATCAAATGTACTGTGCATATTCTGCTAAAATCAAATCAGCTGCAAGGTCAACCCTGCAGAGTTCGTCTCTTCAGAAAAGTAATGGCGATCTGGTTGTCACGGATTATTTGGCTTGCAATGCTTGGAGTGGCCAATTAATAAAAATCAGTAATTAATAGTATTTCTCGCTAACTTGGAGGAGTGGTCGGTTGCTAACAACAATATGGCGCCCGGACCGGACGTTTGATTTCCGGCCAAATTCCAGAGACCTTCAACTAATTACATTTAAAAATGTTTACCACGCGCAAAATGGCGGGATTTCCGTGTCATAACAACAAACCATAAGTGGCAGGGTTAGATATGCCAGAAAAGCATTTTAAAATTTGGTTTGGAGAACGGAGGCTAAATTCAAAAGTCGGTCTCATTCAAATTAATAGAACTTCTAAAATATCAGCCCGGATGTCACAAAAATGAATTGGAGGTTGTAGAATTATTAGTTTTATCATTATATGAAGAAATAAATCAAATATTGCATGCGCTTTTTAAAATAAGACACGACTTTTGAATGACAACCAAATTTATTTATTTTTTTAAACCACGTGACCGCTATTTGATGATCACTAGTGGGGAACTCTGGGTACATGGCCACTTAAAAAGTCTAACCTATTTGTGGTTTTCTTTACGTTCAAGCTTAAGTAGAGTTGTCATGGAGAGGTGTGTTGGCCATGGCAGTGAGTTCAATAAATATTAAATTAAGTAATTTAGTTTAAAATGAACTAAAAACTTCAAAATTAGTGCCTAATGGATTAAATATGGATGTCTATCATTCAGTAGTCATGTTTAATTTGAAATTTGAGTAAATTCTAGATTTAGTAAGAAAAACTAGTAATTAAGCTCCAAATGAGTTTATTTTCAACAAATTAAGTATTTGATTGATTAGAGATTGATCTCTAGTTTCCATTGGTAATGTTTAAATCGAAAAATAACGAAATTTAAAATTAGTGAGTATCTCTATTATCTATTGATGAGCATTTGCCATTTTATTTGGCTTTGTTGGCCATTTGGGTTTGGGGGCATTGTAGGCCGTTCGATTCACAGCTTCCGGGTTTGTTGTTTTGAAGCCATCTCACGGCTCATGCGCTTACCAAAAATGGCGACCAGTTTCGCTTTCACTAATGGGTAGAGGGATAAAACTAATGATTACGAAGCCATCGTTAATTTTAGAAATCGGAACTATCCGTTTCTATTTAAGTCTATTAATTAAGAATTGTCGGATCTACTTTTGGCCTAATTTCTTTGTTTGTCTCGCAAGCGGCGCCTTAGTGAAAGTAGCTCTATATAATTCTCATCTTTCGAATCAAATAACTCTAAAATACCCCGTGTATAATAAACCAAACTATGTGTATATGAAACTTGAAAGTATCAATTTTACACACATTACAATTAACTAGTAATAACTTATGGTCGGAATGAGATGTGGTCCGTTCAAGTAATAATGCCATTTTATTATAATCTTTTTTGGTGAACACGAGGCGCGGGAAAATGTGTGCCGCGCAAGAATCCAATCATTTGGCTAGGTTTATGACTGTTTTTTTTATGTCACACCTAAAAATAGAATGTTTACGCTTTCTTCATTGATGATCGTTTTTATTATTTTTTAAACTGAAAGTAAGATTTTAGGTTTTGTAGCTTGGTATACTTACCCTTTATCAATTTTAAAAGCATAGCATGCTGATTGTGAACACATAGTCATAAGACACAGAAATAAAAAGTTACATGCGATGTGCCACACCCGGGTCACACCCCCTCAAGAAAACACGTGTTTATTAAGCTGTTTATCTCACTTTACAACAGTAATTAAAATTAATTGTCAAATTTTTATTACTTATTGGGTAATATTAAGCACATGTTTACTAATAGTTAAAAAGAAACATAAGTAAATTCTGTTTTAATGAAGGTCACGGGTCAAGTTTTTTTTCCTTCTTTCAAGTTCAGTGGAGGGTGCCACAGGCTGACCTGACTTTGGAATTTTTTTCAGTAATAATGACTTTGCACAGAAAGTTAAAATATGCTAAATTAGCTTAGTTTACTAGTATTCTAGCTATTATTAATACATTTTTAATAAAAAAAATCATTCTGTAATTCTCATCAAAAAGCCTAGGCATTGGCATTTTTTAGTTCGCGGCATCTGAGCGTGGTACTCACTCCAACCTGTTTCACTTCTGATTTTACAATGTAAGTTGCTTTTGTTAGGATACTTCTATTTATTTGTTTCCGCAGTTGATATAATAAGACAAGCAGGGGTGTTTTAAAAGTAATAATGGACATTTAAATAAGTTAAATAAGAAACTTACTTATCCTTTTCTGTGCCAAAAATCGATGCTAGATACTCCGCCATATTGTTTATCTGATTTAAAAGTAAACTCTAATTACCCGATTCCACCGCTTCCTAATATACTACTTAACGTAAACAGAATTAAGCAATAAAAATAAGGGAAAATTTAAAATAATTGTTACTTCGAGATATAAGGAGTTAAAATAAATGCAGAACTTTTCTGTTAAGCAAAAGAAGGGCTTCGATAAAGTTTAGAATTTCAGCAGGGCATTACATTATTTATCACGGTTTTCTTCTTCTTCTTCTAATTTAAATAGCCCCTGGGCCAATAGGCCTACTCTATTTAGTATTTATGAGTATTCATGAGTTCGGCGGTTAGTGATCAAGTTAAGAGAAATATAGTCAAACGAAAAAGTTAAAAAGAAAAAAGGGGATAATAAAAGCGGTCTAATAACAAGCTTTTATATAATTATGCATTTAAAAAGAGAAAAAAAAATTAACGCACCAATATTTAAATTACAATAAAGCCCGACTAAGTGGTACATGCAGATAATCGAACAAGGAAGCAAATTAAATAAAAGCTAGTAAAAAGCCACAATATTATCTGTTGAATACATTTACAAAAAAAATTGTTTTAAAAACAAGCTTTTATGTAATAATGCACTAAAAAGGATAAAAAATTACTTTCTTTAAATAAATAATAATACACTACTATTTAAAGAGCTAGAAAGAAAAGCGTGCGTCTCTTCCTAAATATAAGTAAAGGTATGCAATAGATAATATACTGTCTCATGCTTTTCTCTATATACGGTGTATATAAATAAAAATCGATTGCGGTTTGACAACGTTCATGCGATCGCCATGAAACTGGAGGACGAGTTGATGAAAATACTCTCTATTACGGAGAGTGATTAACGTACACTCAAGACTTTCATACACCACGCCCTGTGCGTGCTGAGCAGTAGTGTAGGTAAACCCGTGTCCCGACAAAAATGATCCATTAAATATAGTGCAGGTATTATTTACATTTAAATAACTCAGTTTTACAAAATCTGAATCCGCAGCCAAAGTTAAGAAAAAAGACGGCGACATAGCTTTTCTACAAACTGATTATACTGTTTTCTACAGCAATAGGATGACACCAAAATTAAAATTGTTACAGGGTAGTTAATAGTGACTGGTAAAAGCGGGGGGGGGGGGGGGGGGAGGAGCGCTTTTTCGCCATCATGTGTTTGTGTTTACGCCTGGTGTACACCACTGTGGCGGCGGACGCAGGTATCACGTGATTTAGGTCACGTGTTTGCAAGGACTCTATAAGAGGACATCCATTTATGACGGCACTCTACCTTGGCGATTTCAACCCACACCCCTCTCACCATCACACAACCAAAAAAAACTTAGACCACACCAGTGGCGTAGCCAGGATCGTCTCAAGGGGGGGGGGGGGGGTTCCAATTTTTACCCGGGGACAAACTTTCGATTTGCACCCCCCCCCTCAAACTTTCGATTTGCACCCCCCCTCAAACTTTCGATTTGCACCCCCCTCAAACTTTCGATTTGCACCCCCCCCCCCTCAAACTTTCGATTTGCACCCCCCCTCAAACTTTCGATTTGCACCCCCCCCCCCTCAAACTTTCGATTTGCACCCCCCTCATACTTTTTATATATACCGAGGGGTCTATGGGGGGGGTTATGACCCCCCCTAACCCCCCCCCCCCCTGCCTACGCCACTGGACCACACCCTAAAAAGCGCATCACACCTCAGCTTACTACAACCCCCTTAAAATTGCAGTTTAATTAATGTTTAAACACTCATTTATTTATTTTTCTAAAATAATGACTGCTCTCGGTTAACATACTAGTATAGGCGTATACTATTAATTTCTATTACAATTAACAGTTTTCTCAAACGCGAAATAACAATTCCACTTAAGTTTCTAACATTACTTTTTGTAAAATCTCGATATAGCGTCGGTTATTACGGAATTGTACAGCGGTAAAAAACAGTAAAACCATGGCGTAGTCAGTCGAGCCATTCAGGAAACCACCGAAACTACTGTAAACCATCATTTATTTACCGCCATATTACTCTTAATACATAATGTTTAAAAATGTGCATGGGTTGATTTTAGTTGCATTTTAAATACTGTTTAGCTAATTTTTTTTGTATTTCTAATTATTTTCAGTCTATGTGCTAATTATTGGGTAAAACTTTATTTTAGCGTCGGAAATTATCGGGTAATGTTAGTTGAGTTTCGGTAACTAAAGCTACGGTAAACTATGGTTTATTTGACCATTGAAATATAAATAAAGTGAAAGTCGATTGTAGTAAATTAATGTTTTAATTTTTTAAGTTTAATCGAGAAAAGGAAACAGGAATAAATATAATAGTAGATTTAAATTAGTAGATCTAAAAATTATATATATAAATAAATATATATATAAATAAACATGACGTAAGCATATAGATCTATTTTTACTTTTTAGCCAGCAGGAAAACACCAGATTTAAAAATAGATCTACTTCAAGCAGGAGTGTAAGTAAGTGTAGATTGTGAATCTATTTTGACGTAAATAAGTTATAACTGGATCTAGTCTAGAGATCTAGAGTCTAGATTAGATCTATAGGCCAGTAAATACACAATATTTGTCATAAGTTACTTATTTATTACTTAAAGTAAAGCACATATAGATTCTAGATCTAGATCTAGATCTAGCCTAGACATTATTTACAATTATTTGAAGAAGAAAAGGTAACTTTATTACTTTAACTAATAATTATAATTAATAATTATATTATAACTATAACTAATTTAATAATTTATTTAGTTAGATCTAGATCTAGTAAAAGTCTAAATTTTCTAAATCTAAGTCTAATCTTAAAGTCTTGCTTAATCTAATAAATTAAATAAATAATAGCCTAATAATTAATAATTAGTTAATAACGAGTAGGGCCTAATATTTAGGACTTAGGCGTTATAATAAATTATTATAATTTTAATATTAATATAGGGCCTAATATTATAATAATATTGGTAATCTATCGTTTTAGGTACGTAAAATCGCCCGCGACTAGTAATGTGAAAAGCAGGTGACTCCTTACATTTTAATAATTATTTTACATTTTGAGGAGGATTTATGTTTTGAAAAATACAAAAATGTTTCCTTGTTTCATTTTTTCCCCTTTTTTAAACAATTGAATTATACCAAACTTTTCAGTAATATATGAACACCAGCGATGTTTCCAACAGATGCAACCATGCTCATTTACTATAGAGTAGCCATCTTGTTTAAGTTTATTTTTATAGACTTATAGCGCGAGATTCAGGCGGAAGTCACTCTATTTTACAAATGGCTGCTGTTTATATAGCAAATCTTGCTTGCAGACACTGCTGTTTAAAGTTAATTTCTGGCCTATATTGATATATTTAATATTTAGCCAATGATTTAGGTTTATTATTCATTTATCTATAATATTTGACACAAACATATCACAGTATACTTCTATTACAGCCTTGACAATGAGGTAACAATTTCGTACATTAATAGCCACAGGCGATTTTACGTACCTAAAACAATAGATTACCCTAATATTTATTATTAATAATAAGATTAATATTAATTAGATCTAAGTTAGGATTAATATTAATAATAATGGTAATCTATCGTTTTGGGTACGTAAAATCGCCCGCGGCTAGTAATGTACGAAAAAGTTACCTCATTGTCAAGGCTTTAATAGAAGTATATCTATACTAATAGTTTCGCTGTCTGTGTATCTATCTATCTATCTATCTGTCTGACAAGAACGCTCTAGAGAAAACACAAGCAAAAATTCTATCTGACAAGAACGCTATAGAGAAAACACAAGCAATTTAAAAACTCTCACAGTGAAACGAAAGAGGAGGTATGACGTCATATAGTAGAAAATAATATCAAGCCGGGGAGTGCACACAGTAATATGACGTCATTGATTCTCGAGTAAACATTGAATACAAAGGCAATTTTGTCTAATCTAAGTGGTTTGCGTGAAGAGTTTCTTTCATACAATTCTTCGGGTAGGGGCGAAGCCCCACCCCCGCGTAAGAACGTCTGAGCCCCCCCCCTCCCCAACTCAAAAAAAATTTCCTCATCGATACTCTATAATAAAATTACCGCCTAATTAATGTGTCTAATCTAAAAAGTGGTTTTCTTGCAATTTCTTTAATGCAATTCTTCGGGTAGTGGCTAAGCTCGACACCAGTGTTTCTTTCAGACTTTTTCCTCCCCGGAGAGGGGTGGGCGTACTTAAAATTTTCGGGGGCGGGGGTAGAATTTTCGGGGAGGGGGCGGACACTGGAAAAAGTATATAATTATATTTTGTTGAATGGGACGGTAGACATGTTTTTTTGGGGGGTGGGGGGGGTAGGAGTGGGGGGGTGGGGGGGGTTTTAGTTTAGAGAAAAGAGACAGCACTATCAGCCTAGCGCCCGTTGTATCCTTCCTCAACGAGACATGTTTTTTGGGGGGTGGGGGGGGGGGGGGGGGGTGGGGTGGTTTTAGTTTAGAGAAAAGAGACAGCACTATCAACCTAGCGCCCGTTGTATCCTTCCTCAACGAGACATGTTTTTTGGGGGGTGGGGGGGGGGGGGTGGGGTGTGTGGGGGGGGGGGGTGGGGTGGTTTTAGTTTAGAGAAAAGAGACAGCACTATCAGCATAGCGCCCGTTGTATCCTTCCTCAACGAGACATGTTTTTTTTTTTGGGGGGGGGGGGGGGTGGGGGGGGGTGTGGGGGGGGGGGGTGGATTTAGTTTAGAGAAAATAGACAGCACTATCAACCTAGCGCCCGGTGTATCCTTCCTCAACGGGCCATTTTTCTCGTTTTAATATATTTGTGTTAAATATTATAGATAAATGAATAAATAACCTAAATCAATAGCTAAATATATCAATACAGGCAAGAAATTAACTTTTAACAGCAGTGTTTGCGAGCAGGATTTCCTATATAAACAGCAGCCATTTGTAAAATAGAGTTGCCTTCCCATGATCTTGCGCTATAAGTTAACAAAGAAAGAACTTAAACAAGATGGCTGCTATAGTAAATGAGTATGGTTGCATCTGTTGGAAACATCGCTAGTATTCATTTATTATTGAAAAGTTTTAATTCAATTGTTTGAAAACAGGTACATAAATGAAACAAGGAAAGATTTTTGTATTTTTCAAAACACAAATCCTCCTCAAAATGTGAAATAATTATTAAAATTTAAGGAGTCACCCGTTTTTCACATTACTAGTCGCGGGCGATTTTACGTACCCAAAACGATAGATTACCATAATAATTTAGTATTTAGAATTTAAAATATTAAAATAAAATAGTTATAATAATATTACTAATAGTATAATAGTACATTAGTTTGATTTAGTTTAGACCTAGATCTAGATCTACGTCACCGCTGATAATCTAGTTAATAATAATTATTAAATTAATTGTAAATAATTAAATCTAGATCTAGGTACTATAACTATAACGGTACTATAACCTAGAGACCAGATCTAATTCTAAGCACCACACTTTTTAGCAATTGTAGGAAAAAATTCACAGAATAAACACAAGAAAAATGTCACAGGAGTTTGTTAATACTTTTATGTAGGCCCCTATTAATCAACTGACGATTAATTAAATTTACAGTGTAGAGTGTAGGCGTAATGGAAACATTTTAGATATATGAATCATATATGTGCGTAGGTTGTATAAGTATAGTAATATTTATAACACAGATAAAAATATTTAGTATGAAGTATGTTTTAATTGTGGTATACATATAATTTAATAGAATACTCCAACCTTCAAGGTTTTCTTCATATTTTTTAACTTTAATATTAAACTTTAAATTAAATTGAAATTGCATAAAGACTAAGACGTAGTTAATGTGACTTTCTGACCTCAACTCATCGCAACAATAGTTCAACCACCTGTACTGCCTACCTTTATTATGCTCATTACATAACAAAGCATAGGATCAAAACAGAAAGCTGACACTATACAAAGGCTATCATTGACGCAAAACTTCAACAATACACATTATGGACGGACATGGCAGACAGAGAAGAAGCTGACCAATGAAAGGCCTACAGCGAAAAACATGCAAAACACAACAATGTGCATACATTTCTTTTATTAATTTTTCTACCGCATATTTATCTAAATTAGTAAATATGTAACAAAAGTTGAGATCTAGTACTAATTCAAGTATTTTTTAACATTGAAACATTCTAATATTCTAATATAGGTCAATAAATAAAATCTCCTAGTTTAGACAAACGTCACATTTCTAACCCTTCATTAATTAGTTTGTGGTGTGTGTACTGAACTATACTGTTATTTATTGCCTGAGATCTAGGAACACCATACTTTTAGATTTTAGATGTTGTGACTTTTCTGAAAATTCATTAATGTTTCATACATATTTAGTTATAGCAAAAAGTAGGCCTAGATAATAGATATTTCCTATTAAAATTCCATTTGATTCGAGGGCGGGGGGTGAGCGATGCCTGAAAGAAGCTCTGTTCACTAGATAGTAAGTAGGCTTATTTTATCGTCTAACTTCATTATAGTCTATAAGTTGAAACTTTCATTTCAGAATTATTTTAACCTGAACCTAAGGTGCACAAATATCAATCAAGGTTCAATTAATAATAATGGCGCAGATTTCATTAGAACAAAAAGGTGTGATGGAAGAGGGAGATTATCAAGATCAAGCCTTAAATTTAAATCCTAATGCCTATAACAATGAAGGTAATGTAAAAATAATATCTAAACTATTTGTAGTACCAAGTTCCTTCATATTAGTTTATTATAAGCTTATATTACTACAGTATGGCTACCATTATAATATTATTATACTATCCAGGCCTTTGAATTTTATAAATTCATTTTATAGGGCTCCTTTCAATAGCCCAACTTCAACACTTGGGGTGGGGTAAGGCTTACTTTAAAAAGCACTCTTTTTGAACCTGATGTTCCATGGGGCAAGTGAAGAAGAGTTCACCTATTTCTGTGACCTTGGCATATGAAGGGATTGTGTGAGCAGCCTTATGGCATGCCCTGCAACCTTTACTTTCCCTAATGTGAGTTAGGTACCCATCAGAGCTGGGTGGACTCAGGAGTTTTCTACTGACTTGAACCCGGATTCAAACTCCAGATTTTTAGGTTAGCAGACTAGCACTCTTCTGTTGGGCCACTCTGTCCAGTAAATTTCTGGGTTTGATATATACCATTACAAATTGAGTTACATTTCAGGTTTAAGTTTAAGTATCATAATAAATATGATTAGGCATATAATTTTATGATAGAATTCATATTGTTCATAGAACAATGATGACACTTGTTTATAGTAATATACATATTTCGTGTCCTCTGTTAGTTTCAACGAGTGACTACTGTCAACCCACAAAAGCTGGACTTATCAAAGCTGAAAGTGTTGGTAAGTTTTTAAAAAGTTTGAGTCATTATTAAAGTTGTTAATGAATAAATTTAGTCAAAGCTCATTCAGTTCTTTATGTGTTAAATATTTATATGTAAAAAATGAAATAATAAAATCAACTTAACACAGGTGTCATAAAAAAATGAATGCACAAACACATTTATGATGAACAGTAATGATGAGGAGAAGTTTAGAAAAATTATGTCTTGTATGTTACCATTAGTTACAGAAAATCTTTGTGTTTTAATATATATTTTTATAATGTATCATTTTCAGTGGAATCTGACAGTAAAGAAAGTGAAAATGATGACTTTGATGGTATGATTTTGGTTTCGCCTAATTGTGAATTTTGAATGTATACATCAGTTCATTGCTAGTTCTAGAATTAGTGAAAATAGCTGAAATATTTATTAAAATTAAACTTCAGGAGTTTTCTTTCTTTTAACTACTTTTATTACAAACACTGTAGTTTAAGGGTCTTACACAAATGATGTCATAAAATTTTAGCCAATTTACCCCCACTTCATTTCCATCACATATTGTCAAAAGAAATTATGTTGCAAAATTGCATGCACCACTACATTAACCATGCTCTCTACAAAAATGAATAGCTTTTTATTTTATATAATATAAGTATTACAAAAGGTATTTTTAATAAGTTTTTTAAATCTCTCTGCCCTCCCACTCATCTCATTGTTACAATAGTCAGAATCCCCCTAGATGCATTATATCTTTAATTGATGACCCTCTTATTTATTATTTTGTTTTCTTTTTAACCTAGTTTCCAAAAAAACACTTACCAGAGAATCTTTACATGACAAGGAAGTAATATATGTACCTCTCTCTCTAATGAATAAGAGTAAAGTTATCAAATTAAAGAAAAATCCCTCGTAAGTTTTTATTTTTATATTTTCTAGTTTTAAAGTAGTCTCAACTAATCACAAGGTGTGTTATTAATTTATTACACATATTTTAGAAATTTTAATTACAAGTTTATTAATAGAACATTTTAAAGTGTGAACTTTTAATTGACCTGAAAATAATTATCTATTTTAGATCAATTGTTATAGAAAAGCATGATTGTGTGCAGGTTGATGTTTTTCTACAAGCAAATGAGAAGGTATTTTATGGTTTTTAAATTGGTTTCAAAATTGCATAATTTTTGTGTGCTGTCAAATGTAGAGAATTAGAGATATTTTTACTTCTTGTAGTTTAAAGTTTAATATTTTAGGTTGTTTTTTTTTTGTTAATTAATTTTATGTTATTTTTTTATGTTTACAATTTAGATTTCCCTTGATGCAAAAAGTATTGTAGAAAAAACAAAAAAACCTTACTCTGTGAAAGGGAGCTTTGGTGAAGTTTTGAAAATCAAGGATCAACCCATTGTAATAAAAAAGGTAAACTTTTTAATAAGATAAAAAAAATTTCCACATTAGAATTACTTTACAGCAATACATTTTTAAAAAAATTGAAAAAATTTTCAACATTTTTATTGTTTGCATGTGTGTTTCTATGGAAAGTTTAGTGAACTCCTGAAGTAGTGATGATTGCACACATAATATCTCATGACACAACAATATCTTAGACATCTCATTTTTTAAAAAATGTAATGGTATAAATTATCTAGATTTACTAAAATAATTTAGTTTTTATCTAAAGAAATGTTTCTTAAAATATATTTTCTAATTGAAATCTTTTTGTCTGAAATTTTTTTATCATTGAATAATAACATAAATATATCCTTTTTTATATTCGTTTAAACTATTATCAGCTGTTCTTTTACAGGTGAAAGAAGTGAAATGGAATGAAATATTTGTTCCATCTTTGATCTGTAAAGCAGAAAACATAACCAAAGTCTTAGGAGTTTTTTTTTACTTGGATTGTAAATATATTTTTCAAGAAGATGCAGGTAATGATGGAAAAGATAACAATTATGTAGTCAAGTTTATCCTAATTAAACAGGATAACGTTTCTATATAATAAACAAGTTGTTGTAATAATTAATAACATTTTATTAATTACATTAATTTTCTCATCTCTTAGGAGACAAGCATTTGTGGTAGAGTATATTCATATGTCTCGAGTTTGATTCTAAACTTGATGTTGTAGGATGAGTCCACCCAGCTCGGATTTATATATGAATCAAGTTGGGGAAAGTAAATAGTTCTGGGTTTAGAATTGATCACACTATCCTTCATGTGCTGAGATAACAGAAAAAATTAACTCTACCTCATCTGCTATAGTAAAAGATTTGATAATGAAAACAGTTTTTAAACATACAAAGGTGTTGACTTATTTAAGATATTTTAATCCTCAGGGTGCTCACTTATAGAGTGTATAATAAATAATAACGGTTTTACAAAGTTCATTGAGCGTGGTGAAAAGAATTTCTTGAACATTGCACTTGACATTGCTTATGGTTTGGATGCCTTACATTTTTTAAATCTTTGTCATTGTGACATCAAGCGTAAGTTAATAATTAACTTTACTAAATTACTCTTACTGTTATGATAGAAAAATAAGTAATGAAAATGATAGATTTGTAAAAAAAAACCTTCACATTGAAGAAGAAATGTCATTAAAATTTAATACCTATAAATTTTAATGAAATTTCTTCTTCAATGTGAACATTTTTTTTGCATCATTTATGCCTTTATTACTTAACTTTTAAAATCCTTTTTCTAGATGCTCAAAATGTTTAGGTCAACTCATGTCACACTTTTAGTTTTTTTTTTTTTTTCATCATTTGAAAAAGAAAAGCTGTAAAATATAGTACTCACAAGGTCAACACAGGCAGACTATCTAAAAATGTATTATTAGAATGAATTCTAATGTTTGTTACCTCATTATTTTTCACACAGCTGGAAATATTTGCGCCAAACGTAACCCTGATAACTCATGGAATGCAAAATTAATAGATTTTGGTTCCAGTAAGCATGCACAAGAAAAGTGTGGAATCAGCGGGATCACCCCAGAATACCTCCCTCCTTCAGCAAATAAAATTCTACTTCTTGGTTCTAAGATGGTAACGGGGCAAACATTTTTTTACTTGAATTCAAAACTATTTACACTAGTTAATTTAAACACTTTGCTTTTATTTAAAGCTTAGTCAATAGGAACTTTGAAATAGAAATGTTTGATTTTATTCAAAGATTAATCTTAAGAGACTTTGAACATATTTTATCAAATGTAGTGGCTTGGGGTAGTTGGGGCAACATGGACTCTTTATCCTTTTTATAAAGCTTGTGGTTAGCTAGACTATAATTTGGAAAATATTTTGGATTTTTTTTTACTTTAATACTTTTAGCCTAAAGTCATTAATCATTAGCTTATAGCTAGTTTCACTTTAATAAAAAAAACAAGAAAAGAAACATCTTTAAATAAATTTTGTTCTAGCTAAGCCTGGACTGCACAGATGATGTTTGGGCTTCAGGAATGGTGATATTGTTTCTTATGATTCATGATCATCCCACAATGGCACATTATAAATCAGAATTAGAAAAGAATAGTCCAAATATACAGAAGAACAACAGTCCAAATAAACAGAATGACAGTCCAAATATACACTACAGGAAGGCAGTTATGAGTATGGTCAGTTTTTTAAAAAAAATCTGTTTTAATTGATTGATTTACTTTTTTATGAGATTGAGTAGCTTTCTTGTATCAAATGTTTTTGCACTCCCCCCCCCCCCCCCCCACGCTGTTATCATTAGGTTGCTCTATTTTGTTTTCTTGGCATTTGTGCCTAATTATTTATAAAATACCATGCAGTTTAGTTTAAATTTGATTATGCAATTATTTAGTACAACTTGTCTTGGCAAACTAATTTAATTTTTAATGCCTTACAGATAGAGAAGTTGACTGATCCGCTGCCGGACTTTTTTCTTCCTAAAACACCTGTAGTAACTGCCACATTACTACAAAATGTTCTTGTTGTGGATCGTCACAAGAGATGGACTGCTAAGGAAATGTGTGATTTCTTGAATGGTAAATTTTCTGGCAAAAAATTAATTTAAGACAATTTCTATTATCTCTAAATAAGATTCTGTGCATTTTTAGGTCTATGTTGTTTTATTTAAAAATTCTTTTTAAATTCTGGAGGATTTTTACTTATACATCCTTAATTCCAACAACCATTTAACTTTGGTTAGTTACAAAATATTTTGTAATTAAATAACTTAAATTACTAGGGTCTAGCTGCCTTTTTTTCTCTGGTATTTTGCCATCTTTAAATTAATTATCCCTTTCTATTTGTAGCAAAAATTGATAATCTTGACTTGACAAGCCAGACAGAATTTAATAGTAGTCAGGTAAGACTTCGCAAAGAGGTCCTTTATATTATCTTCTAACAAATTTTACTCATTCTTTTCTCTTGAGCAACATCAGCCTTTATCTCCATTTTCACTGTTTAACCAAGTAATTTATAATTTAATAGTCCTGTTTTATCTAATTTTGCTGTCTTAGTCAATGTATTATATATCACCCATTGACATGGGGCTTCAAGGCAATTTTAGTTTTTTCATTTCTAGTTTAATATGTTCACATTGTATGCTTTTTCATCTGATGATAATGAGTAAATCTTTATTATTCTCCTTAGTTGATTTGATTGACATAAGAACTTATTCACTTATAATTATGTTTACCAGATTGAAAGTTCTATGGAAGATGTGGACATAAAGACATGTAAAGGCAAGCGTGGACCATGCATACCTGTTACACAGGAGCCAGCTCCCGACATTAAAAAATTCCTATCTCAGTATGGTAAGAAATTATTTTGAATGTCTGTTATTATCAGTGACTTAGAAGCTTATCATTCACCTTTAGGTATAAACAATCATGTTTTACTCTCTTAAAATATTACCAAAATGATTTTTTATTTTTTTTTACAATTTATTGTAAAACTTATAAATTTTTAAAGTTTGAAAACTTTGGATTCAAGTTTAATAAAAAAAAAAGCCAATATGTTTAAATTCATAAGTTCTATAATATTTTACTTTCAGGTAGAAGGCAGCATGATATGGCAAAAGCAGATTTGCAAAAACAACCTGGTAATGTTACTCCAGTAGGTGCTGGATCTTCCTTTGCTAGACAAACTGGTCAATTCGAAGCTAACACTAGACTATGCTGCGAAGGGAAACTACTTAGAAGCAGATCACCATTGAGACTAAATAAAGTAGATTCAGTCTGGGGCACAGTAACAAATGAAGTAGAGCCGACTAGGGACCGAGTGCTAAATAAAGTTGAGCCAGCTAGAAGCACAGTGCTAAATAAAGTTGAGCCAGCTAGAAGCACAGTGCTAAATAAAGTTGAGCCAGCTAGAAGCACAGTGCTAAATAAAGTTGAGCCAGCTAGAAGCACAGTGCTAAATAAAGTTGAGCCAGCTAGAAGAACAGTGCTAAATAAAGTTGAGCCGACTAGGGACAGAGTGCTAAATAAAGTTGAGCCATCTAGGAGTAGAGCACCATATCCAGTAGAGTCCATCTGTGGTCAAGTACCACATGAGCTAGGACCTGTTTGGACCAAATTACCAAATAAAGCAGGGTATGTTAGAAGAAGAACATCAAACGAGGGAAACCCACAGTGTAAAGAAGAGCAAGACTCGTGGGGACTGCAAATTAAAAAATTACCTTTCGTGGGAGGGTTAACCACCCAAAAATTTGAACCCTGCCAGCCTCAGGTGCATCCCTCAACCTCGGTGGAACAGGACATGGACTACATTATCCACTCAACTCCAGAGTGTGAGAACATCCCAGACTTTGAAGCATTGTTTTAATAAACATTATTATTTCTGGGTTCCTAAATTACCATTTTCTGCTCAAAATGTGAACCTCCAAAAAGGTTAAGAACCACTGATCTAGCAGAAGCTCTTTTATGTTAAGGCACAGTATAACTAATGACTATTGTAACTGTCACTAATAGCAACATTTTGTATTTAATATTTTTCCAGTGTTAGCTTTCTTGTTAAGAAAAACATTTCTGTTAGCGTATTTTTTCATGTGGCTTATTTTTTGTAAATGTATGTTTTATAGCTTTACTTCATTTTATTACTTGTTTTATATATTAAAAAAATTAGCTTAAAGTTTTTAATGTATGGCCCTTACAGTTACTTATGAACATTCCTTTTTGCATTCTAACACTATAACATTTTTTTTTTAAATTTACCTATAAAATAAACCCTATAATTCCATTATTATAATCATACACAAAAACTCTTCCTTTAATTTTACAACTAAATTGTCTCATCAACACCATTGTGTTTCAAATTCTAAAATACTGTGTCATAATATACAATAATTTATTTTTTTTGTTTTAAACTAAAATATATATATTTAAGGTATTTTTTTAATAGGTCTTACCATTGTTTATGCTTACATTATTTTTAAAATTTTATCTGAAATCGCTTGTGGTAAAAACTTTTAAATGTCTACTATATCCACTGTTTTAATTTGTAGAAAATAAAATTGTTTGTCAAAAATTTTGTAACTCAGATTATTTGGTTGAATGATATGAAAATGGAAAAGTTACCCTATAGAATCTAAAGATCCATGGAGCAGGTGAAGCAAAGTTCACCTGATTCTGCTGCCTCTGGATGTGAAATGATAGTGTGGTCAGCACTATGCCCAGCCACCTTTATTTTCCTTAATGTGAGTCTGCCCATCAGAGCTGGGTGGATTTAGAAAACAGAATTTTACTAGAAATATGAAAAAAAAAAACTATATAATATAATAAAATGACAATTGATATCAGTAAAACTAATACTAATAGTTATTGTGATAGATGTAACCTGTATAATATTTTTATTGAGGAAATAATTTGCAAAATGAGCATTAGCATACAAAAAGATTGCTTTTTATGATCTCTAGAATTATTGTTCCTAATACATGGGAGAGTTTACATTTACAAGTTGTCCTATGGGGCAGTTGTTTCCCCATATACGTGCAATATTCAATTACAAAATAATAATTTAAAAATATAATGCGAATCAATTTTTTCCTCTACACAGAAGTACGCAATAACCGATAAATTTATTAGCAGAGCGTCTATGGTTTCCTACAGGCTGGATTCAGACACATCTTCTTCAATCTTAGTTCTTAGTCTTTTTCTTGTAATGAGAATTGCGTTTTCTGCTTTGACTTTGTAAGTTATTACAGATTTTTGAAGTTTTAATGCAAATTTTAAATTGCAGACTAAGTCACCAATTATCTCTAGATTCTACTTAAATGTAGCTACCTACTTGACATTACTTGATCTAGAAATCTAGATCTAAAAGACACTCAGACTGGTAGCTAACAACTACGCTAGATCTTTAATCTAATATTGTAATATAGATAAATATTGTAATGATCTAGTCTAGACTAGACAGATTTACTTTTCTACCCGGTACTACCATGACACTAGGCCATTAAAAGTAAAGGTCCTTTTGTGACCTCAGCATTGGAAGGGATAGTGCCATCTTTATTCTCCCTAACTTGAGTTAGGTACCCATCAACTGTGGCTCCTAGCACAGTCTATGTTCAACTCATTCAGGTGACCAACTTAGCACTTTCTAAATAAATCTAAGTTTGGATAATCACATTAGTTATAGTCAGATCTAGTATCTAGATCTAGATTGGCTAGCTTAAAATCTTAAATGTCTGGGCAGTGACTAGTAGAGTATGACTAGCTGCTCCTGGTCTTGTATTTTTATTTTCTAATCCACATTACTGGGATTTAACACTTTTGAATTTTTATAGTTTAGTATACCTATAATACTGTATAGTATATCAATTTATCTGAATAAAACTGTTTACCAGCTAAATAAACTTCACTTCACTGCAGCAACATTTTATAATGGCAGCCAAGCCAAAGAAAGAGGATTCGCTTGCCAGTCTTAAAGCCAGTGAATCTCATCTTAAGCTGAAAGTTAAGGAGGTAATTTAAGTATAAGAGAAAATTGAACAAGCTAGAAAATTTTCTGTGATACCACTATGATTAATTTTTTTAATGTTTCAGACAGTAGGGGCCAATAGTTCTATTTTACATTAAATTCTCTGGAAGAACAATGTTCACGCGTGTATTAGGTTATAATCATGAATGTATTCTAGCATCAATATCATTAAAATAAAACTGATAAGAAACCAGTATCATCACAAGGCAGGTGTGGGGTGCGACTGCTTCTAGTGATACTATCACAAAATTGGAAACTTTTATCCTGTTAAATTAGTACTTGATTAAGGCTACCTACATCCATAATAAAAATTGATCCCATCCAACATGGGGAGGGAAGATTACATTAAGGTTAAGATGCAAACAAAAAATTATCGTACTTTGAAACGCGGGGGGTGGCACCAACTTTTTAAAAATTTAAACTTTTTACATTTCATGTGATGTGTGGCTGTAATAACTGACATGTATTTTTTTAATAAATATTTATTTTGAACAAGGTATTAGGTGTAGATATTCTTAAATTTCCCTGTATAGTTGGAAGAAGAAGTACTGTCATTAAAGAGAAGACTTGATGAACTGAGGAAAGCTAAAAATACCACAATTTTAAAGAGAGAAAGAGAAATTTTGGAGGTTGGGGTGCCATTTGGTAGAAGGTATCTGGCATTTTATTGTATGGCATAACAATCTTTTCATGCTATGAAAATTTGCTTAAAGCTTCTCCAGCAACTCACATAATGCCATGTGCAAGTAACTGCCCAGTGTCATTTGGATAATCTTTCAATTATTTATTGACCAGGGGAGACCACTATTAAAGGGAAAGGATTTAAAACTGTCTACTTTTAGTCAGATTGATTCACCAACATTTAATGGAAACTTATCAAAGGAAGATAAAAATAGTGCTTTTATTAGTTATTTAAATTTTTTTTAGTATGATCATGATATTGAGTTTTAGCTGCTGCAATTTTAACCCAAACAGTTGAGTCTCAACTGTTTAAAATATATGGTAACTTTTTTTTTATTTTCGAAAGAGAATCAAAAAGTAATGATGATAAAGAAATGGAAACAAAGCTGGTTGGTGTTGATGAAAAAGAAATGGAAAGAAGATTAAAAGAGAAAGATGCAGAATGGGAAAGAGAAATGGAAGAACTGAGGAAAAAATTTGCCAGTGAAATGGAAGCTTTAAAATCAAAGCCACAAGAGGTTGCTGTTTTGAAGTTGTAAATTTTTTAAATATCAGCTTAGAATTGAAAGAAAGTGCACAAGTATACTAAATTGGCACAACTAAAATAGATGAATTTTAAGACTATTATTATTTGGTTATGAATTGGCCCATTCTGAAGCTTTGTTGGAATTAATTTTTAAAATATGAAATTTACTGAATGGTAGGACCTAAAATGTGTGTAAATTACAAGCGTATGGTAGGTTGATATCAAGGAAAATTACATTTTGTGCTTCAATTGTTTTTTTTTAAAGTTTCCAACGAAGCTTTAAATTATGCCAATTCATTAACTTGGTCAAGTTGAGTAAAATTTAAGGAAAAAGTACTGTATGTAACACCATAATACTCTAAAACAAAACAGTGAGGTAAAGTTGTGTTACTTTCTAATATCTGACATAGATTATGACTGTTTATAAAATTGAAAAGCTGCTTCTTAAAAACATCTACACCTCCGACTCAATTATTCAGGACTCAAGCTGCGGTCATGAGACAGAACTGGAGTTTTTGCGCAACAGAAATGAGGAACTAGAAAACGACAACGCTGCCATGACCATCCAGAACAGAGAGCTTAGGGACAGGGTGTTTGTGTTGATGGGAAACCTCAGTGCTAAAGAGGCCAGTTGGTGTGACATGGAGGAGAAGCTGAAGGCAGAGGTAAAGTTCCTGAAGTAGTCAGAAGCCTTTTCAAACCTGACGGTCCATGGGGCAAGTGAAGTAGAGTTCACCTGTTTCTGTGACTTTGGCACATGAAGGGATAGTGTGGTCAGCACTATGCCCAGCTGCATTAACTTTCCCCAGTGTGAGTTAGGTACCCATCAGAGCTAGGCTTGAGAACTTGGATATGAACTGGAGACTTTGGGGTTAGCAGTCTAGTGCTGTACTGCTAGGCCACGCTGTCTAATTCATCTTGACATTAATATCCACAAAAATTCGCATTTCTCTTTTTTTACTCTCCCAGATGCCACTGTTAGTTTTCTTTTACATTGCATTTTTAATTATTTCTCCCCCCCCCCCTCAAATGTAATAAAGTGTTTTGATTGTTTTTGTTATATTTTTGCTTGTTATTTAACACTGAGATATTGTGCTTTATGTGAGCAATTTTTGTGTATAATAATGTAAAAAAAAACAACTGTAGGTCTACATATTTATAATCTTGTTTTTGCTAACTTAAGCTATCACTCACACATGTACAAAGATTGAGCTATCAACACTCACAGAATTTTGTTATAAATCCATTCCTTAGCTGACAAGGTCATGGGGAGCCAAGTACAAGGAGTGGATGGATCGCACTGAGGCTAAAATTGAAGATTTGCAGAAAACAAATGCTCTCTTGTAAGTGTTTTCCCAATATATTTTTTATTTAAAAAATAATTAATTCAAAATAATAATATACACAGATGGTAACCAATAGATCTACCCAGTGTTTAGAAGTATAATATTTCATTTTTACGAGGCAACGTTTTAGGGATGTTGTGCTATAATTGTCTTCAACTTTAATATTAACTTTACCTTTTCTTTTTGACAGACGAACTTATTTAAAAGCCTACAACCCAGAAGGTTCTGACCCTACAAAGAAAGACTCAGATTTTGACCATTAATAATTTACTGACCAACTTCATATTGCAAATAGTGAACATATATTTCATGGTTTAACATTACTCTATACTGAATCTAAAAATGAAATGTAGCCCTTAGATTTTATGGGTAATATTGGGGTGATGTTAAGTGATATTTTCACATGTACAGTGTAGTACTACAGCACATTCAGCAGACAGATCAGAAACTTGATTGTCACATCATTTGTTAACTGCATCTTTTAAAATGGTGTTTGTTTTAATTACTACTTGTAAATACAATCAATTTTACCATTTTAAAATCAGTCAGTGCCTTAAATTTTATGTAATGAAACTATGTCAGGGGAAAATTTTATTTATTATATTTTTAACTGAAATTTTAATAGAATAAAACTGTAAATGAGAAGTGAACACAATATTTAAATCTTCCAAAACAAATGAAACTGTATTTTTCTGTGACTAGATATTTGATGTTCAATTGTTGTAAATATATTTGAATATACAATTGTTTTGATATAGATCTAAATGTGATATCTAGAGTAGTTAAATATTCTAAAATGTTATTTACAATTTGCACTTTATATACATGAGTAAGTAAAATATTATAAATTTGCCAAGAATGAAATGCCAACTCTTGAAAATTAACTTCATTTGAATGGTGAACATTGAAATTGTCCTGTCCATTACCTTTGAATGTTAGGAAATGTACTTTTGTATTTGTAGATTCCAGTTATAACAAAATAAATCAGTATTAGAACCAAACTAATCAGAGTTATCTTTCTTGGAATTAAGCTGATATTGTGCTGTGTTTGTTGGTCACAGAAGTATGAATGATGGATAATTCACTGTGAGTCTCTTGCTTTGTTCTGGTGTTGTTTAACAGCACAGCCCATCAGACAAAATTGTGTGCATGGACTGGATGGTACTGGTCGCATCTGCCAGATCTATAGGACTGTGTGTGTGTGTGTGTGCATTAGGGTTTCAGATTTCAAGGTGGACAGATAGCTGCCCAACCATAAGGGCATGTTGTGGTTAGACCCCCCTGTTTTTATGAGGGGAGAGGATGCAAGGTGGAAACAGCCAGCCTATCACACAGGGGAGAGTTATCTTGAGGATTAACTTTAATCACAAATAACTATTCAATAGTTAAACATGAAACAAAAACATATCAAGATAGAAAAAAAGAATGAAAACTTTTGTTAATTTATGAAAATTATGGTATTTTTATTTTTTTAATGTGGTAATATTGCACTAACATTAACAGCCACGCTAGTAATTAATTAATAATTAATTTTAACACGAGAAACAAATAAGAACTATTTAGCTTTAAATGATAAATTGAATCACATATAATTGCACAAAATTAACATTTTAAAATAAAAGCTTTGAGAACCTTTAAGGTCCTTGTTACATGAAATAATGAACGGCGTGGACAAGTGTTAAGATATAGGAGAGGATAGTGCATAAGCAAAAGGATAGGAAGTTTTTAAACTAGGCACAGGCTTGTGTTAAACAAGTACAAGAGGTGTTAAAACAATATCACATAAGAAGAACTAGAGCAAGAAAGTCTGTTTAAAAAAGAAAAATCTTTATCAACATCAACATCTTTCAATAATGTTGAAAAAAATAAACATTTTCTTTATGGTAGTGTTATGAGCTTAAAATGCCTTTAGTTAATATTTTTAGAGAGACATTTCATAAATAGAAGACACCAACCCCTTCAGCTGATTAGTCAGCACATTCTGAGATCAAATATCCTAACAGATTGAAGACATACCATCAAAGTATAACTGCAACTTGTTTCACTCATTTTATTAAATAAAGTACATATGCTATCATAAACATTAAATAAAATGACTCAATTATGCTGCGATAAGGTGCAACTTACTTTGAGCAGTTTGTATAATTATTTTTTTAAATTATTTTCTTTTTTTTAACTACAGACCATACAACTATAGACCATAGGGACACGTCTGTATTTATTTACCAATGGTTATTAATATTAAGTTATACTTGTATAACAAGATCAAGTCAACTTGAATATTTAGCTGATGTTTAAAAAAATTTAAATACAAGATGTATGGGCTGATAGCTACTGAAATATACATTTATACATACTTAGGCAAAAAAGAAATTAACTGGAGCTGTTTGGGTGGTGTCCCCTAGTTATTGAAACACTTCCTGGTGAAATACTAACATCTGTTATAAAGTGGTTAGTCTAAATGTTGAAAAGTTGTGTTTTCAGTTCAACAATATCTAAAAAAAAGGTACCTAGATAAGTCCAGCCCTGCATATTACTGTGCATGGGCTGTGAAGCTTCACTACCAGTAAATTTGCAACACAACTTTTAAATCTATATCAGTTTTTTTCTCCTGCAAGCTGATTAAATTTAAGTCCATGCACCTTTTTTAGCACCAGTGTAACTTAATACAAATACAAAAAACATTTTTGGTATTAAAAAACAATACTACTAATAAATATAACGTAGTCAATAAAACAAACTTTTTGAAATTTTTGACGTGCCATTAAGAAATATGAGCAAACTTGCATATATTTAAATTAATTTACTTTGATCTATCAATACAGGACAAAAATTCTTTACAGTATGTTACACAGACATAAATTAAATTGATGTTAATACTTTAGAATGTATTGAAGGAGGTGGTAAATGGTTTTTACACTTTTCTATACATCAAAATAATTGTCCCCTTCTTATTATGATATAGGAGCAGCAATTTTTTTTCTGATTTAGCACATTTCACATAGGGCTTATGGTGATTGTTATGTTGAATCAGGTCATTAGCAAAACCTTGTTTCTTTGGTAAGTCAGAGTAATGGTAGTGTCAGTACAATAATCACAATCCAGTTTCACAAACAAAATACTGTAAATAAACTTCTCACAGTTCATCAAATTTAACTCTGAAATAAAAATGTCACACTTAAATTAGTTTTAACACATCACTTTTGATCACAATATTTGGCTGAGAGAGACACCAGAGATGGCGATGGCTGAACAGCGACAAATCAATATTGTTCACAGACCTATCTGAAAGTTGTGGCAAAGCTACCTGCCCACGCCCTGGTTATAAACTGAGCGTTGCCCAAATTAATAGTTTGAGAACCTATAGGGGCCACCACTGTCACTGATTGGTTGGGGCTGGTTGGCTGTGGGGGTTGGGTCAAAACTGTAGCCACACCCCCGTTTTGAGACGTGAATGAATGCAGGGCTTGATTAAGTTGATTGATATCTATTGTGGTTGGCTGAAGTTGTCCATTTGATTGTATATGCACCTGTAAAAAAAAATTAATAGGTTAAAAAAAAACTGTAACTAAGAAATGCCAGTGACAGCAGCGTTAAATGTTTTACAATTAATTTTTAGAAATGAATATGGATGTAAAGAGAAACACCAGCAACTGATTATAAATGATGGGTTGTAAAATTGATTTAAAAAGCAATATGTAATCACCATTGTTGGAGCACCACCAGTGGTCAAGCGCGGGTTGCTCATGAACTCATTGGCGTAGTTGTGAAGTTCACTCATAGCCTGGGTCAGCAGGTCGGCGTTGCCCACATTGTCTCCCTGGTTTACTACAGCTATGGGGACGGCCTCGTAACGCTCAAGACCTTGAGACGTGTCTAGAAAAAAAAATAGAATTTTAAGACTAATAATCTTAAAATCTGAACCTGATTTCCTACAACAATGACCATTTTTAAAAAAAAGATCACTATTAAGCTAAAAAAAATACATATATTAATTTTAGAAAGTTGTGCGTACCTCCTACAGTGATAAGGAAATCTGCTGGTTGTTTCTTTGGTTTCCTGCGCTCTTGTGCCGGCTCAACAAGTGCTGCATGGTTCTTACGCTGGTGCTGGGAAGATCATTAAAACATAAAAAAATATCAGAGAACTGTCTACTAGACAAAGGTATTTTTAATATATCAAAACTTACACATTATTTGTTTCTCTAAATATTTTTTGAGCTTAAAATAAGATAGCTGATGTGAAAAATAGATGATAGGATTTATTGTTTTATGTTATTCAGTCTTGAAAAAAAAAGTTTTGTAAGGTAGTGAAGCACAAATTGCTAACTAAATCAATTTGAAGTGGATGTGTGACAAAGTTTGGTAAATAATATATGGAGCTTATTAACAAAAAAAATGTGGAAGGTTCTATATGTGAATTGGTATGTAAAAATACCTGGCCATATATGTAAATCAGTAATTAAAAAACACCTGTAGTAGCTTGGCCTTGCTGGCATATTGCTTGTGGCAAAACTTGCAGCCATGTGGCATGGTGGTGACACTGCTGACCGTGTGTGAAAATGAGACGTTGGTCACATCTTGTTGGATGACCTTCTTTCTGGACGATGGCGGGATGGGACACCCTGGGTGATTTTTTTGTATGTGAGATTTCCGTTTTGAAGAGGATTTGTAGATCTGATAAGAGACAGGTGTTAGATACTGAGATTATAAAATTTATGTTTCAAGAACAAATTGTTCGGAAAACAAATCAAAGCATACAGTATTCATCCTAATACAAGTTAAACATAAACAATATAATTCAAGTCAGTGGTTAAGATTAAGTCTTTGGTTAAAAATCTTAAAAGTTAATTTTGTTTTGTAAGATGCAATCAAGAAGCAGAGCTCATGTATACCTAATATTTGTATTTAAGTGTGTCACTAGCAACCATGGTGACTTTTTAGGTGAAAATAAACATTTCCTAACTCAAATGACAGGCATTGTAAAAAAATGGTCACCTAACTATTCAATTACTCTCTACTTCTGCTATTTCACGTTGCCTGGGGCATGATTCTAATAACATGTCATTAGAGGAGAAGTGCTCTTTAAATCATGTGACCAACCTTTTCACAATACTGGCAGTAGAAGTCCTTCTGTGTTTTCAGGATGGGCAGGTTGAGTTCTGGCACATGCTCAGGTTTGATCTCTGGGTGACGTTTGGCCAGGTGATTCACTAACATGCCCCGGCGCTTGAAGCCAAGTAGGCATGTGTGGCACTTGTAGATGAACCGATGGTATTCAGATGGCATGACCTAGGATTATGTAGCATTATTTGTTAGAATAACTCTTAAGCTTAAATAACTTTAAAGGATTATTTTTTATATTTTATCTAGATAATTGAAATTTTTAAAAATACAATTTGTTAGTTAACACTTCAGTTTAAAAAGAGTTATTTTATAATTTGATACAGCAGCTATCTAAATACTTAATTAAGTTATGAGTTAAAGACAACTGGAAAAGTCGGTTACTTAGAATTACAACCTCAACACATGTTTTACTGATTAATCTTTAACTAATGTAAATGCTTTAATTTTTTTGACTCCACATAAAAATTATTAGCAGTAAAAAAATTCTACATTCATCACTACATTTAAATACAATTTCTTTAAAAAATAATACAAGTAGAAAAGCAGTCTTGTTGAGTACAGCACATTTAGTTGAAAGCTGGTAGGGCACAGAAAAGTAAATGGTGGCTGAAATTAAAGCCATACAAGAGTTCTAATGCAATGTGATATTAAATTAGGCTGTAAAAACTTGCCTTTGGAGTAAATTTGCTACTTTGTTTCTGGTTGTGCTGTTGCTTGGCATACAGCAGCTGCTCCAGCCTCTCTTTGGAATGCATGCGTTTCATGTGCTCTTTCAGCTTGTCCTTCCTCTTGAACTGACGCCCGCAGGTCTCACACATGAACTCACGATGGGTTGTGTGGCGCAGCATGTGCAGGCGGAATTTGTCTGCCCTTGGGAAAATCTGTCAGAATTTTAAAACAGTAAACTGGGTTGTAAAGAAAAAAACTGGGGTGTAAAGAAAAAAAACAGAAATTTTGGGCATCAGTGAGGAACAAGGGCACTGTTGCTACTTTACAAAAAACATCTTTAGATACCAAAAATGTAACTACACACAATATACATATCTAAGATCATGTGTATAATGCAAGTAAAAAAAAGAAAGCAAAAATGAATGCATACAGAAAGTGTGACGCATCTTGAACAGCAGGACAATGAACACATCAGAGGTATATATAAATTTCTACAAACAAATTAGATCTTAAAAATAATACATAACGAATAATCCAATCAGCATTTAACCTGAGTTAAACTACTTTACCTTTCCGCAGTCAGGGCAAGCAAACACTCTATCAGAGTGGAATCCCTTGATGTGCTTCTTCAACATGGTAAAATCTTCAAAGATCTTGGTGCATGTGTTGCAAGGGTAAAGCCCTTGTCCGTCCATATGTTTCAATGAATGCTCCCTCAGATTAGCCACCATGTCAAAGTCCTCATTGCACACTGGGCAGTCGTAGTATCGCTTGCCACTGTGGATCTTCATGTGGCAGGCCATAGCTGAGTTATTCATCACCCTCTTGTAGCACACAGGGCACTATAATTTAAAAATAAAATTACATTTTAAAAAATTTAGATCAATAAATTATTTTTACTAGGGTCTGACTAGGGTTTTAAAAACAGTAAGACAGAAAAGAATAAGAGTTCTTATAAAATGCTGGTAGAGCAGATTTATATAAAGGATTTTTCCTACAAGTGTTGGTCTTAATATCATGATAAGGGTTAGATCTGGTTAAAGGTAGTAAATTATTAGCTTATATAATATAATACTGGATTTCTTATAAGCAAAAAGTTACAAAGTTATGGACTATAACTTATGATGGACTCATATGGAAGAAGCGGATGTAATATAATAGTTTTCCTTTTGTATGACAAAATCTTCATTCTATTTCATTTTAAAAAAGCTGAATCTCAAGCACATATTTCTTAAGATATTTTCTGACAATCTTATTTTAGGTCTGTACAACTACTCAGAATATTTCCCAAGAGTTATTGAGTAAACATTGTTCATGTATTCAATCATCTTTTCTATTATTTATTCATCTTTTCTACTATTCAATAATCTTTTCTACTATTCAATAATCTTTTCTACTATTATTTCCTTTGATTCTTCATACTATGAATAAATATAATTGATATTCTCTCTAAACAGTCTCAAGATGAGCGTCATATGAAAGTTTACCTGCAATGGTTTGTCAGCTTCATCGCCATGCACCATTGAATGCTTGAGAAGTTTTTCTTGTGTGCTAAAGCTTTTGCTGCAGCTGTTGCAGTCAAAAGGTTTTTCAATCTTCACTACCTATGTTATGTTAAGTATAAAATTGGTCAATAAAGTTAGCACAGATCAAGGATACAGCAAGAAAAAAAAAGTTATACTTCTTATTATAGTATTTACTTAATGCAACACAGATTAAATTACTGTTATTTACCTGGGCATGTGTGGCTACATGGTTCATTAAATTCTTGTGGTCTTCAAATCCTATGCTACATTTTGGGCATGTCCAAATCTTTCTATCTATGGTTATCATGTTTGCTAGAGCGGAGCCATCTACTTCCTGGCAGCCATCTTGAAAGCTGGATACCATCTGGTTCACCTAAAATTTAGGCAAAATAGAAATCAGATTGTCAAATTATTTTAATTTGTAGCAACCAGTGCTGAGGGTGAGTTAGTTGATGTGATGTTTCCAAAGGTTCTTGTAAACACAACTGACCTCTGAACTTTGCTCCTCGGCAAGTTTTCTCAGTTCATCCATGCCCAAGTCCTCTGCTGCATGGGTCAGCGTGTGCAGGTTGAGAAGTGAAGCGTTGTCGAATGTGAGGTCGCAGTGAGTGCACATCCACTCACTCCCTCCAGACACCTTGCCTTGCTTCTTGTACATGCTCTTCATGCTGATCAGCGTCTTCTCCGAGCACTGTCTTTTCTTGTACTTCTTCAACGTTTTACTGAAAAAGGTGAATGCTAAGTTTGACTAAAATAGTAAAAAGCTAAGTTTTATACTCTTCTTCAATGTTTCAAAGGTGAGTGCTTATGTTAATGATAATAAGTGTCTAGAAGTACAGAAGTTTTCTACATTTTAACCCTTTGAACCCACAGTACAGGTTTATCGGTCTGAGTCTTAAATCTCCATGCCCCAAGATACAGATAAAGTGTTAAAAATTTATGAAGAATGAAAATGAAATCAATATAAACCAGCAACCACAGTAACAAAACTCACTTGAGGTACAGGCTAGTTGACTTTTTCTTCCAGTGATAGCTTCCATTTTCACCATTGGCCTAAACATAAAATTATAACAAAACATGGCAGTGTTAACAGAATTTTTGACTGCACTAAAAGACACATTCTCTTCTAAGGTTCTATTATGTTTTTGTGTAGTGTGGATTACTGTGAATATTATTTTCAGAAATATTTTTTTAAAATGTTAAACAGCAGCATTATGTTAATGATATCCAGATATCTGGGATTCATTATATCATGATTTAAATATAATGGGTACCTAACTCATGCTGGGGAAAGTAAATGCAGCTGGGCATAGTGCTGCCAGGTTTGAAATGATAACTTTACTACTTCATCAGTTACAAAGGACCATAATGTTTGCATCAGCACATTTAGAAAAATATGATCTTTAAAACATTACATAACTATATCACATTAATGCAAACACAGCGTTGAATTCATTCTCACCCGTCTCCCTTTTCCTTGCAGCAGTTTCCCCCTGACCACTGCTCCTTTCTGTTTGCCTTTGGCCCCACCGTCCTGATTACCAGCAAAGAAATCAATGTCCCCACCATCGTCATAGTCCCGCATGTCCTCAATCTCATGTGTCGTCAGGTGCTGCTGCAAGGCTGCGGAGGATTTGAACTTTCTGCTGCACTCAAAACACCCAAACCTGGCGTCCTCTTCATCCAGAGCTGAGAGAGGAAAAATGAAAATATGGTTCACAAATTCAGATTTATTGGACAGGTTGTCAAACCTGAAAATGCTTCTTTTTAATTTTAACATTTTTTTAGGTCTATTTGGTGAATTGCAAAGATTTTGTAAGCAACTAGCTTAAACCTCTGCAATCTATATAATGGATACATTTAACCAACTTTCATACAGAGAACAGGTCATGCGCCCTTTTACGCCTGGTGTTCCTTAAGGTAGATGAAGTATTCATCTTTTGTTTTTTCACCTCTCCAAATTAAGTGATGTATGTTAATAGAAAAAGACTGGTAAATCAGTGAAAGAAAACTAATATGAAAACAAATATGAAAATGCTGAAGGGTGGAAGGTTACCTTGCATGTCTTCCTCAGTTAGTTCCAGTGTTTTCACCCCAATTCTCTCAGCATAGTGGGCAGCATACCAGACCTGCAACATTAGGGCAGTGTTAAAGCAGCTTTTTGTACAATTGTTCATTATAAAATGAGTTAAATGGAGCACAACTTAGATAACATAACAGTCACCATGACAACATGTCATAGGTAGTCTGACTGTCAACATAATTGCATCATCTATCCAACCCAACAGTCACCATGGTTACATGATCTAGAAGACAAGTCACTATGGTTTTGACATAGCTAATCTAACAGTCCTACATTGCTATGTGATCTAGACAGCCGAACTGTCAACCTTGGTTACAAAATATTGTCATGCAACCAGTCACCACACAATTTATATAACCCAACAGTCACTATAGTTAAAAGACCTAGACCATCAAAGAGTCACCACATGACCCAGATAACCTAACAGTTACCATGGTTACATGACCTAGAGAAAACCTAGCAGCCACTGTCATAACTTGCCTTTAATTCCTGCTTGCTCTCAATCAACTTCGTGACAGTGAAGTAGACGTGTTCCTTGTACTGGTACGCCACCAGGTTCTGTTCAGCAAATGTCCTGGCAGGTCTGACAAACATCATCCAGTTACACTTGTCCTCATCAGCTGTCTCAAAGTACATGCAGCCACCATCTTCTTGCTCCACCTGCAACAGATGCCCAGGTGTGTTAGACAACAGGTGTAAAGGGGTTAAACATTAACACATACAGCCACCATCTTTTTACTCCACCCGAAACAGATGCCCAGATGTGTATGACAACAGGTGTAAAGAGGTTAAACATTAACACACATATAGCAACCATCTTCTTGCTCCACCTGCAACAGATGCCCAGGTGTGTTAGACAACAGGTGTAAAACATTAACACACATACAGCCAGCATCTTCTTTCTCCACCTGCAACAGATGCCCAGGTGTGTTAGACAACAGGTGTAAAGGGGTTAAACTTTAACACACATACAGCCACCATCTTCTTGCTCCACCTGCAACAGATGCCCAGGTGTGTTAAATGTCAGGTGGAAAGGGGTTAAACATTAACACACATACAGCCACCATCTTCTTGCTCCACCTGCAAAACATGCCCAGGTGTGTTAGACAACAGGTGTAAAACATTAACACACATATAGCAACCATCTTGCTCCACCTGCAACAGATGCCCAGGTGTGTTAGACAACAGGTGTAAAGGGCTTAAACATTAACACACATACAGCCACCATCTTCTTGCTCCACCTGCAACAGATGCCCAGGTGTGTTAGACAACAGGTGTAAAACATTAACACATACAGCCACCATCTGCTTGCTCCATTTGAGAAACAAGTGATATTTATATTTAGTTCATTTCCGCCCACACTTTTGGTGTTAGGGGCACTGAGTGGTCAAGGACTTACCATGAGGGGAAAAGACTTCCTGGTCACAAGCTCTGGAGAAGGGACAAGGTCGGCAACAAAAGGCCCAAACTGGGTGAACTTGGGTATCTGACGCTTGGCTTGCACACCAAATTCTGTGGTAGAACACATGATGCTAATTATTAAAGGCTATACCAAGACATTATGAGGTAGCTTAAAAAATCATAAAAGTATCTATGAAAGGTAGCTTAAATTTCTCCATCAGTTGGGACATAATTTCTAATTGGCTAAAAAAACTAACAATGTCTGAGTAATATCAAGCATTTTTTACACATCAAAACATCCTTAATCGAACATGATGCCATTTCTGAATTGCTATTAAGATACCCATGAAGTGAAAAATTACATTTATTCTTCAAACTAACTAGGATTATAATTTCTACCTTGCCTTATAAAGTATTTGTTACTAATGGATATTCTTAAAAAAAAGTTTCTAAAACATAAATACTTTACAAGTGTCTATTCATGCATCTGTAATAGTAATAGAGCAGACACAAGAAACTCACCTGGATCTTCTGGCCCCATCTGTGACTCTGTTATCCTAAATATGTGGACCTGGTTGGGTAGACTGGCCCATGCCCGGGTCATGACGACCTTGTCTTGAATACAAGTCACCCTGTGTGTAGGGCACTCATCTTTGTAAGCTTGCATACAATCCTCACACCCTAGAAAATGGAAATTTTTTTTAAAATTAAAAAAATTTCTAATCACAAAAGCATAGTTTATGTACACAGTAATTATAAATTTGTTATTAGTTTTTAAATTGATAAAAGCTAAAGAGTTTTTAAAATGTATTTTAAAAGAAAATGTCAGAATTTATAAGTCTAAATAACAGCCGCAATTTATGATAGACCTCAGAAAAAGAGTCAGGCGTCTTACTCAAAACAAAACTAATAACCATTTAGAAGTAAAATAATAATCCAAGCTTAACAGCAGCTATGTTTGATATTAATAACTACCTTTAATCCAACATCTAAGCTAGAAATCAAATTTGAACAATGTATTTATGATAGAGAAATAAAGATGATGAGATTAGAAGTAAACTAGTGACCTATGATAGAAGAGATTGAAAGACCTATGATGTAAACACAACATGATGAATATGACTAGTGTTAGCCAGCTTTACTCACAGAGCATGTTGAGATCATACTGCTGGGACTGGTAATCTTTTTTCCTCTGGCTTGCTTTTTGTTCCTGCTCCACTAGCTCCAGTCTTTTACTTTTCCTTAAAAACTGTCAAGTGAATGGAGATATGTTAGCTGATACCAAATTTACATCTAGTAACAAAAGCTACACCCAAACAGGACAATTCTTAGATTATCTCCCTTCATTTGGTAACACTTATTTTCCTCTCTCTAATAACTTGTAACCCTGCAAATGATTGAGTATCAACTTACCCCTGTAGCTTTACTCGGCTGCGGCATAGACTCTTCAGATTGACGTTTTCTTGAAGAAAACTGGAGCCCACTGGGACCTGGTCTAGATTCTGAGGACACAATTTGTGTAAGTAAAACAAAGAGTCACATAGTTGTTTTATAATAAATCATTTTCAAAGAGAACAGTGACCCAGCTGAGAGGAACACCAATCATACAAAGAGCCTTTTAATCCCCCAAAGATTTTTGCTCAGATGTTCTTGAAGCTATCTTTCAGCTTCTTACAACTTTTTAACTTTACCAAAGATGTCATAGCACCCCCACTAAACATTCTCATTTCATTACTCAACTAAGGTTGATTTTTTGTGTGCATCTGCCAAAGTCCCATTATCCATTACATTTTTTAAATTTCAAATCCTCCAATTAAAAACATTTATTACAATGACCCAGCAATTATGAGTACCTAACAGGATTGTGCAAAAATGCTGAGCATAATTTTAATATTTATGAGCAGTTTTTTTATTACATTGGCTCCTTTAACAGCTGTTAAATGCATCTCTCTGTATACATGCTTATCTAAACCCTAATTATAATTGGACTTTTACAGCTTGACTTGTATTTGATACTCACCATCAACACTAGATGAACAACTTGCTTGGCTGCCCTGCTGAGCATGCATTATGTCCCTTGACATGTCCAGGGTTACAGGGTGAAGGGTCGCAAGGTCACCGTTATTCATGCCAGAATGGAGGTTGGCCAGGTCGCTGCTGTCAAGAGTTGAGTCCATAATTACATCAGAGCCAGCTGACCCCTGCATGGTGGAGTGGATGGTTGTGGAGTCGAGTGATGGCTCGTCATCAATGTTGTTGGAGGTCTCCATATAGGCTGGGCTTCCTGTAAATAGATATTAGTCAGGTTTTTGCAAGTGGAAAAGTAACTCTGTAAACATTTATTAAACTGTACCACCAATAAATATAACAGTTAAGTTTTGGAAATTGGAAAAGTATCACTATCTAAGCAGTGTGTTTTTTTTAATATAAGCAAGTATAATTAGTCTATTTCAAAAAATATTTCAATCCAGTTTTATCCTCATATTGCAGATGTATTCTAAAAATTATATTTTCTACATATTATATTCATTTCATTCATTCATTTTAAATAAATCACATTTTTATCATCGAACTCACTCTGGTTATGAAACTCAATGTCTGCTTGTGTTGTATCACACTCTGTGGCTCCATCTAGCTCTGATTTTAGCCTTGACGCGCCATCCAATTCAGTTTTTAACTACGGATCAGTTTAAAATAACACAAATTACAAGCTAAAACTACCAAAATGTATCAGCTGAAATCAAAATAATCAGTAACTTTTTTGATAAGTATGCATTAATTTTTTAAAATGATTTACTAAATTTAAAAAAAAATATTTCAAATACATGTGCAGAGTAAAATTTTAGGCAATATACAGTAATTTTAAACCAAAATTTTCAAGTTCAACCAAAATAGATTATTACTTAAAATATTATTAATGTTCTTATAAAGAGCAAGTCAGGCAAGCGTTAAAAAGGTTTCTTCCTGCAAGCATAATGGTCACAGAATAAGATGTAGAAATATTAGAAAAATCAGACCTTCTATAAGACCTCCCAGCACTTTAAGAGCATCATTAATACAGAGAACTTTAAAAACAGATTAAAAAAAAAAATACTTGTGGTTACCTCCATTTTAGAGACTGTCATCACACTGTGGCCATAAGAAGATGATGAGAGGCCATCATCAGAAGAGTTGACCCCGAGGCCATTCCTGTTGTCTTGTACACCCAGCATGGCGGCCATGGAGGATGTACTCACCTCACTAGTGCTGCTCCCTGACCCAAAACTGTTGGGCATTGAACTGACCTGTACCATCGTGTATGACTGACCAGACTGGGATGACTTAACAGAAATATTTTAAAAGCTAATTAGATATTTTTAAATTAATTTGTAAGATAATTTAAAAAATGCTTTTTATAAATATTTACATAAGTAACAGAGATATTTTAAAGCATAGCTGTCTTATAACTTATACTAAATTCAAACTTTTTTAATTAACAGTAAAAATTAAAAGTACAAAACATTATTTTTTTTAAAAAAGTAATTTCTGAAAAAAAAATTCTTCACAATAGATGCAAAACTACTAGTGAGAATGTTATCTGTTTTGTAGCATAGTATGTTGGTTTAAACTTAGAATATTGTCTGAATGTGTATAGGTGTGTAGTTTAATGTCTGTTGTTCAATAAAATACAGGTCAGAGAAGCATGGTAAACATCAGGACAATAGAATGTATACATTAAAATCTTTGACAGTAACAAAAAAAAAAGGAGTACATTTAAAAATTGGAAAGTACCATTGGCAGAAGAGTGGCCTGAGCCTCAGAGTTATCAAAGCTCAATGTTGATTGGCTGACAGTGCAGTCAGAAGGGGACATCACTCTCTGAACAGTTAGCACACGGTTTTCTGCATCAAACACCAGTTGAAAACCCTAAAAAAAAAAAGATGCTTTATTAATAGTGTCAAGTGTTTCAATAAATTACAAACATTAGTTTATCTATATTGTCAGTTTAACAATCAAAGCTAGGCAGTTTTCATGTTTAAGGAAAACTAAATAAAAACAAATAACTTGAGTATTAGTTCTATATTGTTCTTTTGGTAAGATAAATGTATTAAAAAAAACATTTCACATATCAGGAGATTTGAGAAAATTTAGCCATCTGCCTACTATGAATTAGGCTGACTTGATATTTAACCTGTGATACGACTGTGATCATATTTAGACTGTGATATTAATGAGATAATATTTAGGCTATGATATGAATGTGATATTTAGGCTGTGTTATGACTGAGATTGCATTTAGTCCGTGATATTCCTGTGATAATATTTAGGGTGCGATACGACTGTTATTTCTAACAAATGTTTTGATACTGCAATGCATGACCAATACGCTTGCATTTGATCGCTATGATCCAGCTCTCTGGTCAGGTTACCTGTTGAAGAGTGCTACTGTCCACGGAGGGTGCAGCAATCAGCTGAGCAGCTTGATTATCTGCTGACATGTGCTGAGAATTTGAAAAGGAGGGTGTGGCCTCACTGTCATCTCCAATGTTTCTGTACTCCTGGACTGGAGAGTTCCTCCTGTATGTTGAATGGGCAGCTGATTGATAAGTTGTATTTCTGCCATTGCTTTGTTGCTGTACTTGAAACACACCTGGACAATTTTTTTTTACAAAAGAGATATTTCTATTAGAAGTTTAAGAGACCACTAGTATAGACAAATTTAACATATAATCAGCCTACATCTTTTCAATTCATCCAGCTCTAATGCATAGAACATTATTGTCATTCTTATAACTAAAAGATTATTTTAAAAAAAACAACAATTAAATTATATAAATAGTAATGGATTTGATGTGTTAAGACTCCCACTAATTGAAATAAATAGTAATAGGCTTGTTAAATTTATTCAACTCAGGGCTGGCATTAAATTCAGATCACATAGTTACATAACTTGCAAGATCACATATATTCTTTGTGCTATAAAATTCATATTTAAGTGCTTCCAAAATGTTACTAAAGACAGATAACTCTTGCACAAGTTGGAACTATTTCAGTAATAAATGATACAAACAGAAACTGCACTAAACATGAGCAATAACTGATAGCCAACCTGGGAACTGATTTCTTAAATCTTGGTACTGGTTCCCATCTATATGGCCCTGCTGCAGCTCTTGAAGGCTGGAGTTGTCCTGAGAGCTGGTGGGGAGAGTTACCTGCCCCTGGAGGGTCAAGTCTTGTGATGACAGGGTGACAGCAGCAGGTAGAAACCCACTTTGGTCAGGCTGTACCCACAGCTGTTGCTGCTGGTGGTGTTGGTGATGTTGCTGGTGTTGCTGACCCATGGAGACGGTGACCATGGCATTGGAAGAGCTGGTAAAGATGTGAGGAAATGTGTCATAACAATTTAAAATGTCTCATACATTGATACCAATAATTTTGTACTAATTTCATGATCATATGATTAAAATAAATGTGAATATTAGTTATAATCATTAGGATTAAGGACACTGTATGTACCAATAAACAATATTTAACTAATTAACTTTGAAAAATATTAAACATAGTTTTTTCACATTGTAACATTAGTAAAGAAATTTTAAATAATTTAAATTTAACACACAATCAAAATTCAATAAAAGACAATTCTTCCATTTTACTATTTATTTATAGCTTTAAGAGAAAAAAAACCCTTCCAAATTGCTTTTTCATTTTAAAACCATGTAGGTATTTAAAAGATGGGTCATCAAAACTAAATCTGAGGGAAGGGATAATTGCAGCAACATGATAAACAGAAAAGAAATTATGAAAAATAAAGAGAAAAAATGAACTGCAAACAGTAGATCTACTAAGTAATAGTAATATAAACATAACAATACCTGCTTGCAGGTCCTGATGATGTTGTTGTAGAGTTGCCTGCCCGTGACACTGAGAGCCCATTAGACACTGCACCGTGGTGAAGACTGATGGAAGGCACCGAGTTCATCATGTTGTTCTCTAGCTGGTTGAGAACCAGCTGCTGCTGCTGCTGTTGATTTAATACTAGCTGAGCGCTGGCGCCATTTATAATACTCGTGGGGACACTGTTGAAAGTCATGATCTCATTCCCGTTGATAATCCCGTTTTGGTTGATAGATATGGGTAAGTTCATAGAGGATGTTAGTAAAGTGGAGAAATTACCACTGGCTACAGCTCTGCTAACAGCCGCGCCAAGGGCTTGCATAAGACCTGTAGCAGAATTACTGGCATCACTCATATTCATGTTCTCACCATTGTTCATGTTAATAATGTGGCTGTTGCCCAGGTTTTGAGAATCAGCCATCTCGCTTGAATGCATTATGGCTCTGTTGTTATTTGTGCTGTTGGCTCGTGTAGCATTGACATGAGATTGTTGAAGCTGAAGTAACTGCTGTTGCTGCTGGTGGTCACCTAGGCTAACAGCCTCCAATATCACCCCACCCCCACCGCCGTCACTGCTGTCCACTGAGTTGTTGAGGATAACGTTTGCGTTGCCGAAACCCAGGTTGAAATTTCCATTGGACCTGATGATGTTGCCGCCGCTGACAGGGGGGTTTGTGTTGCATAGACTTGTGAATTGTATACCACTAGCTCGAAGCGACTCCAGGTTTTCAGCGCTAAGCGGGATCATCACAGCACTATCGGCCTGATTGACCGACAAGTGATTGGATGTAGAGGTTAGAGTCGAGTTGGAAGATGACGTCGATGGCTCACTTATAATATGGTTATTATGTACTACTAGGTTGCGGTTCCGATTGTGTATATTTTCTGCCATGTTTGTTGAACAGTTGTCGGCTACACATCAAGGATGACTTTTAAAAAAAATCACATTTAGAGCTACTGTTTTCAGAGTTCTGAGTTGGCTGGAGAATATATTAATTAAAATATTAGTATTGATATAACGGTTAAGGAAAAAAAATATAATTAGTGAATATATTTTATGCTTTAGAATTATATTTTAGAAATACATGTGTGTTAGTCAAATTTCTTAAAATCTCATTAACATCAACACATCTTCACGCGCGTGACGTCAGTCAAGACGACCAGATTATCATTATTAATTATCAATCTGTTTTTTTTAAATGAATGTGCATATTTTTTAAATTTTATTTAGATTTTAAAAAATGTAAAATAATAGTTGAATTGCTCTACGTGACTTAGAATCTAGGTCCGTAATTTTTAGTCTTCTAATCAGTCTAAAGCAGAATTTCTCATGAAATTCAAAAGCCTCTGTCAACATTCAATAATAATTAATAAGGAAATAATAAATATGTAGCCAGTTTATTGAATTTTCTATACTTTATATATATTCCTGGGCCTTATTAAGAGGTTTATAAATATTAGCCTATATACTATATTATGTTTTGAAATTAACATTAGCTCGGATAACGAAATGACACCAACTGCATTGGCCTCTAGATAACATATAAAACAAACCGGGGGGGGGGGGGGAGAGAGAAAACGTCATATTTTCAACTCAAATAGGGGTTGCAGGCTAATATATACACAATGCAGTACTAAAAAGCCTCCATCGGCTTGTTCGATATTTATAGGGATGGGGGGACTGCTTAAAGTCATGGAGGGTATTAATAATTTATTAATCTAGTTTAGTAATTTAGTCTATTTTCTCTACTCTGGTGTTGAGTCAATGTGACATATTTTTATAAAATAAAAGAATTAGTTTCATTCTCTACTTCATTACCATAAAATTATAACCGCATTCCTGAGTTTCTTCAAGTGTAAGCAACCACTTTTGCCCCTTTGAGAATGAAACCGGACGGACCCATTATCGTTTTTGGAATACTTAAAATGGGAAGCTACCATCTTGTGTTCCCTTGTCATTAAAGTAGGGGAGAAAACGTTCTAATAATAAAGTATTACTCTTAAATTAATAAAAGTTTCATTCCAAAGCAATGGCAAATTTCTATAACGAATTACCTTTTTTAAATTAAATAGCATATATTTTACACAATCCAAAACTAGATTTGAAGTTGGAAAAATGGCCGAATCCTTGTACACTTCATCGGTCGAGCGCATAACGTGACCTAGGTAAATTTGCATATGTGCCGTACGTAACCTCTCGTTTAGTCTTCGAGAGTGTATGCCGGTTAAACCACATATTTTGCCGATTGTTTCAAATGCACCAAAATACAGTTCATTACAGCGTCACACCATAATATAGTGCTTGTAATAGTTAATTAGGCCTATAGTCGGTTGTCTAAATTATTATAAAATTAAGTTATTTTGAAGGAAAATGTATTAGCGCCCATTAAACAGCACCAAATACACAATTAGATTAGCTTTCGAAGTAGGTCATAGCAATTATTTTACGCTTTCACAAATCGCTTATATAACTTCAGCATTCATAGTTCATACTGATATATATATATATATATATATATATATATATATATATATATATATATATATATGATACTGTATTGGGGACTGGTATGCCTACATTGTCATTATAGTTTTGTTTAATGATAGGCTTCCCCCCCCCCCCCCAAGTAGATCTATAACAGATTTTTCTTTATTGTGCAATAACATCATGTAAGCTACAGAAAACCTTACATATGTCTACTATCGGGTTGTATTTTTAAAAATTATATTATGACATTTTATATTTTTTTAAACCAAGTAATTATTTGTTAGCTGAATAAAAATGCTTATATTCGTAATCTAAATTGTCAGCCTATACATTAAAGTTATATTTTTTTTTCAAACGTGTTGTCTACTTAGTGAACCTTTTCATTGTCATAGAAGGTTCTATGAAAGCAGATTTGTATAAATGGCTAGGACCTAGGCTAGACCTCGACGCCTCATTTAACATGTGCCATTTGGCGGCTAGTTATTTTTTAAATTTCAGAAAATTGTTCTCTTATATATCTAAGTGAAAATGATCAGTAGCTGTTAGGTTTTATTTTTTATATTACTACTAAGTTTTTAGCGTTTTATTTTTTCTACTTTGAATAGAATCAATGTTATATCAACACATCACACAGAAAGAGTTATTTTGGCCTACAGATGCGTTTGGTGTTCATCTTTACCCGCCTATGCGCATCCCCTGTATCGGCCATTTTGATTGAATTCGTGAGGTAAATATAGTTTTATTCTACAATCTATTCTCATCGGTTAGAATTTTGAGTGTAATTAAAGCCTTCTATCTTATTATTGGTTTGTTTATTCATGTTTTGACTAATGTAAACTCATATTTTAATAAAATTGTTATAATTTGAAACCTTTAGACGAAATTTAAGGTAGTCCGTAGACTAGTTGCCGATTTGCTTTGTTATGGTTTCCGTCTCGCCCATCGGGTTAAGTTCTATTTTATGAAGACTAGAATCTAGATCTCGCTCTTTGTTGTATCGGTAGTAGATTTAGATATTTATCTTATAGATCTATATTGTAAACAATAAATGTTTCAGTTGCCTTGTAATATTAAATTTTAACCTGGATAATTTAGGAGTTAAAGAATGTTGTAGGCCGGTTCGTCACTTAGATGGCTGGATTGACCCCTGACCCTGAAACGTCACGCATCGTTTTCTGACGGTTTCTACGTTTATTTTAGGGGTCCTATCCACGACAAATTAAAGAACTGTTTATCTCGCCAACTCTGATCATTATTTTAACACAAAATGCTAATAAAATGGATAATATGCCTTAGAATGCCAGAAAAAATCGCGAGAATTGTGTTTGTAAATAATGAGAGGATTTCTAGTGGAGCACTCTCCGTAAAAACTGAACCGCGGCCAAAAACGACCCAATAACGGGGAAAACGGCTCCGATAACACTAAATTAATATATAATTGAGATAATTACCATGTATATTTACAGTATTATCGATTCTACTTTCCAAAATCTAATTCCAAAATGAGGTACCCACCCTGACATTTCTATCCGCTATTTTTAGTATCGTGACGTCATTGCTACGCTAGTTGCCAGACTGAAACAACTAGTTTTTGTTTTTTACGGAATGAACTGTTAAGTTTAGTATTTTAATTATTATTAAATATTATTCAATTGTAGCATGTGCGGAAAAAGTAAAATTATGGACATTATTATTGTATTAGTAATTTTATTAGTATATTGATTTTTTCTTCACTGTGGGCCGACCGTTGCTGCATTCGTGACCGGTGGTTAACCTCGTCAACGCCGCGTGGCCTATTCGTTTATATAATCAGTGATCCTCGTTCAGTGGCCTTTTTCAGCGCTAGGCCTAATTACGGGCGATTTTTAGACTTAATTGATTGGCCGTAAGCCTTTTTCATTGCTGCGTATTTTAAAAAATGCTCGTTCAGCGGCCTTTTTTTTTTGGCGCTAAATAATCAGTTTACGGGCATTTTAAGCGTTTATTTATTTTTTTAAGCTAGACGTAGATCTAGTTTAAAAAATATTTTTTAATACAGCTGGCTGCAGGGGGGGGGGGGGGTGCAAATCGAAAGTTTGAGGGGGTGGGTGCAAATCGAAAGTTTGAGGGGGGGGGTGCAAATCGAAAACTTGAGGGGGGGGGGGGGGTGCAAATCGAAAATTTGAAAGAAAGTTTGTCCCCGGGAAGGGTCGCTACGCCTTTGGGGGGGGGGGGCTGACACCATTAAGTGCCGCACCGGTTGACACCCGACCTCGCTACGCCACTGGCTGGCTGTCTTGCATGCCTGATATGTGAACTTAAAAAAAAAAATGACCGAACATTTAAAAAAAATGACCAGAAGTAGGGAAGTAGGTCTGTTTTTCAATTGGCTAGAGGGAGGGGGGGGGGGGAAGAGAGAGAGAAGTGAAGACACCGACCATCTCGTGTACGCGTGTTCATGCTATGACGTGTACTATAGGCCTGCTGAACTCACGGTGACCCGCGACCGTGGTGGGATTTTTCATCCACAGGATAGTAAACGTAAGCAAGCAATCACGCGAGTGACGATGTTTGGAGATTTAAAAAAAAAAAAAATCACATACGTCATGTTTTCAAGATGAAAAAAAATGTAATGTAAAAAAAAAAATACCATGTATGAACCTCAGCTGCCACACTGTTGACTCAATATAATGTGAATTGAGTGTAAAATGTATTTGTATTTATAAACGATCATAACTGTTACTATCATATTATTTTAAGCATATTTATTATTTAAAATTAGAATTTGAAATAAAAATATTTATTATGGTCATTTGATTTATGCAGGTGTTCATTACTTCATAAAATGGTATGAATAACATGTAGAGTAGAATTTAATAAATAATAAAATAACTAGATCTAGTTTTATTATCAACCAGTTGCTTTTTGTTATTTTCCGGTGAGTAAATTACCTAAGCTGACGCAATTACCATGGCGGGAATTAAAAGCTCGTGTACACAAGTCGACGACGTCATGTTATGCCTAGAACGCTGTTTTGTCATTCATTTTCAATTTTGATTAATTTTCAAATTCTCTCTTTTCTCGTCAACCGAGTAAGCTAGATATTTAAATGTGGTGTCAAATGTTCTCTTAAGGGGTAAGGAACTTAATGGTGTATTTGAAATAACAGAATATTTTATTTTAAAAAATCCATAATTTAACCTAGAATGTTGCATTTTATCAGAAAAAATTAAATTATTGCTAGCGTTGCATAGTCACTTGATTCATAGTGCATATTCTAGTAAAGGCAATGGATCAGCATTGTGCAGCTGAAACGATTATTAGAGCATCTGTGATAATTATATTGGTTGAGCCTAGATCAATCAAACTGCGAATTTGTGTTATACCAGTGTCTGAAAATACCAAAGTCAGACTGTTTTCCTGATTGATTCAGATTTTGGGGTAGATCTTCTAGATCTGTGTGTCATATCAGTGTCCTATAATTATAACACCAACATAGTCAAATAGTGGAATATGTTTTAGAAGGTGGTGTGTGTTAGACCACATATTTTTTTAGTGGTAGCTAGGTCTAGTTAACTTAATTTAAAAATTACTTGCTAATGTCAGAGAAAACTCCAAAATCAAACACAGCGGACCAAACATGGTTTTGGGCAGCTCTCATTATCTGTGATTACATTAGCCCACAGCTGCCTTGTCTCTTCTTCTACCCCTTAGAACTCATGGCAGGTGAATGCCGTTGGGGGGGGGGGGACTGACGACGGCAAATCATCTAGGGTGAAAAAGTCCAAAATAAAACAACTGCTGCTTTGTACATTGTTCCTAGATCTAGGTGGACAAGGGTACTGAAGCAAAGCCAGGGGCGAAACAGCTAAAAACTGAATCAGACAGTAAGAAAGAGGGTGTGTCCAACTGAACTTAGGTGTCCAAGTTGAGAACTTAATGTATTAGGAGCCTAATGCGATTAATATATTTTAGAGGGGAAAACACCCAGTTTGACCAATTTTTTTTCCCACTCCAACAGTAGTTGCTTTCATTTGTATCCCAGATTATCAATTGTAGGTTTTTTTTACACAAAATTAACTTACTGTAGAATTTTCCTGTATAACATGTTATTACTTGTTTGTTGATGGCACTTATATTGTTTACACTACTCAGACTGATGCTTATACATCATATACTTTACTTTCATGCTGTCAATCATTCTCGCACATTTTATCATCATCCCTTAACCCCTGTTGGGGTCTACAGTTGACCGTATAATTTTCCACCATCCATCTTGTCCCTCTGCCATTCTGATAAGTTCTGAGAGGGGTAGCCCTGTCATCCATCCAGTAACACCTTTGCCTTCCCCTTCATCTCCCTCCTGACCTTGCAGTATTGTTTTTAATTGTGCTCATAAACTATCAAAGGGACCAGTTGCTTTAGTGATCCTTTTACAGACTTCATTAGTTTTGACATCTCTGTGTGAGATTCCTAGAAGTTTGCGTAGACCTCCTTTCCAGGACTTGGCTTCTTCTCTGTAGGTCTGAGTTCATTATAGTGCCCCACAAAATAATCTTATCTAATCCTTTATTCACTCCAAATAAAGAAATGCATATTTCACTTCTTAATCCAGTTAAGCTTATTCTTAAAGGTTATATTATAAATATATATAGGCCTATATTTTAAAAGGTTATTCAAATTTTTTTTTTTTTTCAGATTGTGATGGAAATTTCTATACTTCAGAATCAGTATTATATGTGAATTAGCAGTGTAATATAGTAGCTTTGAGACATAAAAATAACAAAGCTGAAACATATTCTTCAATTTGTGACACTTCATGTGTATAATATTGTGTTCTATGATGACAGTGTGACAGCAATTGGAGGAGACTCGTGTTTTTTTGTTGTTGTTATTGTTCTAGCCCTATCCAATTGACTGTACAATAGTGCTTTTGCACACAGAAAAGCCGACTTGGCAGATTCTGTAACGTTAGTGCTACAAATACTTAACACCATTTCTTTCTGAGAAGTGCTTGATGTGGTGCAATATATATATATATAACAGCTGAATGGTGTTATTTACTTGTTAAAAAGTTTCTTGTAATTAGAAATACTGTTAATTTGTATTTTTGTAAAGTCTTAATTTATAAAGTACAACTTCATATTTGATCTCCGACCATATCCCTTGATAAACATGGCAAAAGAAGAAGTGAGGCAAAATGATGCTTCAAGGTAAGAATACTTTCACACAATTTAATGCATTTTTTTTTTAACATCCTCTGCATTATCCCTACTTATGCAATGTTGCAATTGAGGACCATGGTACTAAAGGTTCTTAAGTCACAAAATGAACATTTAAAAAATATTAATAGATAAACTTTGTTCAGGGATTTGGTTTGAAATTCTTAATGAACACAATTTTAGATAATGCTATAGCTATTATTGGATGGTATGATTTTGCTATAAAAAAGAGGGAGACATTGTTTCACAGAAACATTTTGCACACTGCTGTGAGGGCATCCATAATTGGTGGAAGGGGGCAAAATACCTGTGATATGCAGTTAAATTGTAACATTGTCAATATTTCTTATGCTCAACAAGCTGACCATTTAGAATGAATTGCATTTATCATTTTCCAAATTAATCACCTATGTCATAAACTTTTTCAGTGAACAAGGATGGAAAGCTAAGCTTAATTTACCACCTCCAGATCACAGGATCAGAACTTCTGTAAGGGATTTGTCCAATATTACATGTTGTAGTTCAGGCTAAAAAAATGTTGGTACTTTATTGTTGAAATTTGGGTTACAGTAGCTCACTGTTAAGATTTCTATGTGTCTCTGTTTAGTAGTCTGGCTTTTTAAACTACATGGTATTGTTAAAAATTTTAAGGTATGCATAAAAACTCCTATTACGATTCACATTCCAGAGGGGGCGGCCTTTTTTTTTTTAACTAATTCATATTTGGTATTTTAAATTTAATTTTTATATCAACAGGATGTTACAAACACTAAAGGCAATGAGTTTGAAGATTTTTGCCTAAAACGAGACTTATTAATGGGAATATTTGAAAAGGGTTGGGAAAAGCCATCTCCTATTCAAGAAGCCAGCATCCCTATAGCTTTGACTGGGCGTGATGTTTTAGCCAGGGCTAAAAATGGAACTGGAAAAACAGGAGCTTATGCTATTCCTTGTCTTGAAAAAGTGGATTGCAGCAGGGATTTGGTTCAAGGTAAGTCCGTTGCTCTTTAAGCATCAAAAGCACTTTCAATAGTCATATGTAGAAAGAGGGCATGTGTGAATCAAATTTTGTATACAGTACACATCAATTTGTATTTTTTTATCCTTCAGCCATAACTAATATGTATGTTAATGATGAAAATCACAATTATCCATTTCTGCTTCTGAATTCATGAATGATATGATTTTCTGAGACATTTTATTGAACTTAAAGGTAAAATGTTACACTGCTAAATTTGGTTTGTTTTACCCTCTGTATAACTTTTTTCAGCACTTATCATAGTACCTACTCGAGAACTTGCCCTGCAGACTAGTCAGATTTGTATAGAGCTCAGCAAACATATAGGCTGCCGCTGCATGGTCACAACTGGAGGCACCAACCTCAAGGATGATATTATGAGACTTACAGAACCCGGTAAACTTAAGTTTCAGCATTCTTATTGTTATCTTTTACATTATGGTTGAGCTTTTTGGTTAATTTAAGTTATTTTTTCAGTTCACGTCATTATTGCCACACCTGGTCGTATTTTGGACTTGATGAACAAGAATCTGGTCAAGATACAGAACTGTGGAACACTCATTTTGGATGAGGTTGTTTTTTTTATCTCAGTAACTTAATTGTCTAAATATAGCACAGTTTCTGGCACTGTTTCAAACATTATCAATGTGCATTTTTATTTTTTAGGCAGATAAATTACTTTCTCAGGACTTTAAGGGTATGCTTGACAGCATCATTGGCCATTTACCTAAAGACAGACAGATCATGCTATATTCTGCTACATTCCCTCTCACTGTTGAGGCATTCATGGTAAGTCTGGTAACTTATCTGCTCATTGGAAATAAAGTGTATGTAAGTAAGTTGATGATGATAATCACTATTACCAGTTCTGCTTCTGAGATTCATGAGTGATTATATTTTCTGAGACTTGTATACAGTTTAATTATTTTTAATTATGCTTATAATCTTTGCATTTTAATTACTTTTTGTATATTGTCATATTATCTTGTTTTTTGTTTTTCATTTTCTGTTAAAAAATAGTCTGCTTAATACTTAAATACATTGATTTCTATTTTTTAGATTCATTATATTATGTAATAAATTAATTTAAAAAATAATATGCTGTTAGTATTGTTCAAGCCATTGTTTGGTTTTCTTTTAAAAATAAATTGTTAGGCCATAAAATAATTCACCAAAAGCAAAGTGTCGATGATGAAAATTACCCAATATACCAGTTCTGCTTCTGAAATTTATTGAATGATTTGATATTCTGATGACACATTTTAAATTAGGAAATAGGTCTACTTACAAATGAAAAAAATCTGATTAAACTCAATATTTAGATATATTTTCAAGGATTAATTTTCTAGTTATGGATGTTGTGGTTATTACATCTGCAATGAGAGATTATTTGAGAGCATTTTTTTATGAATAATTTGTTAATAGCATTATTGTTTTTCTCCTGAATTCTCTTTAAAAAAAATTTTTTTTTTTAAATGTATGAATGACGCAACAATTCCATTGTTTGTATTGATGATGAAAATCTACTTATCCAGTTCTGCTTCTGAATTTGTGAATGATTAGATCACGGGTTCCCAACCTGGGGGTCGCGACCCCCCTGGGGGTCGCGAAGGACTTTCTGGGGGGTCGCCAACTGGTATACTAAACCTAAGTAATTTGAAACAAAACATAAATATTTAGAAGAATTTTTGAAATTCGGCTTCATTAACATCACTGGAAATGTGATAGAGAAGAAACAAAGCGCACTGTACAAAGTTGTTCTCAGTCAAATCTTCAAAACTAAAACGTCATTTGAGACGAGTCATTCGGAACACATAAAAAAATATATGGAGTTCTTTCGTCGGTAAGAAGCTAGTTGCAAACGCCAGAGACTGGATCGAACAGACGTGAGTTCGTGTTCGCAGTTGCTGGTCTGTGGCTATATTCATGCGGATGATAGCAAAGATAAAAGAGTTGCTCTTTTGTGAAGATAGCATGGAGAAAATAAATATCTTTTTTGAAACTGGATGATTAAAATGGGTTAGAACGGCTGTGGGGGTTTGTACGGATGGCGCGCCATCTATGTTTAGCTCAAAATCGGGCTTTCAGAAAACAGAAAAGATTTAGCTCCCTAACCACTGCCCTAACCAATCGACATCAAGAGGTCATTGCTAGTGTAAGTTGTAAATTATATAAAATCTGGAGCCTTCTAAGAACTGAGCAAAAACATTAATATAGATCACGAGGTTCTGCTCTTCTACACTACAGTACGCTGGCTGTCAAACGAAATGTTGTAAATTGTGTTTTTAATTGAAATCTGAAATCAAATTGTTCTTGGGAGTGCAAAGGAAACAAGACTTTTTGGTATACTTAAAACGACATAGAGTGGTTGGAGAGAGTATCATACCTAGCAGATATGTTCGAACATCAAGATAAGCTTAACCTGAAGCTTCAGGGAAAATGAACGAATATTATAACTTTCCATGATAATCTCTGGGCATTTTTATCAAAGCTGCAAAATCGGTAAAAAAACAAATCTTGGAAATATTGTAAATTTGAGAAACTCTGCGGTGTGGTGGTAGATGAATCTGATTGTGAGATAATTAAAATTTTGAAAGAAGCGATTTCTGGGCATCTTGAATCTCTTGAAAACGAACTGCATCGCTATTTCTCTGAGCTGAAAAAAGAAGAATCTGCATTTACGCATTACCATTCTCTTCTTCCCTTGATGTTGCCAGCATTCCCAATGAATGACAAGATGAATTATTTGATTTGCAGAATGATTCAGAGTAAGATAAAAAACTGCACACACAATTTTGGTGTAGTATTCACCATTCATACCCAAACGTAAAATTGATTGACTTTTCGAGAATATATTTTCAACACTATTCTTCGATTAAAAACAAAATTAAGATAACTATAATGACATAGGTTGGCGTTAACAATTTTTTAGCGCAATTTCCATACGGACAATTGCGATTATTAACTCGTCATTTCTGGATGTATGGATGTGTGTCCGCAGCCTTTAAGTCGTATCTCCTCCTCAACGAAGCAATATCGAGGACTAGTTCCAAAAGCAAATATGTTAAGCAAGTTCCGAGAATGATTGTGGGCCAAAAAAATTCCCGGAATTCCTTCCTGGATTTCCCGGAAAAGCCAAAAAACCTCGAACAAATGCAGTTTTTGCTCCATATCTCGGCAACCAGACCACTTAGCGACTTAAAACATTTACCAATCGATTCCTGCCATAATTTAGACCAATATTGCCGAAGAAAGTTTTCAAAAATATCCTTTTGTTTGGTTACAAAAAATTAATTAAGAACATTTAAACTGAGCATCGTGTAGGCCTAGGATGATTTAAACTGAGCATCGTGTAGGAGTTTATATTTACAGGATGATATTTACAAAAAAATAAAAATTAAAAATTGTTATGGATAACATAAGGAAATTGCGCTTAAATTGTCACTAGACTTTTTATTAACTTGTTTTAAAATTAAAAACTTAACCACGAAGGTTTAGTGAATAGTATGCAATTTTACTCATGCTATTAAAACAGTTATCAAGAGTAGTTCATATTGAAAGTCTACTAGAAAATCTTATTTTAGTGCTTATTAATTTCCATACTAATTTCGGCTTTTTAATTCTATGGGGGTCGCGGGTCACTTACTTTTTATAAAAGGGGGTCGCCACTCGAAAAAGGTTGGGAACCACTGGATTAGATTATCTGAAAATGCACATCATGGTTTATTGAAAGTAAAATGTATACTTTGATACATTTTTCTTTGATTTAACAATTCTTTCATAAACTAAAATTAAGCAACTGGTCCATATTTATTGTGATACTTTTTTTATTTAGTTTGATTTTTTTTCTTCTGCCTTCTGTAATTCTCACTAGCCTAAAATTATTGCTTTCCCTTCAACATAAAGTATTGCATTCCAACAATACGCATACTATGGGCACTATAACTCTTACTTTACATTTTGTTTATAGATCAAATTCAGGGACAGACATTTCTGATATTTTGATCTGCAATTTTCTGTTGCTAATTTTCTTTTCCTTTTTTCAGCAGATTTTAGATTTTTTTTACTAAATTTTAAGATTTTGGGAAAGAAAAACTAAAAACTGCCTATACTAGATCTATTGTTCATTTCTTTGTTGCTGCATTCAAACATAACTGAATAAGTGCAAATCTTTTAATTGGATGATTATGCTAAAGATTGAAGCTAGGTCAAGCTTATGAATTTCATCGGTTTTCCTCATTTTTAGAATTACTTTTTTTTATCCAAAAAAAAATGTTTTGCCAAAAAAAAAAGAAATCATAATCTTAGTTGTTTCAGTTTTTTCAGACCAAAAGTACAGCCAGAGCCTTTTTATTTTAATTTTTTTACTGTACATAATCTCACTTGAGTTTTTGTCTAGCTATAGCCTAATATTTTAAGTTATTTATTTTAACTGGCCCACAAACTTCAACATAAACTGGAGTAAAACTGAAACGAGATTAGCAATTCACCCAACTGTACTGTAGTCCCATCCCCTGATTTACTTGAAGTTCTGTAAACCCTTAAACATTAAAATGTTTGTGTATAAATTATGAAAGTTATCATTTTAAAATTTGCATTGATGATGAAATTCTAACTTTATCCAGTTCTGCTTCTGAATTTCTGAATGATTAGATTATCTGAATATGCAAAAAAAAAAATGTTTATTGAAAGTCTTAGTTCATTTCCCTTTTAACTTTCCAACTTACACAAACTAGGAAAAATTAACTATTATCCACTGTCTGATTTCTTGTATTTGAACTTCTTCACTCTTCTAAAAGCTTTTTCTCCATTATATTGCATTCCTTGTTTAAATTTGCATTGGTGATGAAATTCATTCAGTTCTGCTTCTGAATTTGTGAATGATTATATTTTTCTGATAATGCACATGTTGGTTTATTAAAAGCTCAGATGATAGCAGGCATTATATTGCTATAGTAAATCCATGTGATTTATGTTCATTTTCAAAAACATGTGATTACCTTAAATATTTTTTTACAGAGAAAACATTTAAAAAATCCTTATGAAATTAATCTAATGGAGGAACTTACATTAAAAGGAGTTACCCAGTACTATGCGTTTGTGCAAGAAAAGCAAAAAGTTCATTGTCTCAACACCTTGTTCTCTAAGGTACATAGTTACAAATTAATTACAAAATCATTGCGCATTTAAAAATAAAATTATGATTATATTGTACTTAAGGGGCTACAACACCGTACTCAGCTTGATTTTTTATTTTATTTTTATTTTTTTTTCGATTTTTTTTTATTTTTTATTTCTATACATTAACATCTTATTTACCTAATGCCGTTATCGTTTTAACTGTAAATTGACATTTTCATACATATTTGTGCATTTGAAGAAGGTGTGTGTGCCTGGAAAAATATAAATTTACGGAAAAATGGCCTCCATAAACATGCCTGTCGATTCTTAACTAAGCGACCTAGCATAGCAAGCCGTATATCAGAATGACCGGCTTGCAATTGCTCATTTAAATAACCTAAATACATTGACCTAGTTTTAAATACTAAAATAGAAATCGCGAGGTGAATGCATGATGGAAATAAGAAAAGCTGTATTCCCATTGGTTACCAGGCGAAGCCATGTTGTAAGTTACTAAAATTAGCTCATGTCAAGGCGACATATGACCGAAATGTAAGCGGTTGCCGAGATACCGGCTATTATTTTGCTCAGCGCATGACTTCCTTTACTCGACATCTGCGAACCTGAGTGCTTCTTTTTTATCAAATAAGTGCACATTTTTTGTTTGTTGGCTTCTTTTTACGGTAAGATTTGATTTAATTACTATTTTACTGAAATTATTTTCTAAAATATAGTTATTAATTGTATTTTCATCAATAAACTTGGACTATTATTCCTTATCGATAATGAGTCGTTCTAGATCTAGATCTCGAATCTAGATCTATTCTAGATCTAGAACTAGATTTAGATCTAGATTGGAGATTCTAAATCTAAAACCTAGATCAAGATCTAGAAGTAGAATTTAGATTCTAGTCCAGATCTATATAGGTAAATATGAGTCTATAAATACAAACAATAGTTTATAATAGAATAATAGATAGATCTAGAAATAACAATATGCCTTATTATTTTTAAATATTTTTACAGTCAATGCCTGAAGTCTCAAAGCTAGTGCTGCCAAGCTTGCTAGGGTTGATGCACATCACTTGGGACTGCACAGATGCACTAGATGCACCTACAGTACCTGCATCTCAGTGCACATGCATCGGTTGCAGCTACACTACTTCCACCAACCATCGCAAAGAAAATTTAGTGCTTCTGCAGTCTAATCGCCGTAATGCACTGAGTGGATAGATTGGAAGTCTTACGCAGGTATTAGGATTTGTCAAACTTGTTTGAATTCTTGAAATCACTCTGATAGCTAGAATGTATAGATCAGTATATTGTCTCAATCTCATTTCAGCAGCTGAAAAAATCTCCAGACCTACTTCAAGAAGGCAGTTTCAAGTAAGACTGGCAGTACAGGGAACTGAGGTGGAAAGTTGGAGCTCCTTCTAATCATGTCCCTTTGACAGATGAAAGGACACACACCAGGATTGACAGACAGGGAAAACCTCCTGGTGCTTCTGGCAAATGTGTCATGGTACATAATTCAACACCGCTATCTCACAAAGGTTCATCATTCATCTTAGAACATGTTGCCAAAGCTGTCCAAAATGTTTATTAGCAACTGACGACAAATGCCATATTGAGCAGTTGCATGATAGATTCAACCCAAATGAAAGTCTTTCTGCATGCATCTAGGCATATGGCCCCAATCATGGGATTACATGACAGTTAGTAATGCTGAAAGATGGCTGTTATTTCACCCATAGCCCAACAGAAACTAGTTCAGGCTGAAGGCAGATCATCATATTTTTCTTCGGCTTTCTAAATAGAGAATGATTAGGCCTACTGTAACTATTTTGTTTTTGTAATGTTAGTAATATGCAAATGTTTTCAGAGTTGTATACTGTACCTCTATGTAGCTATTTTGTAAGCTAATTCAATTTTTTTGTAAATTTTACTTGACCTGTTTTGAAGTTTTTTGTTCAGGGGTACATTTATAAAACCTGATTTACAAGAATAATTACTCCTTAATTTCAGAAACCAAATGATAATAGTAACTTCTGTACATACTAAAACTATTTAATAAGCTTTTACTAGGATATTATTTGATTTAAAAGCTTTTATTAATTTTTAAAATATTTTTGATAACTCTTATTTACAATTTATTTTTAGGGGGTGCACCTCATTAAACCTAATTACCAAGACTAATTATTGCTTGATTTGATTGAAACTTTGATTATAGTATCTTGTATACATTGCTTAAACTATATGATAAGCTTTTGATAAGATATAAAGAGTGTTTAACAGTTTTTTTTCATTTTCAAACACGTTTTCCCCTTTTTCTCACAATTTTGTTTTTTTACCAGTTTTAAAACTTCAAAATTATGATCTCAAATACTGTCTATTAGATTTCAATGAAATTTGTACAGTAGAAACACAACATAATTACTGTTAGAGTAATAGAGACTTTTTTAGGTTATCTTGAGTAGTTTTGTTTTTAGAGAATTTCAAAGTTGATTTCATGGTTAATATTTTAATCTAAAAACAAAAAATTTGTAACTTCAACATTTTGTCATATATTCAAAAAGTCTCTCTATTCTCCTGTTAGGAATCCTCTCCTTTATTTAAATTAGAAGTTTTAAGTCAATACATTAAATGGTTATTGAGTTAAACAGATTGAAGCATGATATGTCTAAATCATTTATTTCTGTATTTTTTAATCGGCTAACGCTGAAGACACATTCACATTGGTCTAAAAGTATATAAAATATCTTTATAACTGCAATACATGTGTTTGTTTTCTTAAAAAAAAATTTTTTGTAAATTTTTGTATGTACGGTGTAGTGCCCCCTTAAACAATTTTAATTTATCAGTTTAAACACATACTATTAAATAAATTTATTTACAGCTTCAAATAAATCAGTCAATCATATTCTGCAATTCTACTCAGCGAGTTGAGTTGTTAGCAAAGAAAATCACTGAACTTGGCTACTCCTGTTATTATATTCATGCTAAAATGAACCAACAGCATCGTAATAGGGTTTTCCATGACTTCCGTAAAGGGCTCTGTAGGAACTTGGTTTGCTCTGGTTGGTGAATTTTCTTCTAGTTGACTAATTTTTTTTTTTTTTTAGATTATCAAATATTAAGTCTGTTAAATGGATTTGTCTTTTTATGTACGATTTACTCTTATTCTTTTATTAGATCTGTTCACAAGAGGTATTGATATTCAGGCCGTGAATGTTGTCATCAACTTTGATTTTCCTAAGCACTCAGAAACCTACCTGCACAGAATAGGACGATCTGGAAGATATGGACACCTTGGTGTGGCTATTAATCTTATTACTTATGATGACAGGTACTGGTTTGATATTTAAGTACTGGATTTTTTATTTTATCTTAATACAGTCAAAATGTATACAAACCAGACCCACCTCACTTCATAATCGGAAAGCTATCATAGATTGCATTTACTGACTCAACAACCCTTGCTTTTTGACATGTTAATCTCTTGAACTTGAAAAGGGTTAGGTTGTTAAAATTTGTTAAACCTTCTGATGTAAAATTTCTTAGTTATCCAAAAAAAATTAATTTTTTAAAATTAACTCACTGTTAAATCTGCCATTAATTGCTGTGAAACCTATTAGGGTGATTAATGTCTGCTAATTTAATTTAATTTACAGATTCGCCTTACACAAGATAGAACAAGAATTGGGCACAGAAATCAAGCCAATACCTAAAACCATTGACCCGTCTTTGTATGTGGCTGAAGCTCAACAGATGGATCCAGACACTGAGGAGGAATATTACAGACAGCAGCAAATGCAACAAAACCAGCAGCAACAGCGTGCTAATAGCAGTCACCAGCAACAAGCAGCACGAGGGCCTCCTACACATCAGCAGCAAACTGTTGCTTAGATGTTCATTAACAAGTAGGACTGAATCAAGTATTTAAACAAATTTATACAGCAGTGTTCTCTTCCTTTTCATTTAGGAGATTTCAACAGTTTTTCAAGGATGTTTGAATGTGTTGGGCACCAGTGTTAAATGTGGATCTCTCATGCATGTGTTTCAGAATTGTGCTATTTATTGGTCCAGTATTTTTGCAGCTGCACACTAAGGGACAAAATGACTTTGTGATTTACATTTTTATTAAGATTCACAACAAATCTAGTAACTGCTATCAGAACATTAACTGGCTTTTACTTTACTATATACATGAGAAAGTTGTGAACATTTTCACACGCTGGATCATTTTCAGCAATGCCCTGTGCTTCTTTGAAATCAGTCATTCTTTTCAATTGTTTGACTTGTAACTGGCAGAGTAAACAAAATGGAGACTGGTTAATCTCTGCAAATAGTCATGTGCCTTGAAAGTTATAATATTCTACAGCCGGGATGTTTAAGCATGAATGATCAAACCTTAATTTGAAAGCAAATATTTGAGTGTGCCATAATGACTCCGCTTTTAATTCTGTATGGAATACACAAGACCTCATGTTTTAACAATCAGCCTATAAAAATCAACTGCTGAATGGCTGAAGATTGACGTGTCTAACTTTAGGGTGATATACATGTATATCTATTGGACATACAAAAGTCAAAGGGATATGGAGCAGTTATATTCCAGAAAGGCATTAACATCAATGAGGACAGAATACTTATTAAACTAACAGAAGCATATGCTGCATTCATTATAAACTGGACCTGTAAATCCTTAATTGTGCTCTAGACATTCTGACTCACAAAGGCAGCATTTGCTTTCATTTGTTTTCATTCATCTGTAATTATCATGGAAAAATTGACTTTTCAGAATGGTGATCTTAATATGTGGTTTGCTTGTTCAATTTTTCTGGTTTAAGTTTGGTACATAGTAAAATTTATTTATAAGTAAGTGTAAAAAAAAATTATACATTTTTTCCAGTTGTATTCATACAATGAGAAATCTGCAACATAAATAATTCCTTAGAATATCATTTGATGAAGGTATTTATCATGATTGTTTTAAATAAGGTACAGTTTCAATGTGGTTTAATTACATGCTTTTTTCCTTCACTAAAATAAAAAGCATAAAATATTTTATTATTCCACATTAAATGAGTGGTTGAGACTATACATTTATATATTCTATGAAACAAAGGTGTTCAATGTATTTTGTGTGTGTATTTGTAGTATGATTGTTTGCATAAATCATAGATCACTTAAAATGTCATGGGATATGGATGGAATATGTTTAGGTGTAAAAGATAAAATGAACATGACCTGATAAACTGTTGAATTTACCAAAATGTAAACATAACACTGCTTATTGTGTTGTTTTTTTCTTCCCAACCCATATGTTAGCCTGTTGATGTAAATAAAAAGAAACTGTATGTAATGTACTAGTAAATTTACTGCATTTGTCTCTTGGATAGAGATGGATGTTTATACTGGTTTATTTCATGTGTAGTTGCATATCTAAAAGTGAAGTTAAGTCTCAGGTGCAATTGTTATTTTAGCTTACTAAAGTGTTTTTTTTTTGTAGTTAACTGTTGCCGTTGATTTAACTGCTTGTTGTTTTAGACATGTTACCAGAATATGAACATACAAGCTTTTTTTTTTTATTTCGGAATAATTTTAACTTAAACAATATTTAACTTGACCATTTGCAGGAAGAATATTATTCCTTTAAATTTAACAGTTCTCTTGCAGTTAACTACAGGCAATGTTTTTAGTGTTTGAAAGGCTCTTGCATATTCAGTATGTAAAAAGTTCAAATGTTATGCAAAAATATGAAAGATAAAAAGCTCTGTATGCCTGGTTTTAAGTTAATGTTATTGTAGATTTTAAAGATTGTTTATTTAATTTATATAGAATTAACTTAGTTTCTAGGCTTTTAGTTTGAGGCATATTTTTGGGTCATCAGGGGTAGGGGGTGTGACAAACAAGTTGATGAATTTATATTTTTCAACTGTAGGCTGTGAAAATAGCTAAACACTGACAAATAAGACTACCTATTCACAATCTCATTAAGTTCATCAATTAAAAATGTATGGTTGCTCACATAAAAGATATTTCATGTATGCTTTTAACAAGGCCAATATTGTATTATAAATTGTACAAATTTGCTGAGTGGTCCAGACTGGATCTATTCAGAGTATCAGAACTTCAAAATAGCTGGACTGTATTCAGAATGTAAATATCTTTTGTGTCTGATAAGGAATTTAACCTGCTGTGATGCAATTGTCTTGGGGTGGGTTGGGGAGGTATGTTTTTCTGTTAAGGGCATGTTATAATCCCTTAGCAGACATTCTCTGTCCTGCTTACATTTTCGGACTTTTATACTATGTGAGTGTACTACAGTGTGGAGGTGAGCTATTTTATGGAAGTCAAAATATTCTTTTTCAAATGTCTTAATACTATGTGTCAAAGAAAGACCATATTATTCTAACTCTAATGGTCACAACATTCTGCTACTAGACTAAGGAGTCTCTGTTTTTACTTCATCAAACTTGACATGTAGCAGTTGTACATTGCCAAGAATTCCTAAGGTACATGACTTTTTTCTTTTCTGAAATTGTTTGTAGAAAGTTTAGACTTTGTTTCCCTTTGCTAAGTGAAGAGTCCATCAGTGCCTTGTTACACCCATTGACAAGAACATCTGCATGATTTGAAACTAAAATACATTCATTACACTTCGCTTGGCATTGTGTAAATGGGTTCTAAAGTTGTTTGCGTCAAACAATTCAGTTTGTATCTTTTTTTTTTGTCATTTCAGTTAAGCTTGTTATTGGAACATTTGTTTTAGCAACTTTTTTTCTATTAGGGTAACAAAGATTTCTGGCAAATGTAGCTGTCTGATTTGTCAGATTTATCACCATCATTAATGATCATTTTTTAAGCTTAAAAATAGTGTACTTTAGTTGCTCCCAGTACACTTTATCCTCTTACATGATGTCCACAAGCAATCTTTATCATAGAACCATCTTGAAGATCTAAATTTTGTTACCAGTTTTGTAGGATGGCAAGATTATTTGACCTGTGTGAATCGCAGGTATCCACTAAAAGCATTATTACTGAGACTGATCTGACTTGCCAGATTTTAGTTTCATTCAGGGGAGCAACCGTCTTCAGTAACCAAAACATTTAATTTTTAAAAAAAACAAAAAAAATTAAACACCATACCATATTAAATTTTAAAATTTGTTCTAAAATATTAGCTTTGATTTAGTTGTGCCATAAATGAAGTGTTGAAATTTGGCACTTGAAAGTTTTTCCCCCCTCTGTTTATAACAGCCACCTTGATTGGCAATATTGTCTGCACTCATTTAAAATTTTGGCATCAAACTGGAGTGCGTTAATAAATTATTTCAAATTTGAAGATAAGTTCTATTTTTGGGAACAATTTACTTTGTGGTGTATTGTTAAATACACTACAAGGGAGTGTACTGTTTCAGTGTGTTTGATAGTGTGGATGCTATTTTTTTTGGACAAGTAGGCAGAAAGTTGTTACTGGATTTAATTAAGAAAAATGTTTTTTGACTTAATGAATTTGTCTGCAAGATTGAATGGTTGTCTTAAGTGGTTGTTTTTCAATGGCTACATCAAATGTGAAATGGCAGAACTCTTGTATTATAGGGTTGGATTTGATTCTAATCAAATTGTTCAAGTAGCTCTTGCCAGTTTGTTGGCCATGGTGGTTTTTGTTTGTCTGCTAATTGTAAAAGACCCCAGATATTTTAATGAACTAAAACCTAGTTCTATTTCTATATATTACAATTTTGGATACCCTAGCTATCAGCTTAAAAACTAAAAATACTTGTCATTTCTAAATTATGGGGCATAATGATTTTTTTTTTTTTCTGCTTTCAGTTAAATTGTATTTCAGAGACAAGTTGAGTAATAAAATCATTGAAAGCACAATTTGTCATGTTTTTTTTTTTATATCCATTGTGGTTTATTTTACCTTGCTTTAATATTTGCAGCTAGTAAAACCAAATAATGATTTGGCTTTAATTTCTGGTTTATGATACAGTTACCTGATTAGGAGATATGTATTTAAAAATTTAGCTGGTTTTACTATACATAATACCAGAGTGGGATTACATTAGTACCACATGTGTTAATAACTTGCTTCTGATGAATGCTACAATTGTGTTTATGAGTTGTTACTAAACATGACTAAAAGAACAGAACATTTGTAGTATTAAAAGGGTGCGAAAGATTGTGTTATTATGTTGTACACAGAATCTTCTGCCACTGTTCTGCTACTCTTAGTACTCTGTGCCACTTGGCTGAGTTCTCTGAGTGTTGTCAAAATGGAGGCCAACCTCGGGAAAGTGATGTGGTCCTTAGTGTGGTTCTCCATGTGGTGCAGCAAGCAAGCCACTACCATCCATTGTATTTGTTCTACTTCCTTGTAGTTCGTCAGGACACATCTGTCAATAATATAACAATGAACAAATTTTATCCCATATTCAACATGAAAAGGCTAGTACTCTTGTTTGTATGCTATTATTGCTTTGATGCAAACTGAATTTTGAAAATTTAATCAAAAGTTGTTAGTAAATCCAATAGCGGTTCGGGCCATTAGTTTTTAGCCTGTAGATAGATATACATAACATTTGTATGCCTGTATTTATTTACTTTTATAACTATCATGGTCAGTTTTACTTTAGTAACTCTTCATAATTACAGATTTATAAGCTTTTCTTCTCTGCCATTTGGCAGAAACCTGGTATAAATTGCATTAATTTTATTTTGTACAGCTTTCAAGACAGCCAAAACCTTAATAGTTGATCTTTACCTATCAGGGGAAACAATGCACATGGCTTTGAGAAGTGTGATCAGTTCTGGTGTTAGGTTGTGGCCCTTGACGATATGCGCTATGTGAAACGCAAGGCGTGCATATTGTCCGCCCCAACCGCGTTCTAGTTCTTCACAGTGAAAGCTTTTCCCAGATGGCATTACGGCTACCTCAAGCTCGCTACTGTAACCCCTGCATAAAGAAAAAGACTAGTAGTAGTATGGCAATACTAATACATACCAATGAATTTGTTTCATTTACAAAACCTATCGATAAAAGTAAGACCAAAAAAATGAAAACAATTCGTTCAAGAAAAATTACACGAGTACTACATGTTTAAATTCCACATAGGAAAAAGCTCAGCGTGTATTTCATCGTAATCTTTGTTCGAAACTGTATGTTCCCATATTATTAATAATACGTTTGTGCTGACTCCAAGATAATGATGTGTCTAATGTTATTAAAATATAATAGGAAAAGATGGTTACGGCGATGCCTAATGTAAATGATGTGAAAATATGGTTACAGCTATGGCTAATGAAATTGATGTAAAAATATGGTTACGGTGATGGCTAATGTAAATGATGTGAAAATATAGCTACTCTTATGGCTAATGAAAATAATGTGAAAATATAGTTACGGTGATGGCTAATGTAAATGATGTGAAAATATAGTTACGGTGATGGCTAATGTAAATGATGTGAAAATATAGTTACGGCGATGCGCTGGCTAATGTAAACGATATGAAAATATAGTTACGGCGATGGCTAATGAAAATGATGTGAAAATATAGTTACGGTGATGGCTAATGAAAATAATGTGAAAATGTGGTTACTGGTGATGGCTAATGAAAATAATGTGAAAATGCGGTTACGCGATGGCTAATGAAAATGATGTGTAAAAGATGGTTACCTGTGCGCACCTAGAAGCCACACTTCGTCCCAAGCGTGTTGTAACAGAGATGCCTGGTCCTGGTGGGGTAGAGAAGAGAAACCTGGCAGGAAAAAATAAAAGAATTGACTATTTATCTTACCGTCGATAGCTCGGTTTATAGGGATCTACTGGCAGGCCTACAATTTAGAAACGTTTATTGTAATGGTTTTGATTTCCGAATTGAACCAAAACATATGCAAACTATAATTTCGTGTACATTATGATTGTGTGCAAAGAGCCGAATGTCACACTTTTTACCACTAGTTAGTCAGAGGCGTAGCGGGGGGTGCGGACCGCACCGGGTGACACCAAGGCAAAAAAATTCCAATTGTACAGAAGGAAAATGCCTTTTTGCCAGTTCCATTAAAGATTAATTAAAGTAAAGTAGTCTTTTAAGTACAAATTGACAATTATTACAAGAGGGTGGGGGTGACACCATAACGTAAACGTTCTAACTATAGAGAAAATGCTATTTCCAACAAAATTATTAACTGACTTTTAATAAACATCGTTACTATTACGTCTGCAGTGATTAAAGTTTATACACATAGATGTACGCGTATTTAGCAATTAAATTATAGGCCTATGTTGGCCTATACACACGCTATACACACGCACACACTTTATTTCTTTAGGGGAGGGGGGGATAATACCACGAAGTGCCGCACCGGGTGATACCCGAACTAGCGACGCCACTGTAGTTAGTCAATCCAGGGTTGAGTCCCAAAACATTTTATAGATTGGGTCGTCCGTTACATGGAACAAAAATGATTAAAACAAAACATAAACAAAAAATAGTTTTATAGAACAAAATTAAACAAAAAGACTGTTACGCTTAAACTCATATTCCTATTTCAATTTGTTATCGCATACTGAACATGCGCGGTATCTAAATTTCGGTTGCATCATTTTTATTTATTTTTTGGCATTTTTCTCCTGTGAAAAAAAATCTGGCAAGTGTAATGTTACGCACGAAGTACCTCTGCAGTTCATTAAACCTGCATTTACATAAGTGACGACGTGTTTTCCGAAGGTCTGCCCGTTCGGTGATATCATAAGTGTTTTCATTTACTTTATATTTAGCAGGGCATTGTTCGGGGCCATTCCTTGACCTACTTTCTATTCGCCGCGCTTTTGTCTGTCCCTATTTTCCCGTGACAGTTTTTAAACTTGTATTGTTGCTGTAGTTTATTGAAGCGGCTACGTGTTTCTGCAAAGATTTTAATCTCATTTACAGTTTAAAGACGACATTTATAGGTCTAGGTCTAAACGACGTGTCGCGTTCAAGAAAGAGGGGAATGCGTGTGGATCTTTCAACTAAAGCTAAAGGTCATAGACTCTTATATGGCATTCTTGTAAGTTCGAATAAGCAAAGGTTAACGACCACCAAAGACAGTCCAATAATATAAAAACGAAGCTTTAATTATATAAATAAGCATTGCAAGCACTAACCAGAGTTTCTTTCAGGCATTTCTTTAAATGCACTGCTCCCTCTCCTGAAGCGCGTCCACCGACCCTCCCCCTCCCCATCTCCGAACGATAGAGAAAAAAAAATAGAAATTTCTATTGAAAATACATACTAAAACACCTGTGTGCCCCCCCCCCCCCCCCCCCGGAGAAATATCTAAAAGAAACACCGGCACTAACCGAGGTCAAAATTCATTAACAAACCTATCCACGTGTTTGTTGTTTGTTTGTTTGTTTTTTGTTGTTTTTTTTCGTGTTTTTTTTTCATTAGATGATTAGAACTACATGCTAAATTTAACTGTTTTATAACTGTGTTGATTACATTATTCTGTATTCTAATTAGCAGATAGTTGAATCGATGAGGGGCTATACCTTGATCCACAGTGCGGGAGCTAATGATGCATGGACAGTGGCGTACCCAGGAATCGGTCATGGGAGGGGTTCAAAATGTTAACATACGTATATAATATAAGCCTATTTATATATATATATATATATATATATGACTACCGGTATATATATATATATATATATATATATATATATATATATATATATATATATATATATATATATATATATATATATATATATATATATATATATATATATATAGGGGTCCATGGGAGGGGTTATAACCCCCTAACCCCCCTTGCCTACGCCACTGTGCATGGACATCTTTGACACCCAGAAGCCGCCCCAACAGCCTGGTGAGTTAAAAAATGGTACGGATTTTCCTCCAAACACGACACGTGCCAGATGCGCGTTATATATCCCGCGGTAATCCCAAATTTCCCCGCCCCGCCCCCATCAGCGTTAAAAATAGAATTCTCACGGTTTCTCCTTGCCGCCTTTGTCGATTAAAAGATAAACACAAATTATCATGGCACCGTTACTCGACCTTCGCATCCTTCACCCACCCACCCATCCTGTTTGCATTAAGCAGACAATGAAATAACTAGCCAAGATCTAGCTCGCCCAGAAAACAAAAGTAAAAAAAAATCGGGAATTTCCATGTCATGTATGATAAGAGCGCGCGCTCCGTCTGGTTCACATTTTCTTCAATACTCTCCAACACGTGAGCATTCATGTTTTTGAACCCGTTGAGACAAGATGGCCGGCGAGCAGTTTAAGGAAAGTTAAGATGGCACTCGGGCAAATTAGTCCCCAGGGTGAATTGCACAAAAAAAGTTTATTTTTTTTTCTCTATGGAAACAAAAAATGTCATAAATTAGGTCCAACAATTGTGTAGATACACAAGTGACGAACTGCGGACCCTTGAATCAACCCTCACCGCTTTTTTTTTTTACCAACACCACGAGCTGTAGTTTCTTTCGAGCATCTCCTCGAGGGGAGGGGGGGGGGAGATAACCCCCCCCCCCCCGAAGAAAGTTTACCGCTCCCGACCACCGCCCTCTTCACCCCACCCCTCTAGTAGGGTGGCACTTTAAGTAAAATAGTAATTTTTATAACGTTTCTTAATACATACATTTTTCAACAGAATAGAATCGAGTAGGAAAAAAAATTGCGCACCAAATGAACAGCAAACAGTGTGTGCATAACAGAGCGGAAAATAAGGACACTGATTAATTTGTTTAAAGTAATTAAACATGTATTACAGTCATATTTTATGTCACAGTACATTGGCATCAAGTCTTGACCTACGTGAAAAGTTTAAAACAAATTGGTTCGGTCGAATTGATATTTTTTGAGAAATCGGAAATAGCATAAAGTACTACTTCCGGTCAACAGAAATCACTCAAATCTGACACAATCAAGAGAATAAAATATTATGCTGATGTATTTAATTTCGCCCACAAAAGCCGAATCGATATTTTTTGAGAAATCGGAAATAGTATAAAGTACTATTTCCGGTCACCAGAAATCACTCAAATCTGACAAAATCAAGAGAATAAAATCTTATGCTTATGTATTTAATTTCGCCCACACAACTCAAATTGCACTTATGTTATCTGTATTTTAAAAACCGGAAAGTACCACTTCCGTAGGTCATTCAAACTGTGAAAGTTATCTTTTATCATATGAATGTTCGTCTACCTAACTGAAACAGTATTCAAGTTATAGTATAGTGTCTCTTCCTATATACTTTGTATAAGATAAAATAGGGAGGTTAAAAATGAAAAAAAAAGTCAAAGTAAATATTAACTATTCTTACTTCCTCTTTACTCTGAATGCGAGAAAGTAAAAAAAAAAAACCGTTGATTTTTTTTTACGTTGACATCTATTAACATCTGCAGCCCTTGATGTGACGTATAATTTTTATTTCGGTGTTTTATTTAACTACCTTTTTTCAAAGCTTACTCTTTAGTCTGATTGTATCCAAATCTACGACCAGACATGATTTGTTCAGTTTGTTTCTTGCAATATTTGAGAAACACGTATGTATTTACTTTTCTTTTTACAAGTTGAGCCACAAAGTTTTGAAAAGTGCACACTCGATGCAAGCTTGACGTAATCTACGGGCCTACGTGATCGACATCAGAAGAACGAACGACCTCGGGCAGTAATATAATTTAGTGGTCACTCATGACGTTTGAATTTATTCTTTTCAGATTTCTGAAAATCACTGTTTGTGCGTTGACGTCATAAACTGTACAGATTTTTTTCCATCCCCGGCCACGGAGGTATGGGAGCTTGTACGGTAACTGATATGAGGAAAAGAACATGAGATTGGCGAGAGGCCAAGTTCTTTTTAAATATCATTTTTTTTTCTTTTTAAGAAAAAAAATGTAGGCCTATATATATATATATATATATATATATATATATATATATATATATATATATATATATATATATATATATATATATATATATATATATATATATATATATAATTATAAATATATTTATGTGTGTGTGTATATATGTGTATATATATATATATATATATATATATATATATATATATATATATATATATATATATATATATATATATATATATATATATATATATATATATATATATATATATATATATATAGAAATGAGTGTCGCAACAAGTGAAATAGCGTGCTCGAATCCGTTAAGGTTTCTGATTCCCCACCCAGCTCTGCTGTACCTGAGTAAAGTAAAGGTGGCTGTGCAGGTGTCAGTCGACTATTCACACCGCAATGAGTTTTTCTAGGCAGAAACTCGTTAATATTTAACTCGACGAACCGAAACAAGCGAGAGGGAGAGGGGGGGGGGGGGGCGTACTAGTCAGTTATTAGGGTGTGTAAGGCTGTAATATGTTAAATCAATTTCGTAAAAAAAATGCTTTAAATGATTTCTTTGTTTTAGTCCAGGAGATGGCAAAATATTTAAAAGCTGTACTAAGAAAATAAAAAACCCTACAAACTTTAAAACAAGGAGGTGATAATTATTCAAACTAAAACGATGTCCAGTAATTAGCACATCTATCTACAGACGGCTGCGGAAAAATGGTTTACATTTATCGCATTTTACCTCTGCGCTAATTTATCTAACTCCTGTGCATAGTGCTGAACAAGCAGTCTCTACATGCGTCGAAGTTTAAATAAATATTACATGAGCTCTATTTAATCTGCTCGAGAACGGCGCTGGACTGCTGACCAGTAAGTCTGGAGTTCGAATCGGGGTTCAAGTCAGTAGAAAGCCCCTGAGTCCACCCAGCTCTGTTGGGTATCTAACTTACGTTAGGTAAAGTAAGAAGGGGGACGATTGCAAAGATAATATCTCAGCACCTTGTGTAGTTTCTCGATTATGTTTACACCAATATATTTTAGACGCATTCGAGTTGTGCGTTTTGTGTGTGTGGGGGGGGGGGGGGATTTACGTGCAAAAAAAATGTCCCTCACATCGCTACTATCACGTGACTGCTCACCAATGCACGTGAATCAAGCTGAGCTCACCTGGTAAAGTCCGAGCGAACTCGATGTATCCCTTGACCCACTTCTCAGCTCGATGCAAAATGGCCGTCCTCGAATCCTGACAGGCGTCTTTCGGCCACAGCCCCGCATCCGAGATCTCTGATTGGTCGGTCGGCGGGGTCAGTGTGTCTCCTCTCGGTGATTGGTTGGCTGCCAAGTTAAATGTGTCTCTTTCCACTGATTGGATGTTCAGTCTGTCTCCATTCTTGGAGAATGTCTCTTCTTTTTCCCTGTGTTGCTCGTTCGAATGAAAATACAATTCGTCCACTTTCGATCGTTCTCTGGAATATGAGCCCCCAGAGTAATTTTCATTACAATTTATTGATTGGTTGTCTTTAAGTTGAACAGGAATCTGACTAAACACATTGTCTGGGATATTTTCCTGATATTTATCGTCTCCACACCCAGGCGTCAAAGACACGCGTGTGTCTTTAAAATGTGTCTTGTCTTTGTTGCCTGTTTTATTTAGCCTAACAGTCAAAGCTTCCTGGTTTTCTTTCTTCGCGGATCTGCAACTTCCAGTTTCGGCAGTTTCGTTTTTAACATCCGTTTCCCGTTTAGCTTGTCTTATGGAAGCGTTGCTTGGTAACTTTAAAGTAGCGTCATTGGATCGTTTACCTACTAAACCGTCAGAACAAAACGTGCCCAACGCGTCTGTATTTTTCTTACTTGAGCTTTGAGTTTGAGAGTTTACCGGTTTTGTATGATGATTTAAGCTGGCTGCCCCATTAGTCGTGAAATTCGACCCCTGTACGTTTACACTAGTCGAGAGCCCATTACCTTTGTTGTTGTTATAAGCAAATGGAAGGTTCGATTGAGAGGTATGATCAACATTAGGGTAGGAACTGTAGGAAGGGGACATGGAAGAGCTGCCAGATTTTTTGCTAAGATAAATATTCCTATACTCGAGTTGCCGCTGGTGTAGGACGTCCATGGGAATCCGAACAGACGATACCATCAGTGATGCGTCTGCTTGGAAAAGTTTTTTCAAAATGGCGTCGAGTTCTGAGGTGTCGGTGATAGCGTTTGGAGATATTTGAAGACTTTTCACCTCGATAGTATCTTTCGTGCGTTTCTTGTGCGAATAGCGTCCGGTTTTGATCGCTTCTTTGGACATGCCCAAGTTGAGACAGCGCGTGAAGCGGCAGAACCTGCACGAGCTGCGTTTGTTGCCTTTGACGTCACAGGTTTTATTTTTAGCGCAGTGAAAATCCATTGGTCGTTTGAGAGCGCGACGGAAAAACCCTTTGCAGGCCTCGCAGCTGTTGACGCCGTAGTGAAAGCCCGAGGCACGGGCCCCGCATATCCGACAGGGGGGCAACACCACGGGGACGGCGTCTTTAGGTTTGGGCGGCCTGGGGGGCAGGCTGGGGTTACTCGACGGACGACTGACGGGGCTTCTCGAAACGCTAGAGCTTCTAGAAGACAAGGTGATCGGGCTGCTGGACGGGCTGTAGCCTTGACCGCGGGAGTTTTCACCATGGCAACCGTCGGATCGGATATTCCCGCAGTTGGTACTCTCATTCACCGAGCTTCTAAAAATATCGCACATGTCGTAGTTAGCTTTCTCGTCTTTTCGCTGGGCGGCCACTTCGTCTTTTACGTCGCGTGAATTTTCACTGACGTCATGTTGCGTGACGTCACCCGACGGATGAAATTCTCTCCACAGAAAACGATGTCTGTAACTCAGTTCATCGTCTTCAATGCTGATGTGTAAATGTTCGTCTTTGTTTGTGTTCATTTGTTCCTCGCTTTCATCATCTTGTTGGGTTTCGATTTCTCTCTGTGTGCTGTGGGAAGGGCAGTAGCCATCAGACAACGTCGTCATATATGGATATGCGCCGTGCTGGCCATTTTCCGGTGTAGAACTCTTCTTGGTGAAAAAATAATTAGACTCATTCGAGGGCACGTATTTCGCCTGAATCAAATCGAAAGTATGCATTTTTCTAGTGGTTTAAGACTATCCTTCATTTCACCAAGAGGGAAGATTCTATTCTGTCTTCAATGACGAACGAAATCTATAGAAAAAAAAACAAGGATATTAATTTAACGAGGTGAATATCTTAATTAAGTTAACGCAATTGTATTTCAAACAGAGGCGTAGCGAGGGGGGGGGGGTGGACCGCACCGGGTGACACCATTTAGGGGGGGTGACACCAATGCAAAAATAGCAAAATATATAGAGAAAAATAATAATTCCACTTAATTAAGTGATTAATTCAAGTGTTAAATAGTCTATTAAGAGGTGCAAATCGAAAGTTTAAGGTGGAGGGGGGGTACAAATCGAAAGTTTGTGGGGGGGGGGGGTGCAATTCGAAAAATTGAAAGTTTGTCCCCGGGAAGGGTCGCTACGCCTCTGTGGGGGGTGACACCACTAAGTGCCGCACTGGGTGACACCCGACCTCGCTGCGCCACTGATTTCAAACACCATAAACAAATCGAAAACTTAGAATAATTAAATAACCAAATAAAAGAACAGTCGGTATGAAAGTGCTTGCTAAATTTTAAATATTTTTTTTTCAAATGTAGATTTCTAGATCTTTGTTTACTTTAAAGCGTTCATTTTTTTTTCGCCATTTAAATTTTTTAGAAATGTATTCAACTGTTGGTGTATCATAAGCTATATTATATATTTAGTTTATGGTTTTCTTACACGAAAAAGCTTATGTAGCCTATCTAAAAGTTTTGTTACAACATTTAAAAAAAAATCCTATTCATTTAATTAAGCTTAAAAACACACAATCATTTTAAATATTTATTTTTTAAAAAATTTAGAGCAATTATTAGTTTCCACAATCATAAAAAAACTGTAACAAAAGTTTGATCATGATCTAAAAGAGCCTTGAACACTGAAGGCTGATATAGGACGTGAACGCTGTTCTAATCGACCACGAACGTTAATTAACCTCACAAATTCGCCTAATGATAGCCTAATGATAGCCGATACTCACAACACAAAAGTATAGCCTATATCCTTATTATGGCTTTCAATAATAATAATAATATCAAGAAATGAATTGATCCGTAGATCCGTACCTGGTCGGGGTTTTGAAAACATTACACTGAACTCATCTCATGAACAAATTAAAAACGCGAAAAAAAAGTTGCACGTTTTCAAAATATTAAAAAAAAAAAATTAAAAAAAAAAAGAAACCGTTAAGAAACATGATGCAATTTTATTTGCTTATTACATGGAGTATGATGGGTACGTTTTAAACTTAATCAATAAGTTTTACGATTTATTTCTTTATAGATCGACTATAAATGTTAACAGTAAAACACCTAATATAAACAGCAGCGAATCAGCTACATAAAAACCATTTAAGAATACCAGACAAGGGGTCATCCATAAATGACGTCACTCTTTTTTTGACGATTTTTACCTCCCTCCCCCTCCCCTCCGTCACACATCGTCACAAAAAGCCAGACCCACCCCCCCCCCCTCCCTAAAAAGACGTCACACCTCAGCCTACAACCCCCCTCAAAATTGCACTTGATTTTTTTTTTAAACATCGATATTTTTCCAAAATCTTGTCTGAACTCTGTAAAAATCGAGTATTTTAATCAATTCCTATTAGAATTTATTAAAACAGTTTTCTAAAACGCGAAATAACGTCTAAAATTCGTTTTCTAACATTGCTTTTTTATAATGCAAAAGTGTGACGTCGCACCATCTGAACCCCCCCCCCCTCCCCCTCATCACACATCGTCACAAAATTACGGACCTCCCCTCCCCTTACGAGTGTGACGTCATTTATGGACGCCCCCCAAGCTAAGACGTTGGTTTGTATTTGGCTGGTTTAGTTTGGTGGGACGTCACTGAGTCCATTCAGCTCTAATTGGTACACAGCATATGACGTCACTGAGTCCACCCAGCTCTAATCGGTAGCATAGGACGTCACTGATTCCACCCGTAAATTGGCACATAGCACATGACGTCACTGAGTCCACCCAGCTCTAATTGGTACACAGCCTATGACGTCACTGAGCGCCCCCCCCCCCCCCCCGCCACAAGCTAGTGACGCTAGTCCAAATATGTGACTCAAGCAAACATGTCTTCAGTCTGATGCAACCCTTGAAACATTGAAAGTTTTAACTTTGAATGACAGGCTTTAATATCTGAGCAGCCTCGTTAGCGGGGTAAAATTATACTTTCTCTAACAAGTTGCGCTGCATCAAGGACCGATCACCGTGGTCGCAACCGACATTTATGATGCTACATAGAGCTCTCCTATGCTAGGAAACAAATAAAGCTTGTGATAAAAATGTCACTTGCAGTTAGGCTGTAAATGTAGCGATTGAGTACCGATGTGTCAGACTCGAGTGGGGTGGGGGGGGGGGGGGGCTTCAAACATGAAATAAACTCTGACCTTGCCTCACTTAAGCATGACGGAGGAGCATGATGCAGCACGTGATTAATGTCGGTGGGGCAGGGGGCTGGGAACCTTACTTCACTTTTTAGGAACTGGTCTCATTACCTCCCTCTGTTAGGATGGCCCCATTACTTCCCTTAGTTTGGCTGGTCACATTACTTCCCTTTGTGGGCTGGTCACATTACTTCCCTTAGTTTGGCTGGTCACATTACTTCCCTTAGTTTGACTGTTCACATTACTTCCCTTAGTTTGGCTGTTCACATTACTTCCCTTAGTTTGGCTGTTCACATTACTTCCCTTAGTTTGGCTGGTCACATTACTTCCCTTAGAATACACCACAACGACGTGGTCGGACGGTAGTGCGTATGGTTTCTAACTCCAAAACCCCCGAGTTCGGAAAGATAAGCTTGCTAGATGGGGACGTCAACCCATCCAGAAGAGAAAACTGTAAAATCAAACAACTCCTGCCTTGCATGTTGTTCTTGGTAGTTGGACATAGAAGACGGAGTCAACGGGCCATATCGCGAACAACATGTTTACACATACTACACAGACTTTCTTCCAGGCATCTCTTCTGAGGAGCTTACCCCCACCCTTAAAGCACGTCTGCCGTCCCCCATTCCCCACACCCCCCGAACAAAATATACTTTATATAGAAAATATATACTTTTACCAGTGTCCGCCCCCTAGAAAATGTAGCTCACCACCCTCCCCGCAGAAAAAAGTCTGAAAGAAACACTGATACTACTTAATCATGTTAGAGAATATATGAGAATATCTCCTCCAATATTTCAACTAGGAATCATGTCCTAAAGTCACTACCTTAAAGATCAAGGCATTTTGTAAAAAAAAAAAAAAAAACCTATTAATAAGAAAACTCTTAATTGTTTACAAAATTTAACATGCGACCTTGTATGTTGAAAAATATGATGTAAGAATTTTTTTTTAAAAAATCGGCATGTAAAACCTCTAAGATTTCTCCGATTGACATGAAATCTAAAATTAGAACGATTTGTTCTCAGGAAGAAAAAAAAAGAAAAAGGCGAATTTTTTTTCCTGGTTTTCCCACGTCTGCTCTCACAAAACTCATTCCTAGTTCACTCCGACCTTTGGCCTTCTGCTCAACACACGCCTATCTTTCAGCTTCTACCACCCCCACCCCCCCCCCCACCCTCCAAACTAATTACGCTTCTACTTCATCACCTATAGAAGATATCTTAATCCAAGGGCTGTATTTAAAATGTATTATTTTAAAACAAATTCTGCTTGATAGTATTCCTGTCGTTTTGATGATCAATGATAACAAGAGAATCACGTTTAGAACATAGGAAACGTCATTCAACTTAGAATGTTTAAAATACATGACTTCAAAAGAAGTTATTTAAAAAAATTTTTAATTTTAGTAACAAAAAGCACAAATGACATAATAATATGACAAACTTGGTCACTTTAACATAATTGATGTGAGATTACTATTATTATATAAATAGTATTAGAACTATTTATTATACGAATTTTTTTTATATATTAGTTGGTCTATTTGTAGATATAGAAATAAAGTATGTCAAAAATGAAATTACATAATTAACTCCAAAAAGAATTAATATTAAAGAATGAAAAAAGTTTACCTCAGCTCAAAGAACAATAACTCTGAGTAAAGTAAGATAACTCCAACTCTCCCTTGGATTTTCCAAAACAATCGGTTACATCACACAATAGCGCGAGGATGGCGCTGTATTCGACTACTCAACACATTTCTCACTGTCGACACCCGCCTTTCTTCCCTTCACACGTGACATCAAATTTAAAATATATACCAGTACAACATGACATAAAGTGGGATTTTTTTTTTTAATGGCTAGTGTATGACAAGTTTCTTGTTGTGTATTATGTGTTTGTATGCGAACATACAAGAAGTATCGCGGCGACCACGACGGTTCTGTGATGTCACTACCGACCCATGTACGTCATACGGAGATTCACTCATGCCGCGTGGCGTAAATACGCGATACAATCACAAATTTAGGCCAAAGTGTCGTCAACTAGGTGTGGTCGGGCGTGTGTGTGTGTGTGTTTGTGTGCACGAGCTTTGGGGTTGGGGGCATGGCCCTCCCCACCCCCCCCTACCCCGGAGTGATGTCTGAAGGAAACAATGGTCACGAGGTGTTATTTTGTCTGTAGAGTGCAGTGTTTCTTTCAGAGGGGGGAGGCACTGGTAAAAGTATATATTTTCCGGGGGGGGGGGGGGTGGTGCTGGTAGGGTACCGTGTATAAGAGTATCGAACTGTGGATAAATAATTTCCTAACCTCTTGTTTCTTGATATCGATGATCTGAAGGTAGATTTGAACTCATCGACCTTGATTGAGAAACAATCAAGCATACTTTTACTGTTTTTAGACAAAAATATGTTTCTCATGCATTCTTTTCATAGGTCTTTTGATAGTGTATAATATAGAGAGTGCACAGTAAGGTCATCTTGGCTATCGGTAAAGATAAAAGACGGTTTATTATATGTGTTTGTAAATGGTCTAATTTCGTAATGACACATAAAATAGAATTTCAGTTCGTTTAAATTCTCTAGGTTAAAAATTAAAAATCGTCACGTGATCAAAGTTCACGTCACACTCATACGAGTTTGTTTCACGTGTTACATTATCCTTTTACAGTGTTAAATTATCCTTTTACAGTGTTAAATTATCCTTTAACAGTGTTAAATTTTCCTTTTACTGTGTTAAATTATCCTTTTACAGTGTTAAATTATCCTTTTACAGTGTTAAATTATCCTTTTACAGTGTTAAATTATCCTTTTACAGTGTTAAATTATCCTTTTACAGTGTTAAATTATCCTTTTACAGTGTTAAATTATCCCTTTACAGTGTTAAATTATCATTTTACAGTGTTAAATTTTCCTTTTACAGTGTTAAATTATCCTTATAGTGTTAAATTATCCTTTTACAGTGTTAAATTATCCCTTTACAGTGTTAATTATCCTTTTACAGTGTTAAATTATCCTTTTACTATATACATACATTCAACCGGAAATATTTCTGAAGATAAATTATTGAGAATTTACACTACGGAATCTTTTTTTTTTTTTTAAACTTGTGTTTTTGTTGTATTAGAAATCACCGTGGGCTACGTGTCATTGTCTTGTAAAGAATCTCTGAAAATTTGCCATTACCCTATTAAAAAGGTAGAAGTCAGTAATATATTGTCATGTCATTGCCTTGAAGGCTGAAGACGTAATAAAATAAACCGGTAGTGATCTCCCCTAAACTTTCTCGAATATTCTTATATAAAACAACAGGGGATGGTAACTGGGGATATAGTTATGATTTTTAATCCATTTTAAATACTTAAACTTTTAAAAATAGAATAGAATCTCATAAAAAAAAAACATTGCGCACCAAGCAAACGCCGAATAAAAACGCGTATAATAGTGCGCAATATTATTAGTACTTTAAAAATTTACATTAGTTTTTTGAGAAATCGGAAGTAGCGTAAATTACTCCTTCCAGTCAACGGAAATTACTCAAAATTTAACAGAAGGTAGAGAATTAGATCTTTTACTTACATGTGAAATTTCATTTATCTATCTGAAATAGTACTCAAGTTATAGGCTTTTGAAAAATTCAAAGTAGGAAAAGTACCACTTCCGGTTATCGGAAATCGCTCAAAAGTTGATACGGATCTACGATTTTGATAAAATACTTATATATGAAATTTCATCAACCTAGCTGTAACGGTACTCAAGTTATCGTGTTTACACACGGACAGACAGACAGACAGACAGACACACACACACACAGACATACGGACAAGATTGCAAAATTATGTTTTTCCGTATCAGTGAGGTGTAAAACGTCGAGATTTGTAAAAATCCTAATTTTTTTTTTTTGCACGATTACAATACTTTCTCTATACTACGTATATACGAGAAAGTAAAAAATCAGTAGTACAAGTCTTTGTTTAGAATAAAATTACTGACTACGTGCCTTTATTTAATTAAAAAATTGAATCTATATTTTTTTTCCCTGTTAAAATGCGTTTTATACATCGTTACAAATAGCCAGCCTCTGTCCTTTTTCCAAAACTTCTCGAATTATAACATTTTCCCCCTTACGCCTGAGTTCTGTAGCCACCATCTCCCACACGAGCAAGACGTTAGAAAAGCCAGACACATCTAACCTCCTTCCCCCGATGAAAGTGACGTCATTTATGGACAGAGTTTCTTTCAGGCATCTCTTCGGGGATAAGTCCGCCCCATCCCCCCGAAAATTTCAAGTGACCCCCCCCCCCCCCCCGGAGAAAAAAGTTAGGTTTCACACTGAACCCATTAATGGCATCTCGATAAAACTACCTCGATACGATTCAGTCCTGTGTGTGTTGTTGAGAAACCTACTCCATCAATTTTGATACCGCCTGCATTGTTGTCTGACCGCGTCACGGCTGATTGACTTAGTGATAAAAAGACGCACGCCCTGGGCCGTTATTTATTCATTATCCTTATCAACCACACCGTCAAAAAGGGGAAAGAATTCAAATTTTCTTTTCATTACAACTCACTGAGCGATACACAGGTATCAGTTGTCGTGGCCGAGTGGTTAAGGCGATAGACTAGAAATCTATTGGGATCTTCCCGCGCAGGTTCGAATCCTGCCGACAACGTATTCTTTTATTAATTTTAATATATATGCTTTTTAAAAGATAATCCTATAAGAATTTTTATAATCGATATATAGGATTATTAAAATGACACATGACTTTTTAAAGAACCGTCGAAGCAAGAATCCCAGTAATTTTATAGGTTAATTGTGCTGGCTAAGTGAAATCCTACATGACCACAATGTACAATTGGGATTTTAACGTGAGGACTGGTTGCAGATTGACTTACTGTGGCTGAGAATGTTGTATTGAAGGGTAAATGGTGCTAATATTTTAGGCATGTATATAGTGTTTTGTGCTGTCCTGAGTCATATAAAACTGTCGTTTTGGATCAGTCAATTGGTGTTTGGGGGTCAGTCATGTTGTTTGGGATCAATCAAGTGTTGTTTGGGGTCAGTCAAGTGTTGTTTGGGGTCAGTCAAGTGTTGTTTGGGGTCAGTCAAGTGTTGTTTGGGGTCAGTCAAGTGTTGTTTGGGATCAGTCATGTGTTGTTTGGGGACAGTCTATTGTTGTAAGGGGTCAGCCAAAACTGTTGTCTGGGGTCAGCTATATAGGGATTACTTTTGGGCTTAAGGCATTCAAATTTGTTTATGCAGAACACAACAGATTTTTATTTAAGTTTAAAACAAAACTACACATATTTTACATTTTACAAGTAAAGAAATGTATCAACATGGCTTCATAATAATTTACTTTTAATATCCATTTATATTTACAGCTCTTTTATGAGTAAAAAAAAGGTAAGATTTAAAAACATTACATACCGTAAGATTACATACACAGACTTACAAAAATACATAAATAAATCATTGTGTCTGTTGTGATGCGAGATTTGGACAGGGTCAAAGCTTGAAGGACAAAGTGCAAAGACAATGACGATCCAATATAAATCACTGACCACTTTCACATTTAAAACAGAAGACTATATTCATGATGACAGATGAACACTTCTACACCCTAATACGACAGGACGAGGCTAATCTCAAACTATTTTTCCTAACACAAAATCCTACTCATGTCACATTCTTACGTGCCCGTCACATTCAGGATCTTTTTTTAATATCAATCATTCCACAACACACATACTCTTGCACTAAAATACCATTCAAAACAGTGTCAATAGAATACTTTAATTCTTTGTTGTGGTTGATTTCTTGAGTTTCCCATTTTACTGTCTCAAAACATTTTTAATGCTAAGTGGTGATTTGTATAGAAATCTGACCAACAGGCCTGAGTACTAGTACTGACAGTTCTAAAGAAATGTTTACTTTAATATCTGGCACATTTATACTATCATATACATTTTTCTTCTTTCATAAAAGAATATAATATTAACTAAATTATGTTTTAAAGAACGTCCACTACAAGACTGTGCACATAATTTTAAATAAATAGAAGCAGCTACATTTCCAAAATTGATTACTCCATATTTTAACTCTCTTCAAGTAGCTTCGAATGCTAAGTAGCTCATTTTGTCCAGGGGAGGGTGGGTCACATTTATAGTTAACATTATATTTATGGTAGTGTACAGTAGCTGAGTGAAGACTTGTGTAGATATTATTCACTCTCTGACCTTACAATTGTAGTGATCTGTCAGTGTGTAAACCTCAGTTGATAACATTAAGAAAAGTGTTTATAGAAAAATACAAAAACCATTATCTTAACATAGCAAAAGGCCAGTCAAATTTGACTTGTAAAAAAGGTGTTAACTGTGGGCTTTAAAAAAGTGATCAAGTATTTTTAAACACAATTTTGATTAAAAATAAAAAGCTGAAATGTCACTCTTGCATGATACATGCAAATTAAATTTCTAAAAACTAAATGGTCATGACGTGATGAAAGTGATTATAAAGTAAGGTGAGATATTAATGTGTGAATAAACATTACATTAATCAGGTAAATATACACATGAGTTCCAATAAAATGAACTAACAGTAATACTCTTTTCTAGAGAAGGTTATGTTATTTTTACTTCTACTCCCTCAAAATGAACTCTATCTGCCCTTTTGACATTCAAGTCTGCAGAGAATAACTATACTTTTTTTTTTGGTTCAAACTTAATACAATTATTAATTTGTAATAAACAATAAGAAATACTATGCCTTGTAGTGTCAGTGTTTTTTCCCAACATGTAATGCTTTTCCATATTGGATGTATGACTAGTATACGGGCATATGGTTGTGGTGGACTTATGAAAGATTGTCCAAAATACAAGCTCCTCCTATAAGGGGACATACATTTTCTCTGTTTCACAGCTTGTATTACAATATACAGGTAACACTGATACATTTTCAAAGAAGTCATTTTGAAACTGACTATCATATAAACTTCAACATCATATCTGGGATGAACAACTACATATCCCACAAGCATTTTAACTTGGAATTCACAACATACACAAATGCCAGACATCTTTTGCAGGTCTTGATCCCACACCTGTAGCTGACCACTCGCCCACTTAGGTCAGTGCCATGGCAGTATTTTAATCCACAGGGGTACCAGCCAATGCATGTCCGCAGCTCGCACGTGCAAGGTTTGCTCGGGTCAGATGTGTCACGACACAGGCTGTACTTGCTAGGGGACAGCTCTGATGTGGCTGATATCAACGTTATGTAATCTTTTCCCAAGGCTGTAAAATAATTTCAAGTTAATGTGCAATGTTATAAGGAAAAAAATCTCATTATTAGTTACATCTGTAAATGCTACTTTTTACACTTGTTGAAAAAAAATCTATAGCCCATCATACTAATAAGTAAGTGATTATTTCTAAAACATTTTAGTAACTCAAGATATAATTATTGGAAAGAGTGATGAGAAAGAGAAAAAATAAAAAAGGACAGAAATATGTTGAAAAAACCCATGCTACATTGTGAGTTAAAAAATGCAAACAAGACCTCATAAATATTTTCCAACTAAACCTAATATTGTAAAATAAAAGAATTATGTAACTAATTTTGATGAATGTCACACCATAAGTAAATATGCAGTAAAGAGCTCACAAAAAAAGTATCAATATTTTATATTTCATGTTTTTAAATGTTGATTTGCACTGTAAACAGATAAAACACATAATAAACTCCTTACACTTTGAAATGGTTTTGATGTCCGCCTCTTCTGTGAAAGTCCGATCCTTGGCCTCGCTGCAGATGTTGAACACATAGGGGCTGATGACCTCTGCCTTGTTCAGGTTGACTGTGAGGTCAAGGTTGTGAGTTATCATTTCTTTTTCTTCTTCAGGTGTCCTGATGGCTGTTGGATTTTTCTGCACAAATTAACACAGAATCATTTAGTTAAATATTCCATTTTTATCATTACAAGCTATAAGTTAGTGCAATGTGTATACAAACTATATTTTAACATTTTAGACAATAAACATGATGGCTTATTTAAGTTGAGATTTGAATACATAGTACAAACCTGTCTTAATTTAGACATCGCATCAGATGAGATGAAGTCATTCCTCATGAAACGAGTTATGAAGCAAAATACCTGAGGTGTTGTCTGTCCTAATTCTTCTTCACCTAGCACAAGTATTCTAAAAATTTGAACCTCCTGCAATAAAAAAAAACATTTGAAAAGTTATGTATGCATTTATTGTTGAAATGCTCATAATAACTTATGTCTAAGGAATAAAAACTTTTAAAAAGTTTTGTTTATGATTCTCACTTCAAACTGGATGGAGCTTGTTGCTATCAACAATCAACTATGTGACAAATGGATTTCGACAATGCATAGAGAATATTTTTTTATTAAGTTCTAGTTAAGTGTTAAGTGACCCATCAAATTTTTTTTAAATTTACCATGTAAAATATGGTCTTTCCATAATGTAGGCCTATATTTACTATATTATCATGGATGGTTGAAAAACCTTTAAAATTTGTTGGTGTTAGCCGTTAGGGTTAGGGCTAGGGACAGGGTTAGCATTGACATTAGCCAGCCATGTGTGTATTTAGTTAACTACCAGTAAGCTAGCACCCCTTTTTAAAAGAAGATTCTATTATCGGACACTAGTATAAAAATTCCCCATTTAAATTTTGGAGCTCTTATCTCACGTTGTGTGTTGTAACTGAAAAAAACTGAATGAACTGAATATGTAACTTGAACTTGTAAAGATTAGAAGTGAAGTCTAGATCTACCAATGATAAATAAAATAATTTATACCTTATTTAAATACATAAAAAGATGATTGTCAAATGACTTAATAAGTTAATAAGTTGATATAATTTATAAACCAAAACTTACAGATTTAAAGTCAATAAACTGTGTAACAAAAGAGCCATCAGAGCTCAGAAATTCTACGATCACTGTGTCATCTGTTGTGTTAGAAACGATTGTCTCTACTATTGTTTCCCCACCCTTATTTCTTGCATTTACGACAAGCTGAGGCTCAACATAAGTTAAACAAATACACGTAAAACACGCCGTAAGCGTAATAATGCGCATTTTAAAAGAATTAAACAGAGATAGACGTCAGGCAAAATTATTAAATTAGGGCCTAGTCTTTATAATAATCCTCAATCCATTGTTGATTTTTAGTCACTTCCTGTTATAGTTAACTCTCATTTTTAAACCTAAAACAAGAGAGCTAGGTTCTACTTGAGTTATCGGCCTTTGGCTTTGCGGTAGTAGTCCTAGATCTAGATAAATAAATTCGTCAAGTGTCGTATCAATAATATCATTTGTTCCAAATATAGCCTAAAAATCAAATGGCGATCCTATATTAGATAAGAATGGCGGGGGGGGGGGGGGTAAACCGTTCATTTTGGTTAGAATAACGACTGGCAACGAAGAGGGTTAATACTGTATGTTTGATAGTATTACTGATACATTTTTGTCAGCCTAAAGATTTTTATTTCATAGACTGGGCCTATATTGAAAAGAGTTTGTCTCCCCTTGATTGAGATTAAATAAACGTGTTGACATACAGAAATAACAAAATATTGACACTGTCTTATATGTTTTAGCACCCCACTCTATTCTCCACTTTTCGCACCGTAACACAAAAATAGATTCCCCACGCTAGAATGAGGTTCAATTATCTCACCTTCAATGTTTCTTCCAGGCATCGAAGCCCCCCCCCCACCCCCCCACAGAGAGTCTACAGCCCCTGAACGAAATGGGAAATATATACTTTTAATAGTGTCCGCAAACCCCCTTCCCCCCCCCCCCCCCCACGGAGAAAAAAGTCTGGAAGAAACACTGTTCACCTTCCCCAAGGTAATTATTCTAATGAAAATTAGCATTTAAAAAATCAATTTTGCCCTTTAAAAAGTTAAAAACTAAAGCTAAGTAACACTTTCTTAACCACCCTTATCCGTATCCCACCCCCAAAACAACCTATTTGGGTTCTTACTTAGAACAGGTCACAATGTAATATGGGATGGAGGCTGTTCAGGAAAAATTATGTAATATGTATTTTCTTTGAAATTAAAAAAATGAAAATGTTAATTTTCTTTCCACCAATGAAGAAGAGATGGCAAATTTACTGACACAAATGACAAAAGCATCTGATTTTTTGCAAATATTTACATCTGATTTATTTAATCAAAGACTTAACAGTAACAATTTGTTTTCTACAGAAATGACTGTGAAAGATTTTTTTTTTACAATTTATACATGCTTCAGATAGCTGTGACAGGAAATAAATTTTACATTAACTATATTAATTTTACAGTAACCTTGGAGTAAGTAGTTTTTACAGTAACTAAAACTCAGCATAAGGAAAATGTACAGTAATATAGCTTCAATGCGATATGTCATGTTAACACTAACTAATTCATATAACATAAACTTTGCTGCTGTGTATTAAATGTTAACAAAAATGTGTTAGTCTAAGTTAACATGCATGAGGTGTTAGTCTTATGTTAACACACAGTTAACACATGTCTTATGTTAAGATAAAGGTGTTATTTCTTTAAAAGACTAATGACATGCTGTAAAAATTGTTAGTATAGGATCTTTTCAGTTTAAGTAGCAATAAAAGCCTAATCGCAAATGTAAATTAATTAGCTATTAATAAACAGGTGGCACACAACTAAATAGCTAGTAGGTGAAAAGTGAATTCATTAAACTAGGTTGAAAACAATAAACTCAATAGCAAAGTGTTGGGCATGAATATTCTACTCTCTCAATACAGAGGTAAATCTAGGGTTAAAACAAGTAAAAAATAACCAAAAAAATCTTTCTGAATATTTAAATTTTAGTTTAAATTAAGTACCAATTGTTCTGGCCTCCTCTATCAGTTTTGAATAAAAGATCATTAGGATAATAGGCCTAGATCTATACATTACACAAATAACAAGGTCTAAACTACTTAACTCTTTCATGCAAGACCAAAATAACTTTTAAATACTGTAATCTAATGGACATTTTAAATAGTATATTTTTTCAATATAACTATTTAAAAAATAACATTTACATCAACCAAAGTTGTTTCTTATTATTAATAGTCGATCTTCGTAACAACCTGTAAGGAATTACAGTGTATCTTGGTTGTATATTGTCTATAAAGATATATGGAACAGAAAAAATAAATATCACAAAGAGAGTTAACTCTTCTTGCTTTGGTATCCAGGTTTTGTGTATTTGAACTGTATTTAATAGTAAATATTTTAAGTTTAATTTATTGTAACTTATAACACTAGCAAACATACAGATGTTAAGATATGGAAGACTATGTTTTAACAAACATATGAAATTTCTAGAATTTTTTTAATAAGAAAAATGCTTCTTCAGTGTTCTATCCTATTGCTTATTGTGTCAACAACATGCAAAGCGTCAGCATGCAAATGTTTTGATGAAACAACTATCTAATGCCAAGCTACTTTGTGCTTTGATAAAAAAAAAAAATGACAGTAATAACAGCTAGTGCTCCCAGCACAGCAAGTAAATTACTATTTTAAAAATACATAACAGAATTCAACTGAATAGCCTTCAGAAATTCCCTCAGTAAAAATAAAGAAAAAAAAATTGATTTTTTTTTTAAATTCTAGGAAGCTAATTACTTAGCATTCATCTGAAGCAACCGGGTTTTCTTAAAATATAAGTTAAATAATTTGAACATAAGTTATTTGTTCTGTATTAAGTAATTCAAACAGTAAAAACATGATAAATATTTCTCTAAATTGTTTACAGCTAAGAAAAAAAAACTGATTTGAAAATTTTAAAGGAATTAATCTGAAAATTCTAAAGAGAAGACAACTGAAAACAAATCTCAAAAAAGAAATAATCCCACTCGACAACATTTTATTAGTAAAATATTTGCTGTTTTTATTACATTGTTTAACCCACTAATGTCCTATAGAGTTAGGGAACTACAAACCCCTGACTAACAATTCCCTTTCCTTAGCCGACACATCCTTGGATTAATACCAAGCTTAATCGACCTCATTGCCATAGCCCTGTTAAAATGTCTTTGCTGGGTTTTTGAACCATCGCCTGCACCAGAGTCTTGAAAATTGGATTCTATGGATGTCACCACACCAAAGAGAACTCCCACGACTAAAAACAAAATAATAAACAGGGTGAAATGTGTGACCGAGGGGGACGGCTCCGAGTCTAGGTCTCGCAGGTGGGATTTAGCTGGCTGGAAACCTGGGTTTAACAACAAGGCTTGGTTAAAATGCATGGCTGCTTCTTGAGGGTGTCCGTAAGATTTTAGTATTTCCCCCAGTGTGTAATGTTGCAGCCAGGCGTTTTGTCCAGCTGGCTGGAGATGCAGGGAATGGCGGGCCAGGTAAATGGCATCATCTAGATACTGAAACAAGACAAAACAAGAGAAACTAAAAAGTTAGTGCACAGTTAAGACATGAAACAATACATTAAAGAGATGAAAGTTAAACCAAAGTAGTCAAATAAAACAAATGATACTTAAGAAACTAAAATTAATCCAATTCAGAGAATTTTAAACAATAAAGATAATACATGATAAACAAAGGTTAATCTAAATTTAAAAAATGCAAATTATGAGACACTAATTAATGATACATTAAAACATAAAACATTTATAAGATAATCCACACTTAAGTTAGTTTTAACTGACTCACAATAAGTTAAAGCAAAAGTTTTTAATAACTTATGCACTATTTGTAGAGATATATTGCTGTTTTATGTTACATATCCCAATAAATTTGTGACTCTAAATTATGTTATAATCTGATGACTTAAAATTGAGCTGCTGGTATCAGTATATATAAAGCTTTTGTTTTGTATGTGATAAAGAAAAAGTAAAACAAACAGTAAAATAAAAATAAAAACTTTGACTATCCTATAAGAAAAAACCCCACTGATTACCTGTAAATTAAATAAAACACGGGCCAGATTTAGAAGGATATCAGGGTCCTCTGGTGATATACTCAAAGCTTTACGAAAACACTCTATTGATGTTTGAGTATTGCCCTTTATCCGCCAGAAATTCCCAATCAAATTGTATACTTGAGCTGACTGTTGTCTCTGTGGAAAATAAAACAGGAAAATTGAATTAACATACATGTTACCAGTACCATATAGAGGTAGATTTTACAGCTATAATACATCAGATGTAAAGGGAATATGTAGCAGTTGAAGACTCAGCTTTTGTTTATTGTCATCTGAATGGTGTCAGGTGTGTGAAATATTGAATATTATGTACCTATTAACAGTAAACAGATGCAGCCAGAACCTTATTATACAATCGTAATTAACCAGGTAAACTCAGAAACAGGTTATAAAAAGGTTGTTTCCAGTAGGGATAGGGAGAAGAGGTGTTAGGATTCAATTTTTTTTAAATGAGCTATGTGTTCTTACAGACCAGATAGATAGCCAGTAGTGCAGATAAGTCAAGTTCACCTGATTCTGTGACCTTGGCATTAAACGATTGCAAGGTCATACTCTCCCCAGCTACCTTTGCTCCCTCAGAGATGGGTGGATTTAGGAATCCAATTTAGATTCTAGACTGAACATTGAACAGTATTGTGGTTTTTTTTTAAATAAAACTAAAGATGATATACCAAGTTGTATAAAAGTAAGTGGATTTTCCCCATTCAAAATCACTCTGGGACTATTTTAGTGTAACTATGACACTGTCACCTTGGTAGCTCATTGATCTGAAGAGGCTTTGCTGGTTTCAGATAACAAACTTACTTGATGTGAGCCATCTTTTTCAATATCTCTTTTTGCTTTGCGTAATTTTTGTTCTAAATCATTCATATCTACTTCTGATGACTTTCCGTTATTCTGAAATATCATAGCTACATCTGGTTCAGGAATGTGAGAGTGCAGATGTCGCTCCGAAATGCCTGAAACATTTTGGAAAAGGTTTAATCAATTGTGAACTATAATTTTTTTTACAATATTTTATCGTTTGAGATAAGCTAAATAAAGACGAAAGCTGCCAAACTGACCCCTTAAATGATCGTACTGTGTTGAGTTTACTCGCTTTCCACAGTTCAATGGTTTGAGTTTACTTGTTGATTTCTTTGTATTAGTTTTATGTTTTGATGTTGTGCTTAAAAATAATAAGTAAAAGGCATGTTAGAAATACACCTACAACCAAAATAAAATGCTAATATTAAAACATCAAATTAATTAAAACAAATGCAGAAATTCATGCTGAAAAGAAAATGTAAATGCACTCTTAAAAATACTCATTCTTTAAACTAGACTAAAAATAGTTACCAGTTACTTATTGCAATAATTGAAGAAAAACTGTTTACCCTTTATTTATATTTGTATCTGTATTTTCTTTACATAAATATGAATTATGTACATCGGCTTTCTTATTGGTTTCACTGCTTTGTTCAACAGTGTGACAATCGCTAGGGGTAAATTCTCCCGTAGAAATATAATCAGTGACGTCCCTAGGTGAGGACACTACCCATTCACCATCAGAAACTATTTTGTTGGTCAATATCTCCATCATTCTCTCTTCCATAGAGCCTTCAGGTTCACTGACTGTTGTAGGAGATGAGGTGCTGTTGGTTTCATTGGATGATGAACTGCTATTGTTGGTTTCAGTCTTGGCTGGTTCAACTTTGCCTGCAATACATCAGTGTCAAGTAAATTGGTACAGAATTAGGTATATCTTGTAGATGGTAGACCAAAATGTTCATCTAATTTAAATGTACTTAGATCCCAGCAAATAAATAATCACGAATAGCTTTAATGAATTAATAGTAACATCATACAGTATTTTCTAGTATCTAAAAATATGTTATAAAGTGGTAGAATAATTTAAATTTAGTTTAGTCCCCCAACTGGTAGGCATGGATTTTTAAAAGGGTGTATCAAAATTGTGAAAAAAAAATTGCATTTCTTTTTAAATATATAGGATTGTGCTCTTTTTTAACACATTCTTTCAAATGCCAAGGAAACATGATGTACGTAATTATTAGTCAATTTGGTAAACAAAAAATTCATCTGCAAACCTGAGTCAACATTACATTTCTAAATGCATTATAATTAAGGATTATTTTTTTAAGTGTGTAAGGCTACATCATAGCATAGCCAAAATTGAACAAAAAAAGTCATAAAAATAGTGTTACTTGATGCATTTATTGATTTATTGTCAACACAATTTTTTAAATTATATTATCTATTATTATAATGGGATAAAAAGGTCCCTCCAGCCATTAAGAATCAAAAGGATTTGGACGGAGTGGACCCTTTTTTGCCTTTTGTTTGTGTGCCTAGCAGAACGACCCCCCCCCCCCCCCCTTTTCAAGTTTTCAACTCTGGCCTGAGACTTGAGTAATGCCTGTAGGCCTACACTGTAACTAGACTATGGCAGGAAACAGATTGGTACCGCAAAATGCATATTCGGTCTTCGCCGTTCATAAACTTTCTAACCAGACATCGTTCTGGGATTTTGTGTAAACTGATAAATAGAGCAAGGTTTTTACAAGCTTCGTTAGCAACATTTTTGTGGAATTCGTTTTTTATGACATTTTGTGCCGTGGCGAAGGATGCGAAGTATGCAAATCTAGACGGAATGGATCTACTTGGAAAGTACGTGTACTGCACTAATAAGGTAAGAAATAATATTTTGTAAAAATAACTATTATTTTTTTATGGATTTTTCATTAGAAATGATTGCTGTAAATTATGAAAGTAAAAAAAGTATATTTGAATGCGTTTTTTACTTTAATTTGAACAAAATGACTGCAGAAAATTACGACACATCGGCGTCGCTGAAAGCGGGAATTTCAGTTAATTTTTTACGGATATAAAATTGTATTTTTTTACTCCGAAGCATGTATTTAAATAACAGTTAAGTTAAATCTATTTAATTCTGTAAAATATAATTATTATTTTGCCGTAGATACTTTTTTTTATATTTTTAATGATTTTCTGTCGCGGAAAATCGGTATTCGCACCATGCACGCACACGTAGTAAAACTAGACTTATCTTTAAAACACGAGAATCTTGAGTACACTGCGAATAACAAAGTTTTTAAATGTTAGTTTACTTTTGACTTTAAGCCATTTGTTTTAAATCGAAATTAATTGATAATGTAATTATTTCAAAGTAAAAACTTTCCGTCTGAAATTGGCTTCTAACCTTCGCCACTGAACCAGCCTACGCACGACATTCGCGCGAGTCTGTTTCTTCGCAATAGTCTGTATAGTGTCGAGGGCTAATCCTAAAAAGAACCGAGTCCTCACTAATGTAATGTTTATTAAAATTAGGTGCAATTGTTGGAACACATGAGAAATAACAAATTTAAATTTCTTCAAATCTATAGCCAAAAGAAAGTAGAACTTTATAACTCTGTAAATTATGAATCGAGTGACGGCTGTCGTGAAAACGGGAGCCATTGTACTCTTTTTTTTTAGGGTGACCTACTTTTATTATATAAATTTAAAATTCGAAGATTTGATAAGCAGCTGAGTAGCTGAATACGCATGCGATATGGCTGGCACGTTTTGGGATAGGGATCGAGTACACCGTAGAATTTTTTTTTCTAAGAACTACCCGTATTTTTTTTTTAAATCAAAAGATACTTACATATTAGCTGTGGATTTCAATTTCATTACAGAACTAATCACTAACTTTAGTTTTTAAAAGTGATTTTGCTTCTAGATCTAGCGTATTTTCAAAATTACGTAGATTCTAGATCTAGATCGATTTTACTAACTATTTGACAAACGTGTCAGTAAAATGAGGTCACCGCTTCCAGATTCTTTGGTTTTAATTATGTTTGTCATTTTGATCAATTATAAGTAGCATTAAAACTACTGCATCTATCATCAACATTGTTTTTATAGGCCAGTTCTAATGATACATTCTGTTCATTACCAATTCTAATGAAATCGTATCAGGCCCTAACTAACACCCTGTTCACTGACACCACACTATTTGAATGAGGTCACAGACAGTCGTAACTTTAAATTAATTTATAAAGTACTAAACAATTATAATTAGCCATGTAAATGCTGCAACTATAATAAAAATTGGCATATAGACATATTTTACTAATAATATTTTTTATATAGACCTTCTATATTTAACTCTGTTATTTTTTTCTTCCCCAGAGTGTTTTTAAAAGCCAGAATTTTGAACATTTTTTAAAGGGGATAGCGGTCGTTTTTTTTCAAGAATAATTATAGAAATAAGCTATAAACTGGTATATTTTGTAAAGTTTGACATAATTACAAATAAATGTATGCCTAAGTGACATTTCTGTGTAATTATATTGTTAATTTTGTGAATTTCGTGGATTTTAGACCTTACTACGTTTAGATGTAAAAAAAAATGTCATTTGAGTGAGTGTGGTTAATCTAAATTTTGAAGGTGATGTAAATGTCTAGTGCTATTAATTTTTATATTTTTGAATTCCTCGATTGTTAAGCAACAAAATTGATATATAATATGTCAATATTAATATTTGTTACTTTGAAAATTGGCGAAAATCGACCCTAAAAGTAGATGTTTGAGAGTTGAATCTGTTTCCTGCCCTATATAGAATTATCTAGAACTAAAGTTGATAGATCTAGGTCTAGTTTCATTTACTCTCGTCTATGTCATAGCTAGGGGGTAGACTAGCAACAGTACCACACAACCATTGTTATTTGACAATTTGTTGACTCAGGCTCACTCGACTGACTGACCAACCTGCTGAAAGATTTAGTTTCCAGTGATGTGAACTGGATCTACTGTTGCTGTTAACAATATGCATGGAAATAACGTACAGTGCCATGTAAGACATACATGGCAAGTCACAGGCCATTCTAAGGCCAATTATTTAACACACAATCAGGCTTTCACTTTATTTGACGACGACAGACCGATGTTACAGAAACAGTTTTTGTTGATATGGAATCCTATTTCCTGTTTAAAAACAATATGGCTGTTTTGATGTCATCAATGGGAGCAAATCAAGGGAACTAACTCGATAAATAAATTCATGCTTCAATATTTGTTTAACTTAGGGTATGGGCCTAAATTATTTTTAATAACGCTTTTATCTTTCTCTTTTTAGTGCATAAATCTAGTTACATTTCATAACAGCTTGTTTTTAGAACTTTTTTTTTGTTCAATTTTTGTAATTTAATTTTTTTATTAGAATGGAATTGCATGGGCAATAACACTTGCGCACCAAATTAGCGCAACGAAGTGTATAGAGTCCTTGCAAACACGTGACCTAAATCACGTGATACCTACGCCCGCCGCCACAGTGGTGTACATCAGACGTAAACACAATCAGCTGTTCGCCAGCGCTGGACGTGTTCACCAGCGCTGGACGTGTTCACCGTGTGTAAAGAATCGCGCCCGCGGAAAAGGAAAAATATGTTAAAAAACTTGAACTCTTAGGAATTGAAGATCCTTATACAGTTATTGACAGTTTCGTGGATAATATAAATATGTGGCCGAAATTTCTAAATAAAAATACTGTTAGTAATACCGTTTGCGTTTAGAGTTTAAGTAGACGAAGCTGATCAAATGCAGTAATATATTAGAGGTTATCTACTGTAGCAAACGTGAGACCACTTAACTCCTACAAAACCCACATTACAACGGCTAATATAATCCATGGGTAATAACCAATCCGGGTAGCATGTTATACAATTTAAGACCCTTATAATCCAGCAGGGAAGTAATCAGACACATTAATACTGACGTTCAACCCTCATGATGGCTGCCCCCACCTGTATCTAGCCCACAATAAAACCAAAGAGGAGTCTGCCCTGCCCTCCCCTGAAAATGTCTCACCTCCGTGATACCCAGCCCCACAGAGATAGTATTTCTGATATAATTTTGACCCTCAGGGCCCAGCAGGGAGAACAAAGGGGAAAGTCCCACTGCTCTCCCCTCAACACTTCTCACCTCGGTGTCATGTTATGTCATTTATAGCACACACGGCTTATCAGGGGAAAGCATTAAGGCATTAAGAATCTTAACACTGGACAGCTACACACTAGTATACTAGCTACACACTAGGTGCCTACTGTATACTAGACTGTAGGCCCTATGTAGACCTGCAATTGTATCAATTGTAGACTGGGTCCATTGTTATTATTCTAAACCATCTCACTTATAATGTTTCTAGCTTGATTTGTTTCTTTTATAAACAGTGGATTTAAAAAAAACTTTAGCCTAATCATTAACCAAATAATAATAATGTGGTTATTTGTTGTTGGCTGGTATGATCTAGATTGTACTACTAGGCTACAAAAACTTAGTAGACCAATTACTAGATATGAATTTGAATTTAATTAAACTCAGTCCAGTATCAGATACATATTGCTGTAAAAAGACAACAAAGTAGGTAGGCCTTAGTAATTTATTAAAGCCTTCTACTACAATAATATCAACTACATGCTTGTATAAAGTTTTTACAATTTAATTTAAGTAGCAGATTCTAGATCTAAGTCTAGTCATATAATCTATTTCAATTTCAGAAAATTTCGTTTGCTAAAAAAATGATTAGATAATAGAGCGAGATTTTAGATCTTAGAGACAATTAAATGCTTTATTAGGCCTATTATGACTACTTTTGATTTATTATGGGTGTATTTTGAATCGAATGTAGATCTAAAGTAATTAAATTTAAGTAAAGTAGATTCTAGATTCTATGTCTACCCAGCGGAGCCAGGTATTAGGCCTACTATTAGATCTTATTATTCTTATTAGCCTATTACTTTTGATTTTGTCTTTTACTATTAGTATTTGTGAAGGTCGAGCATATTTGTTTTATTAATAGTTATCTTTTATAATTAAAATGAAGTTTATTATTTTACTGTCCTTACATGAAACAAAGTATCGAGAACTGCATTTGATCAGTTTCGGCTACTTTAACTCTAAACGCAAACAGTATTACTAACAGTATTTTTATTTAGAAATTTTGTCCACATATTTATTTATACGAAACTGTCAATAACAGTATAAGGATCTTCAATTCCTAAGAGTTCAAGTTTTTTAACGTATTTTTCCTTTTCCGCGGGTGCGGTTCTTTACATACAGTGAACGCGTCCAGCGCTGGTGAACACGTCCAGCGCTGGCGAACAGCTGATTGTGTTTACGTCTTGTGTACACCACTGTGGCGGCGGGCGTAGGTATCACGAACGGACGTGACGTCATATGAAAGGACTCTATTACTAGCGCTATAAAAATAAATTGGTACGTTATATTCGACTTTAATCCATTCTTTAAAAATTAATGAAGCATCGGATCAAATTAAATTTGATGTCATATTGCGTTGTCGTTGAGTCTTAACAAATTTTGAAAAGAAATCGGTTAGCTAGAAGCGGTTGAAACTTTGCTCAGTGTTTCTTCCAGAATTTTTTGAATTTTTTCTGCGGGGGGGGGGGGGGGGGGGGGGGGGCGGTAGACTTTCTTCGGGGGGGGGGGGGGGCGGACACTGTTAAAAGTATATATTTTCTATATAAATTTCATTTCTTTCGGGGGGGGGGGGGGCGGAGAGATACGTCAATTAGTACCAATGTCCAATTTTTTCAATATAGACTACAATTTATCGATCCTCGCTTTTCTGTAGAGCTATATGAATAGGTGCATAACAGTAGCGTACGCAGGGGGGGAGCAGGGGGAGCGGCCGCTCCCCCTCTGGCCATTTTCAGCAAAGTGGCGCCTTTTTGGAAACTTTTTAAACTCAAAGTTTTAAACAATGATATTTGTTAAAAAAATATTTTTGGTCGGCACATCTAAGTAAATCACAAGATTTCTTTTCATGCAGCAATTAAGCAATATTGTACTAGTGTAGTAATGTATACGTTTACAACACGTATTAACAGCTGCATCAGTTTGCCATTCTAAAAATAACCATTACGATGCATTGCAATGTTTAAAAAACCTCTACGGGTAGTACGACTTGGCAAGAGGGGTGTTAAGTTTAAGGCAACTGTATAATGTATTTGCTTACGAATAATTGAATTAGAAAATGTTATACATAAAACTTCACACATAATTACTTTATATATCAGTTTGAATCGTGTGGTTAATTTTAAAAAAATTACAATAAAGAAACAAATACAACTGATGTGGCACCTCTATTTAAATTTACTTATGAGCAAACTGCGTAGAGGCGGGGAAATTTTGACAAGGCCAAAGTGATTACGATTACAAATTATATGAAACAGTTACAACCCCCCTCCCCATGGACCCCTCTGTAAAAAAAAAATATTGTCATAATACCACTGCTACTTATTTAAATCTATTTCTGTAATATGTATTTGTGTAATATATATTTGTGTAATAAATATGTATGTTTAGAACAGTCATCTAAAAACTGTCGCTATGTTCAGTCTGAGTTGGTTATCGCCCCCCCCCCCCCCATACACACACCTCACCACCACAATTGTGTAGAGCGACATTAATGTCACACCTAGGTATATTCTGGGTTGGATAATTGACCTAAAGTGACCGGACAGTGGTGAATGAAGTTTAACCCCCCTCCCCAACGCGTCATGATGTACCAAAGTACCATGCCGCCAGAAAATTAGCTTTTTAAACGTAAAACTCTGTCAATACTGTTTTTGCAAGTACCAGTAAAAAGGTGTGTGATCAATACAGTGATCTAACCCATACCTTTCACCATGTTAAAAAATGATCTTTAAAAAACAAAAAGAAGCAGTAGTTAATTAAAAATATATGATCTGAACTAAAAAGACCAATATTTTCATTTAGTTAAATTCCGAGTGTTTTTCTATTAAATCGAAAATTGTGGTTTTATACCAACTCTGATTTTAAAACCTTTCATTATGCTGTAATACTTTAGCATTTATGATGACGATATATTAAATTCTGATTATAGACAAAAACATTTTGTAAACACGAATAGTGTTAAACAATTTCATTATAATCTAAAGTAATTATTTATTTGTTTTGACGTTTATAATTAAATGTGTAGAGATATACATATTTATATTAAGAGAGTAATTATTTCCCCTATTTAACTTGTCTTAAATAATTTCCCAGGAATTATTATGTAAGAAATTTTTTTTTACAAGAATTACAAAACAGATTGTGTTACGTTCATTGTTTTTGGTTGTAGTGTGTGTATATTTTTTTTTTGTTTAGATTGATACAATTTTTGTTTTGTCGGCCTACATTGTGTGTTTTTTTCTTATTTCTTCAGAGTGCTACTTTTAATTTATTTTACATCATAGCGAAGTAATGACATACAGCTACAAATTATATATATATATATATATATATATATATATATATATATATATATATATATATATATATATATATATATATATATATATATATATATATAATTCGGCGCCTTTTTTTGCTCTTTTCGCTCCCCCTACAGCGAAAACCTGGATACGCCTCTGGTGCATAACTATAGTATTATTTAAAGAGACTTTTTTCTTTCTTATTTTTTAGTGCATAAATAGGTTACTGGTTAAAGTGGACCATAATTTTCTATATACATTTTTTTCTCCATTTCTTCGGACTCGGGGGACAATTTTTCCCACGTTTTCTTTAACTTGCTTTCGCCTCTGTTTGTTTGTTTGTTTTTCCAATCAAATTTTGCGATCGAAATTTCGGGCACTTCCCAGTTAGCTAGCGCGCTGAAATTTTCAGGGAAGCTTTGTTTTGGATGACAATAGAATATTCAACTGTAATTATTACCAAATTGATCCATGGAAACATTTTATTGATCATTTTATACCCCTATATAATTGTACAAAAAACGTGGGGAAAAAGAGACATAACCCAGTAACTGTAATTTGATGAAAACAAGGTTCGGTACTCTCCCTCTTTTTGCTTACTGAGTAGTTGTCACGCGTTGTTTGTCTACAAACAACCAGAACGTAACAACTGGTGGCCAGTATGGGGGAGACGATATGGTCGAGTGGTTGGGCACACGATTGCTAACCCACTCGACACGGGTTCAAATATATGTGTTCTAGTCAGTAACGTATTCACACAACGTGTTTTTTACGAGTTGTCTTTTTACGAGTTGTCTTCGTTTACCCCAAAAAAAAAGTGAAAATATAAAATCGATAGCAATATTTCAATGCAAACAAACAGACAAAGACTAAAAAGTAGAAAATAATAATCATTAAAAAAGTTTTTAAAAACCCACGTTTTCTGATTGAACTAAAAAGTAGAAAATAAATGCTATACATCACAATAATGCAAGCGATCACTCTACTATAAGCGATCAAAAACGTGGGGCGCCGTGATTTTCTTACAGTTTCTAATACTGTTGACTCTCTACAAGCTCCCTAATAAAAGTCAATAGTATTATCTAATCAATAGTAATATAACTTTTACTTCGGCGCCCCACGTTTTTCATCGCTTATAGTAGAGTGATCGCTTGCATTATTGTGATGTATAGCATTTATTTTCTACTTTTTAGTTCAATCAGAAAACGTGGGTTTTTAAAAACTTTTTTAATGATTATTATTTTAAACAAGGGTAATGCATCTGAAGGATGGTAAAAATCGGCGTCGAGTAAAATGTTGGGAAACGAAAATCTTTATTAGTATTATTATTATTAAGTAATTAAGTCGGTTGCAGACTAAAATTGCTTGACTAAAACGCAAGCACAGATGTAGAAAGCATGCAATGTGTGTGTGTTTGTGTGTAATTGTATGAAAAGATTAGTGTGGTATTTGTCAACTTTGCTCTTGAAAGTCTATTTAACTCTAAACATTTATTTAACTTGAATGATCTTTTTTCTGTAGGCCTAGATCTATATATTTTCCTTTTTTTTTTTTTTTTTTTTTTTTTTTTTTTTGGGAAGACGGAATGATCACAGCATTATTTACTATTTAGGCCTAAATTTTCTGTAAATGCACTTGGCCTAAAGAAGGGAGGTAACGCATTTCGGCAGATATCAGTTTTCTGGAACTTTCGCTGATTAAGCGAATATTCTTCAACTTTCAAAACATACAGCTTAGAGCGTGACAATTTTCATAATATTCAGGTCTAGATTTCAATTTCTTACACACACAAAAATGACATAGGCCTAGTTCTAGCTAGACCATATTTAATAACTATTTAATTCAGGGTAGGCCCTAGGCCTTCTAAAATGTAATTATAAACTATACTTCCGGATCGTTGTAACTTGTTAACCATGACAACTTTAACGAATCGAACTCACATTATAGTCCAAATATTTATCCGAGCTTCAAAACTTATTCATTTGTTTTAATAATAATATATCTAATTAAAATGGGGAAAAAATTGGAGAAATATTTCTTTGGCTTCAATATAGATATACTAATGAATGCAACATATTTGTTAGTTTTAAAACTTCGATTACAGGAAGAAATCGATATACATTCGCCCAGCAGCGACCGAAACGTAATCCAACCGAGCTGCGTAACCAACTTTCTACCCTTGCATTTAACACTCTAGGCTACAATTCTCAAACAAAATGGCTGAATATCTCGCCTCTATTTTCGGAACAGAAAAAGACAAGTAAGTACTTATTACCTTAAAGGTTAACATCGCATTTCGTTTAAAATCTAGTCTAGATCTAATATAGTTAGGAAGATCTAGATTTTAGATAAATCTGACATAACAAAATCAAATGGTTTGCTTAGGACTTGACTACTTGACTTAGGACTTTGAGTAGGACTGAGAGTAGACTAGTCTAGATTCTAGATCTAGATCTAGAGTATCACAGCATAAATAAACTCATAAACTATAAAATAAAAAGTATAGATCCTAAGTAGATCTAGTAATTATTAAAATATTAATTGGCCGATTCTAGTCGGAATAAGATACGCATGCGCAATGGAGAGAAACTACGACTTAGCGGCGATGTTTTCGATGGTACTGCGCATGCGTGTGTTTACAACCGCAGAACCCTAATACCAACCCTAATCCTATCCTTAACCCTATCCCTAATCCTATCCTTGGCTTAACCCTATCCCTAATCCTATCCCTAACCCTAGCCCTAATCCTATCCCTAACCCTAGCCCTAATCCTATCCCTAACCCTATCCCTAATCCTACCCCTAACCCTCATTCTAGCCCTAACCCTAGCCATAGGTCACTGCGCATGCGCAGAACTATCTTTTGCCGCAAAATCTTATTCCGAGTAGACACTTCGTTATTAATTAAGTACTATTCTAGAGGAGGGGGGGTCGTCCATAAATGACGCCACAATCCTAGAAGGGAGGGGAGGGGGGTCCGAAATTTTGTGACAGTCACAGTCCAGTGTGTGATGAGGCAAGGGGTTCATTAAAATAATTAAAGTAATGTTAGAAAACGAGTTTGGGTCATTATTTGGCATTTTAGAAAAAGGTTTCAATAAATTGTAATAGGAATTGATTAAAATACTCTGTCATGTTGACAGAGTTTTTGGAAAAATGTCGATGTTTTAAGAAAAATTCAAACTGCTATTTTGAGGGGGTTTGTAAGCTTATGTGTGACATCATTTTAAGGGGGGGGGGGGGTCTGGCTTTTTGTGGCAATGTGTGTGTGGGGGGGAGGGGGATAAATTCCTCAAAAAAGAGTGATGTCATTTATGGATGACCCCTTGTGTCTTCAGACTTTAGTTAGTAATAGTATTAGTTAGGCCTTGCCTTTACGGCTTGTTGGTGTGCCTTAGCTTAGGCCCACTACACTTAACTCTTGACTTACACAATACTACTAGATTCTAGATCTAGATTCTACTAGACTTACTAGACTAGTACTTAGTACTACACATCACATGAAGAAGTTCTTCATTTGATTTTGAAGCTACATCATTTTAAATGATGTAGATTCTAAATTAATCTACATCATATGACATTTAGTCACATTTAGATCTAGATTCTAATTCATTTATTTATATTTAGTCATTCAATTTTAATAATTTCAGAGTGAACTGTTCTTTTTATTTTAAAATTGGAGCTTGCAGACATGGTGATAGATGTTCTCGCTTACACAATCGACCAACATTTAGTCAGGTATTGTTGTTTTCTTTTTAAGTTAAGGCCTAGGTCTAATTAATAATTGTTTTTAAAAATAATAATTTTCATAACAATGTTAGTATGTTAGACCTGCTTCGCATTGGTGATCTGTTAAGTAATAAAAGCACATAAAACCATACACATAGAAACTTTTTATTTTATTTTAGCTTCACTGTTAATTTAACCTGTTTTATTTTTTCTAGACCATTTTGCTGCAGAACTTGTACTTGAATCCACAGAATGCAGCACTTACTGCTGATGGTTCACACAGTAAGTACACCTTGCTGTTTCTGCACCAGTATAAACCACTAAGAAAACATACAAAGCACATATATTTTAGTTTATATTTAATGAATGCGTTTTAAGTAAGGTGATAACAAATTCCTTTTAGTGCTTCACGAAAAGAGCATTAAAATATTTCTTATAACTTTATTTTATACTATTAACTGTTTAAACTTTTTCAAAGACTGATGCCACCTTTTATCTGCTTTTTCTTTGTTTCACAGAGGAGCTTCATAAAGAAATGGCTTTGTCATGTTTTTTGTTTGTTAAAAGGTAGCTTGTTCAAGAAAAGTACAAACTTGTACAAACTTTTTGCTGCCATCCTCAAATACTTGTCAGCTTCTTAGTTTAAAAATGAATTTGTTCTCCTCGGTATAGCTTCAACTTGTTTGGAAGCTGGTTTTAAAAAATATCTGGTGAAATTCTTTTACTTTTCTTGCCCTCATAGTCCACTTAGAAATGACAATTCTCTTGAATTCTTTTTTTCCAGATGTTTTGCAGGTTCAATTACAAAAATACATCCCTTCTTTAGCAATTTAATTTTACTCTTTTATTCACAGCAATGAATTTCAATACCAAAGCATTCATTCGTTGAATGATTATGTGAGGTGATCATTCCATCGTTTTATGAAAAAAAATGTTTTTGTTTTTATTTTTAAGCCACAGTTGAATGAGTGTAGTCTTTGGTCCAATCTACTCGAGATATAAGGTGATTTGAAAAAGTAATTTTAATGAAGGTGTAATAAAACTTTAAAAAATTTAATTTAATATGTGACTCTATGACGTGTAAGCTGGGTGTGCTTTGCCACATAGAGAACCATACATTTTGATAAAAACTTTGTCCTGCGGCTTAAATAAGAATGTTTTCTTTGTTTTAATTTGCTCTTTTTGTTTATTTTCTTAGTTATGGTGGATGATGTCGAAGCACAACAAGAATATGATGCTTTCTTTGAAGAAGTTTTTACTGAATTGGAGGATAAGGTTGATTTTAAAATTAATCTATTTTATTTAGGCATTTTTATATTCTGACATTATATTATATAATATCCTGTTTAACTACAAGAAGACTCATGGTGTTGCCACTTAATGAAAACTGGGACACTTTGTTGCAAGGCTAAACATAGAGCTTGATAGTTAAGCGACTTTGTTGTCAATTATCTACTCTTGACAACAAGTGTTAGGGCAAAAATTTTCAGCAGTTATACATTTCTGTTAACAAAAGACCGAACTAAAGTATTCCATTGATGTCGAAAAGTGGAATAATTGCAAAAAATATGTATTTCCTGTTGAAATGATTAATACTTATACTAATTGATTTTATCAGTACATTTTGTCATTAGTGAAAAAACAACTAATTATTGTATTGTTTTTATTATGTTAGTATGGAGAAATTGAAGAGATGAATGTCTGTGACAACCTGGGTGACCACCTTGTTGGAAATGTCTACGTCAAGTTTCGCAGAGAAGAAGATGCTGAGAAAGCAGTGGCTGAACTAAACAACCGTTGGTTTAACGGCAGACCAATCCACTGTGAGTTGTCTCCAGTGACAGACTTCAGAGAGGCGTGTTGTCGTCAGTATGAAATGGGGTGAGCTGTTGCTTATGTCTGAAATTATTTGTTAGGAACCGTTTTAAATATTTAAAACATTACCATAAGTACACAAATAATAAATTCTTGCTGTCTTTAGGGAATGTACTAGAGGTGGTTTCTGCAACTTCATGCATCTGAAGCCAATATCAAGAGAATTAAGAAGGGAACTTTATGGAAGAGGCCGCAGACGAAGTAGTAAGAAGTATGTTGCTATTTATAAAAATTTTGAACAAAAAATTTTTTATTACTTGATTTAAAAGTATTGCTATGATAACAAGACTCATGAATGCATTTTCTTTCTTGACTGTTTAGATCTAGATCAAGATCACCTCCAACAAGCAACAGTCGTCGTAGATCTCGCTCTCGTAGCCGGGATCGTCGAGATAGGAGACGATCTCGATCACGGGACAGACACGGACGATTTTAATCAAATAAAAACAGAGTTGATTGAAAATTGTACTTTTGGTAATTTTAAATTGTTTTGGTTTGGTTTTTAAATTTAGAAATTTAAAAATGAGTAAAATGTACAAAGCATCTAATGCAGAGGTGAATGTTTCTTATTGATCTATTATACATTAGTAAAATATTTTTTTATTTTTATTATTGTATAATTGTTACTTAAAACTTACTATGATCAACTAAAATTTGTTTGATATACGAATTTTTAAAAATAAGGGACCAGGACTTTATAAAAAAATCCTGAATAATTGACTGAAGCGTTAAATTACAATCCCTGACTCTACGCATAGTCAAATTTGTTTAAAACTCAATTGTTCTAGGTGTAAACTTATACCTACCAACTGGTGCGGTTTGCTTTATTCAGAAGTGAACCATAATTTCAAATGTTTTTCTTTTCATAAATAAATTTGTATTGTGCTGATCGCCTTTTCTGTTTTTCATATCAGAAGTATAAAATACATGTTTATTGAAATTAAAAGTTTAGTTTGTTTGTATACAAATAACTAACCAGTCATCCAAAGATTAAATATTCAAGCTATTGATTTAAAAATACATTTTATTATATACAAACTTGTAACCCTGTACTGTAATCAAGACAAACATCATTTATTCAGAAGCAAAATCTTGGATAATCACAACAGTTGCTAACATTCAATTTGATTTGTGTGTTTCCTAAGATTTTAACAACATAATGTAAATAGTTTTTAAGACAACATGACAAACAAGTAAAAAATAGTCTTGTACTGGCAGTATGAAAAATGGTTTTAGTACAAGAATTTACTGATGAGATTCAAATGTGTGAAAAAAAAATTTAAAATCTGAGCAGTGTTTTTTTTTTACAATGAGGAATGCTAAATAATAACCAATTTGTGACACTAAAGTAATCTGTATTTTACTTGCTAAAATGTTTTGATTTGAGTGAACATCATATTAGTTAGATACTGCCGGTTATATCAGTTTAAGATTGATTTTAAAAGGTACTTCAAGAACTTGAAAGTAACTACGCAAAATAGAGTGAAAACCATAAATCAGATTGCCTCTGTTGCTTTAAACTATTTTCAATATTTTAAATAAATTGTTAAATTTTATTTTTTAAATATATTAGTGTATAAGAATAAAGAATGGTATTCTGATAATACAAAACCATCTAATCCCATGATTGATAACAAGGTTTTCTGTTTAAACATTCATTGATAGAAATGATTCACAGTATGTACAGTAAATGACTACAGGTAACGAGTTTTACTTAGTTGGAACACCATTCAAGCGTACATAAACTCATGACTGACCATATTTAGTACAATAACAAAAAGCACTACAAAATTCTGGTAGCAAAAAATTAAACTCAAACTGGAATATGCATTAATACTACTTTAACATGAAACATTAAAATTATTTAGTACTGATTAGATTTTAAAATCCTTGTGGTTTTTAAATCTAAAAATTGCTTTCTTAATTTTTTTTTCGAGTTTTGAAAAATTAATTTAGAAAAAAGTTTGTTGAACACCTGCATTTACAAAAAGCAAGTTACATTGGAGGAGAAAACTGTAAATGAGGGATACATTTTTACAGGTGGCTAAAGTAAAAGTTATAGGTCCAAAGTTATAATAGGGGTTATTTTTAACATTTTTAAATTGATTTTTTTTCTTCTGTGTTTATGCTATTTTAAGTCTAAAGGAAGACCAAATATGAATGGAAATATGTGTCAAATTGATTGACAAGGGCTTGTAAAATAAAAAGGGAATGAAAATTGAAGTAAAGAGAAGCCTCTGCTTTGTGCTTTCCAGCCAGCAAAAAAAAGGCTACGGCAAATCTACTGTCTTGGATGGTTGTCCATATGGAATGTTTCAAGTTCAACAGGTCATAAAGCTTTGAAATAAAATGTTTCCTGCCTTAAGTATTTGGAGTGTAATAGCAATGGGTTAACAAAGTATTTACAAATACATTGATGCCAATTTGGCAAATAAAACAAAGAGAATGTACATCATTTGGAAATTTCTAACTTCAAAATATATTTTGGACTTTCTGGCACATTTTTCTAAGTTGATCACAATTTAAGTATTTAAAGGCACGATTGTTTTAAAAAATTTTTTTTTTACAAAAATATGGCTTGTAAATGCATAGAGATTTCACAGTCTATCAGTTACTTCTAGATCCTATGGCTTATTTTTTAAAAGAAAAAATAGATCAAAAGGCAAAGAAATATATAAACATTTGATATGTACATTGATTTCTATACAGTTTGAAAAATCACAACCAAATTCATTCAAAATATAAGATACTGGGAAAATGAGTTGATTTAATATAAAAGATAATTTAGAATAATTAAAAAGAATTTTTTTTAAAAATACATACATTTGTTTAGTTTTTAAAAAAGTAAATGCTATTATAAAATATCATGGAAAAGCAGACATTAAAAGTCGTAGGGGAAAATGTAGGTACTGAAAAAAAGCAATTTAATTTGAGCTGGGAACAGCTGAGTTTTTTTTAAAACAACTGTATGGGGAAATTGGTTAATTTAATTAAAAACTGCAAATTTTCAACATCACCACAATGCAATTAAAAACTTATCTCTTCATGTAAAAACAACAATAATAAAAGCAGTACAAATTCAAGACACTAGCACGTAAGTTAGAACCTCGCCTCAAGACACTGGGATACAGTAGTTCTAAATGGTCTATTAAAATAAATACTTCTGACATGCTAAATACTGGACTATACAGAGCTGAATGTCAGTTTTAAGTATCAGGAATGTTTCATCAGTATGTGAACTGTACTCACTATTTGTGAACCGTACTCACAATTTTTGTACCATACTTACAATTTGTGTACCATACTTACAATTTGTGTACCATACTCAGTGTGTGTACTGTCCTCACAGGAATAAAACAACAGATTGTTCCTAACAGAATCCTTAAAGGTCTTTACACAGCCGTTCCCATGGCAGGTGGCATGTAAGGGCCTTTAGTGTCATCCCCATCTCCATCTGCACCACCATCCTTCACAGCTACCTCGTTCTCATAAATATCTTCCTGGGACCTAGATCTCTCCAGCTGCTGTCTCAGCTCTTCTGTCTTAGTGAAGTCGATGTCGCTGTAGTTCAATTTCTCTTCCTTCTTGGCTGGCTTTTTGCTCTTTTTTATCTTTGGTTTGCCACCTTTGAACTCCACTTCTGTGTAGTTGAGTTGTTCTTTTTTCTGAAATTTTTTACAACAAAAAGAGAAAAACTATAATATTTATTCAAGATATCTTTTACACAACAGCAACAAAAATCTGGATTACATGTGATAGACTACTTGAGTTCTCAGTAAGATTTAAACTCAAATGAGTATCCAACTGTCAAGGGTAGTACAATAAGCTTGGCATAGTGGTGACCATTCATGACCTCTATAAACCAAAGAAACTAATGTGTCACTTTAAACAGTGCTATGTTTGCAATTGATGTTATCAGATACTAGGTTTTTGTTTTACAATTTCTTCCTGCACCATCACAAGAACACAGCAGTACATACACATCACATACTGAAACAGCAATTTACAAATGAATTTTTTTTTCCAATACTGATGATGAAAACCAAATGTCTCTAGTTCCTAGATTTGAATAAACACCATGTAAGCTCAATAACTCATGTCTATTTGAGTTCAGTTTATACTATATTTAAAAAGAGTTCAGTTTATACTATATTTAAAAAGAGCTCAGTTAATAGACCTACTGTACTTACAAAGAGTTCAATCTCAAAGGCAATAGCCAGCACTACTTATCAGTACTTTGAATTTAAAATAAAGAGCTCAAACCTTTTTATTCTCTGGTGCAGGCCTACTTTCATGGTCTGGGTTGATTTCCTTGGTAAACATATGGTTCTCTGAAACAAAATGTTAAATTTTCCTTTAACTAATTGAAGTTATGTAAGTAGCTATAATTGTCAGTTAAGTACACTACAATATGATCAGTTAGGCTTTTTTAAAATTAAGGTGTTTTTTTGTACCATAGTCTGGTCTTAGTGGCTCTGTGTTGATGTAGTCATTGTCTATGGGATCTGCATCAAAGCTTTCATCACTTTCATCATCTGGAACATTACAAAGTTTTAAATGGGCATTAACTTTTTAGCATTTTTGTGGTGTTAAAAACTACTTTAAAATTGTTGTTTTTCTGTTTTTATAAAACAATTGCAATAATACATCCCTTGTAAACAACACTTTACTGGAGTTTAAAATAAAAATACCAAATATTTTGGTGAATAAATTGTAAGTAAAAATTCCAAATTACTTTTTACATACAATGATTAAAAAGATCTGAAACAAAAAATTTAATTTGAAAAGGATTTCTGAAGAGGAGCTTGAAACAACTTACCATTGTGCCTGGTAGGATAATAATTTTTTGGCTTGTTTCTGAAACATTTGAAGTCACTTTAAATATAAGTAATATGTGAAGATTCACATAAATGAAAATGAATTTAAACATTTTACATAAAATGATTATATACATTTATATAAAAAGGTTCCCAGAAAAATACGCAATCGGAAAACTGTGCATTGGAAAACTAATTTGTTACTTCAGACCTTTTTATTTAATAATGGTAAGATAAATTATTTTGATAGCACATAATTTTAACAAAAAAACAACAACAAACACTAACCTTTGGAATATATTTTTTCCTTTATAAATGGGATTTCTCTTGGGTGATGCATCCAAATTTCTGGCTAAAAAAATAGCATTATATTAATTTTTAATTCTTATATAGTACTCTAAATGAAAGTAGAATGTTTTTCTGGTTTTATAAATGTGATAATAAATCACTATAATGTTAATAATAATTGTACAAAATGTATACAAGCCTAGCATTTGAATCTATAGTATTTTACTTGTAAATCAACTAACCTGCTCCATTTGTATCCCTTCTTTTTCCCTTTTTAATACTGTTGATAAGTGAGGTAACTCTTTCTGACATCATGGGTTTACTTTAGGTATAAACAAGATGTTAACATGTAATGTAAATGTTACTTTCTGATTTGGGTACATATTAAGTTACAAAAAAATGAAGGGAATATATAGTTTTAAGAAGCATTTTGGTAACTCACCTACTCTCTGTAGTTGTATTGGCAGTTGTCTTCTCTTTTCCTGAAAATAGGAAGTACACTAAATATTCTAAATTATGTGGTTGTCATTTTTAACTTCTAAGGTGCAAAATAATACTTTCTACTTTGCATTTTTATATTACCATTTTATTATTATTAAGCAAAAAAAAAAATTTTTTTTTTTAGTCTAGTACATTTTTGCTTCATTTCATCACAAACATAATTTGGTGTTAAATGTTATGAAGTTAAAACATGTTAACTGCTGTCATCAGGTTTTTTATTCTACTTTAAAAAAAATCCTTATAACTGCTTGTCTGTAACTTTTTCTAACCTGATGGTCAAACAGGTTAATGAAACAGATTTTACCTGTTTCTACAACCATGGCATAAGTAGATTGTGTGGTCAGCACCATGTCCCGACAACTTTGTATCAGGAGCTCATCAAAGCTAACTAGGTTAATACCTTCTCAGGGATAATGTTAAAAGCATTGTTTGCTGTGCTAGGATTTTAAGCAAAATAGTTTATTTAAAATTAAGCTTAAAACCAACTTACTAAATTTCTTTCTCAAAACTAGGAGGTAGAGGACAAGAAAAATGATGACAATAAGGGTCAGAACTCCAAAAACAACACCAACAATAGCTCCAGCAGACAAGGGCTCATCAGGGGCAGCTGTTGAAAAAAAACATAATCACAAAAGAATTAACAAAACGATAAACTAGCTTAAATGATAATCTTATAATGATTATCACCTAATTGCAGTCCAATATTGTAACAAGGACACTGACCATTGCTGTCTAATATTTAAGTGGCAGAAATTGACCACTGTTTATTTTATTCCTGCCCTATGAAAGAAAGTAATGACAATTCACCTTCCGACTTTCCTATAAGATAACAAACCTGTAGTTTTAATCCGCAGTGGCTCAGATTCAGCCTGTCCTAACACATTGATGGCCACAACTTTCATTTCATACTCTGTACTTGCAGACAGAGATTTCACTATTGCCTCATTCCAGACTTCTAGCACCGTCATTGGTTTAATGTTTTCCACAGCAACACTCCATTCACCATCCATCTAAAAAAATTTAATTTAACAATTTATAAATATTTCAATTGTATCATACCCAATATAAATAAAGAGTACAGCAGCAAAGTGAATCATTAATGAAATTTAAATGTTAAATTGACAAAACATACTTTGCTAGAGTATGGCCGATAATGTACAGAGAATGTTTGCTTTTCTCCTCCATCAAAGCCAGAGATCCAGAAAATTTTCACAGAATCATGTTTTACATCAACACTTGTTATATTGGTGACAACATGTGGTGGACCTTTAAGTATTAAAAAAATAGTCAACTAAATCTATTTGCAGTTACAAATATAGTAAAACTTCATGGCATGTATGAAAGATAATTAAAATTATTCAGATTAGTTACATGGATCTAATTAGCTTAATTAACATCTTACCCCTAGGACTGATAACAAACTTTAAATCTCTTTTAAATTCACTAGATTCAAAAGTTACTGTAAACTCCCTGTCCATATCAGTTTGATCTAACTTTCTGCGGCTAAAAAATGTGAACTTTGTCATATAGGGTTTTCCATCATATTTGCTTTCTTTAGTAAACTCGACGTCCTCTGGAATTTTTTCCTGTCTTTTACTGTAAGAAATGTTATCAAAATTGATGTATGTCAGTTTCTTCCCTTGCTGTTTTTTAATCATAAGAGCTTTATTCAATTTTAATTAGAGAATTAAGCTATATGTTTATAATTAAGTAAATTAACCAGGACTAAATAACTTTTAAAATAAAACCAAACTTACCTTCCTTTGACGTCAGATACAACCCTTTGAACAGTTGGTTCTGGGAAACCTCTGATCACAAAAGAAAAACTGAGAGATTTGGGGATTTCCCAAACATAATTTGGTTTTAGTTCTAGGTCTGGGTAAACACTGGAACTGGTTGGTGGACCTAATTTGAAAGAAAATTATCAATAATTTCAATACACTTTTGACAAACACTGTTTAGAAATCAAACTTAATCAACACCATATTGTTAGTCTTTGTAACCATATCAATTTTAATGCTGTAGCTAAGTATCTCTTAATTTTAGACCAAATAATAATGTGTCAGTTAATACAACCAAACACAGTAAAACTTGTACAGACAAAAAATTAAAAATAGGGAATTAAAACTCCAGAAACATTATTACAATATAATTATATACAACTCAAAGTATGACTACATGTGTTTAGCAGTTGAACTAGAAAATCTGAGTGCAGGTTGCATATTTAAACAAGATGCAATTACTAATTTTTCAGACTGGTAGTACTCACACATGACAGACAACTCCATCCTGCCCTCAACTTGTGTCAAAGAGTTACTTCCCTCACATCTGTACACACCACTGTTCTCACACCTGAGATCATTTATTTTTGCTTTACTGGTGTAGAGTTGCTCTAGTATACCTGAACTGGCTGTGTTCAATTGAGGAATGGAGTTGAGTTCAAACACAATTATTTCTTCATCATTAGGAAGAAACCATCTACAGAGGAAAACAGCTTGTTAGTGACTAATGCTTATATTGAGGTAACACAGTAGCTTAAATATTAAGGGTCAAGAAGGAACAGAGCCCATGATTTTCAATTTTCTTTTTAAGATTTTAAAAATAATTATTTTGATATCAATCTATTAATCACAAAAAAACTGACAAATGATGTAAGTAGGGCCCTACATAATAAAAATTTAAATTAAAATATTTTTTTAAAATTAGCTTTTTAGTTAATTCTGATGTACATGTATTCATGATCAGATGTATAATTTGACAATCAACACAAAAATTATCTTTTTAAATATTGTACATTTTAAATAAAGTAATACAATAAATCAAACAGTCATTCTATCAAACACATTTGTATGTCGTAAATAAATACAAAAAACATTGCTAAAAATATCAAACCTAATATGCGGTTTTGGGTTAGCATCAAATGTGCATTGTAGAACAGCTGCTTCTCTTTCCACAATTTTATCACTGCTTATTTGTTTGTCATTTATACTTATACGAGGAGACTCCAGGTCTGAAACACAAAATGTATTTGATAATCAAAATGGATGTGCAAAAATGGTGATGTTTTTATATCAATTTAAAAAAAAAAACTACACTATTTAAAAATAAAATACAAGATCATAATATAAACTCTTTAAAAAATGTAAAGCAACTTACACTGAACATTAAGATTGAAATCTTTTTGAACTGACCCATGAGGGTTTGTCCCCATGCACCTATAGACTCCATGACTGGACCGACTCACTCCTAATGTCAAAACTTTAGTGTCTGCTAGTGATGGCATGGGATCAAAGCTTAAAAAAAACATGGAAGTTTATTAAAAAAAAGGACAATTTTCAACTTATAGTTGATGTACAGGTCACAATATTATTATATTTATTAAAAACTCTGTTAAATGTACCTTGTTTTGCCGTGGGCTTTAAATAACCACTTGACCTCACAAACAGGATAACAAGAAATATCACAAGTATAACTGATTTGGTCTCCAATATTTTTAGAAATCTGGCCATCGCTGGAAACCGCTGGTGTTATTGTCATATCAGCTAGAAGGGGCTTATCTAGAAATTAAACAAAACAAACATACCGAAAATTATTGTTTACGATTAACTTTAAAGCATGGACAGTTGCTTAGAACAAGAAAGAGGTTTTTGATCTATTAAAGCCAACAACATAAGAGGATGTAAAGAAAGAGCACAGTTAAAAAGTCTTCAAATAAATTTCACATTAGTAGTCTTCTAGCCGATTTCAATTTCCCTAATTTGTAGTTTTTCTTTTCATAATGTTTTGAAGAATTGTGTGCATATGTGGTTAACATTTTGCTAACATTTAATTGTCCTTGGGAATTAAAAGATTTTGCATAGTTCACGCTTGCTGAAAGATAAACTTGACAGAGGTGATGAAAATTTAACCCTTTGAGCCCGCCAGGCCGGTAAACCGGCTTCAACATTAGGCATATATGTCCGAAAAGCCGGTTTTCCGGCCTGATGATCTAGCGTCATTTTCCTAGCGGCCGGTATACCGTCTAATTAAATATAATTAGTGGAAGACTAAAACTGCGCATATGTCTTTTGAGTGCGAGTGAAAGTGAAAGTGTTTCCATTTCGTAGCAATACAACTACTTATTGATTCGGATGAAGAAGATAATATTCCTAGTCTATATTGTGATGATAGTGGCGTTGAATTTGAGACTGAACACAGTGACATTGAAATTGACAGTGATAATGAAACTGTTCAAGTACGTTCTGATGCACGTGGTGTCAAGGACAAAGACTTGCCGAAACAAAAAAAAATGTTTACTGGTGCAAAACATGCGAATTTTTTTCTTTGCATCGGGTCCGGCAGTGATCACTGTTTTGAAAGTTATCACACAAAAGTGGACCTCTGGCGTTGAACTAGTATGGCCAGGTATCAACAATAACAAAACAATTACTAAATGTAAATTGGTTTCTTCTATGTTCTATCAAAACAATAATGATGTGTTTGTTTTATATACATTGTTCTGTTCAAACATTGTAAAAAAAAAAAGAATTTCAGAATCTTGCTGCATTGTTGTTTGATCCTGAGTCTGGATACCAAATTTGGCTTGATTATCTCAAACGGTTCAAAAGTTATAGGCAAAATTAGAAGCAGATAAGTAAAAATTGGTTTGGGCCTGGGAGCTCAGGAAATGGGAGAAATTAGGTCAGGGAGGCCAGGGCTCAAAGGGTTAAGAACAAAACTAAAGCACTTAATTCTAACACAAAGAATCAACACAGTGAAGACTTTTTGTGATCAGCAAAAACTACACCAAACCTAAGAAAGTAATGCATAGCAAGCGTTGACAAAACTCCTCTCAACATGCACCCAAGAGAAGAGTCTGCCAAATAAGAATCTATAACAGACCTGCCAAATTAGAATCTTTAACAGGTCTGCCAAATTAGAAATCTCTAACAGTTGCATGAAACAAGCATACCTCACAGTTTCAAAATTTGAAGGATTACAAAAACTAAAATTGGTGGGCTAATGAACTAAGTGAACAGATGCGTTTGCTTATTAGATATTGGTTGGTTAAAAATATTACTGAAAAAAATGGGAAACTTTACTTGAATTTACAATTATACATCAAACAAAATTTGTACAAGAAATAATGCAAAAAAAATACCCACATTCTGGAATCACTTCATAAACATTGCTTGTAGCTGACTCAAGAAGTTTTTCCTTAGGGAAGTCAATAGTTCCATCAGCAGACTTGCATGAAAATTTTTGGCCTTTATCTGTTCGCTGGACAGAACTGAGTTCTAATTCATTCTTAGCATTAATGTTGATCTGCAAAGGGAAAAAAATTGGAAGATATTTTCTAAAATCAATAGTTTAAATGAACAATAAATTAAATAAGTCCAAACTAAGTTAGTGGCCTAACGCCATCTCAAATGATAAATTACTAGGTGAGATGGAAATGGAAGCAGTTTCCAAAGTGATTGAAAAAAGAAGATGGCGATGGATGGGGGACGTCCTAAGAATGAATCCAGAATGAATTCCAGAAGGAATGTGCTAAGCTTGACCCCTCAAGGAAAAAGAAAGCAAGGATGGTCAAGGGAGATGTGGAGGCACAAAGCTGGGAAGCAGCTGACAGAGGCAGGACTGTCATGGGGGACTGCCAGGAAAATAGCAGGTGACCGACAAAAGTGGAGAGAGCTTTCTGTGGCAGCCCCATATATCTTGGGAACAAAAAGGAAAAGATATGATAATGATAATTTAAATTAAAGTAAGCACTATATTTGACATATTGAAACATGAACATGATAAACATAGTCAAAGAATAAGATTCTGTAATTGTTTTTAAAGAAACAAAAACTTACTTTATTTGCTTTAAATCAGCATTTAATTATTATAGGTTTTATGTAAAATAATTTTGATTTTAGTTAAATAATTATAACTTACTCTAGGTTTAGATCCTGAAACTAGGTAAACTCCATTTTGGTCCATCCACCAAACCAGAGTGGGAAGACCATGGTCAGGGGGTAGAGTCAATGAGTTTGTTGTACAAGAGAGTTTAAGTGTTTCACCTTCCAGTGGGCTGGACAATACTGTAATCACTGGGGGATTGGGTTTACCTAGGAGGAATGAAATAATTTATATACTTTAGTGACATCGATCTCATAAATGGGAACAAAAGCTTAACAACTGTTAAATAAGGAAAATAATTTGTAGTATTAGTAATATCTGGATGTCATTATGATAATATAAATCATACTATGATGTACATCTTTTTAAGGAAATATTTCATGTAACATTGTATGTGGGGTCCACTCAGGAATGGATCATACATTGAATAAATAACAATCAGCTATGGACTACTAATCAGCAACTTTGCCATAATTATTAATCACATTTATATTATGTGACCAGCATATAGGGCTCTTAATATCTATTAGTTGACATCACAAGAGTTATGTTATCCAAAAGAATTAGCTTCAAAAGTATACCTAAGGATACATGATGTAAACTGAGGAAATACATAAATACACAATGTATACTCACGTAAGACAATCAGCATCTGCCCACAGTTATCCAGAGAAATATCACTTGAGCCCTGAAAACATTTATAGTTGCCAGCATCTTGAGCTCTCACAGATTTTATATTGATATCCACTTTCCTTTCTGACTTTATCACTGTCACAATAGTGTCATTGGGTTTGCTTGGTTTAAAAGCCCAAGTACTTGGAAACAGATAAACAACAGTACCAACAGTTAAGTTATTTGTGATGGTAATTAGAACAGCATCATTTGCTTGCTGTGTATTGGGTATGATAATTGTCAGCTTGGCACCTACATTTTCTAAAGATGTTACAGCAGGCTGTATCTGGGATGAGACATCTGGAATATAAACAAAACATTTAAAATTTATAATCTTGAAAATGTAACATGTACAGAAATTGCTAGAAATGCTGAGATCAATTATTTAATAATGGGAGTAATAAAAACTTATACTTGCAGTCCAACTATAAATCAAAACACTTTTCTGCTTTTAAAAACTCATTAACACGAAAGAATGATGTTAAAAATTAAAAACAACTGTACAACTCTGTACATTGTTGTATTTTCTTAATAGTACAGTTGTTATAAATACAATTTAAATTAAAAAGTAGGGGCTTCACTTTGAGACAACACAACCAACCAAATAAGATTAGAGTAACTAAATTGAATCAAAAGAAACAGTTGAATCAATAAGATTTGCAGTAAGAGACTAAAAATAATTTACCTTGAACACTAAGACACAATACAACAGACCAAATCAGGAATAAATGTATGCACATCCTTGTCAACTTTGTGTAAACAGCGTCATATGAATATTTTGTTTTTCTTTAAAACCTGTGAAAATATAAAATACCTTATATTTTTACATTGTTTATTTAAATAATATTTTCTATTTTCAGAGCAGGGGGGTTGAAGAATACTGTAATATATATCTCATTTACATTAAGTAGGTACAAAAATTACATGCAGCCAGGCATCTTTAACCTGAATCATTGAAATATGTACAATAATTAACCACAATATGTTAAATTTGGTGGTTTAATATATTTTTTCTGTAAGTGTAGCACTTGTTTTGTTTAACATAGAAACATTTCACTATCTGTGTAAAAATATTCAAGTACTTAAGTGGTTTGAAGTAAGTTAAAATCTTAGCCACCACTTAAGTTAGTTGAATTGGGTTTTTTTATTCTTGAGTTTTACATGAATTATTTAGGTGCTCATAAAAATTACATCCTTTTGTAAGGTTTAGGCAGAGTTAAGAACAATTAAAGCCTAAGCTTGCACACAGAGGCGTAGCGACCATTCTCTGCGCCTGGGGACAAACTTTCGATTCGCACCCCCCTCAAACTTTTGATTTACACACCCCCCTCAAACTTTCAATTTGTTTTTTCCAACCCATTTTGGCGCCCCCTAAGGTCGGCGCCCGGGGACATGTGTCGCCCCCCCCCCCCCCCTGCCACGCCTCTGCTTGCACATCTAGGATGTTGACATGAATCATAAATCTAAGTACTTTTGTTAGTCTGTAGTTCATAATATTCCAGTATACCTAAAGATATAATTGTAAACAAATCAACAGGAAAGTTTTACAGGGAAGGGGAAGAAAAAATAAAGAAAAAAATAATAAATAAATGTACGTATACTCTGTGAAAAACCTATATGTAAAGGACCATGACTTGTGTGTTTAGTAATCAGCATATACCCGGCATTGCCCGGGTTTAGGAAATATATTACTTTTTTAATTAACCCTAATCAACAAACGCAAATGCAAACAAAAACCCAATCACAAACACAGAGAAAACACAAACAAAAAAGCAAACGAAAACAAACCCAGATCCAAACGCAAACCAAACCACAAACCTAAACAAAACACAAACATAAACGCAAAGTGCTCACAGTCTAGCCTGGATGCCAAATCGCACCATGCTGGGGCGCCGGCGGAACCGCCTGCTTCAGCTAGTAAATGACTATGGTACCCCAACTTATTCATAGTCTTTTGCACTCACTTAAACATACGTAGGCACCATAGCAAACACTGGAAGTCCCGGGGTGCCAAATAGCACCATGTCAGGGCGCCGGAGGACACCCGGATTTGATTAAAGTTAAAGACTATAGTAACCTTTCTTATCCATAAACTATCACACTCATAGCACTCAAAGGATAGCCCGTGGCATCAAACCCTGCCGGTTTGCCACTAACGAACAGATATCCTTGTGAGGTAACTAACGCAATCGGTTTTATTACTAACTGAATTAACCTCACTGCAACTACCATTTGTATTTATCTATTTAACTAGTAGGCCTGTTATCTCTACTATTTAGCCAACACAAAACTCTCCACTGGTCTATATTCCTACAAAATGTCTCAGGCTGACCTAAATTTGATAGGGTCAGATTTATTCAAGTAATTTTAAAATTGAAATAGTTCTTTAGTCATATAGGCCAAGGCCTGGCCTAGGCATAGTGAGTAGGGAAGGGTAACAGACAGACACTTTTTAAAATCCTGTTAATATAGCCAATGCCAATATAATAACATATGGCCAAGGCTATAATAATAATTAATAGTAAGAGCCCTACTACAACTACTTATTAGGTTACCAGATGAAAGTAGTCAGTAACTAGAATCTACCGCTTGAACTGGCACTTGTTGAATTAGTAAATAAATAATTGTATGGATTTTGGTAAAAAAAAAAAAATCATCATATAAACATAAAAAATTATATAAAATTTATATTAGAGCTCAACTTATATGAAAACAAAACAAAAAAGATTTTCTTTCTAGCTCAAATAGTTTTTTAGTGTATTTTTTATGAGGGGTGAAATCCCTTTTTTTTTGCGTTGCCCATTTGTAGTATGTCATGGTATACCTGAATAAATAGAGCATAGTTATTTTACTTGCAGTTGTATTTTATTCATATTTGTAGAGTTTAGCTAGAATGATATATAGGGCTATATGTTGTTGAATTGAATAAAAATAATACAGAAAGTATATTTTTGTGTTGGCTTCCTTCCACAACCCTAAAAAATTGTGTGCTGTGCAAGTATGAAAATGTTTCTAAAGTAATGTTTTATATAAATAAATTGAATGAAAGAACTACATAGAAGTCAGAAATCTAAAGTAAACCACCTGAGCACTTTACTTTAATGTGCATACAAGTTATAACTGCCTGATTATTTTTGGCAGGTGAAGTAGAGTCCATCTTTAAACCATTTTGTTTTAAGGCACAATTTATTAAGGGAACTGAAATTAGTAATAATTTTTAATTAGGTCAATTGAATTTTATTTAAAACTATAAAATTAACATGGATGAGTCAAAGAAAGTTGAAAGAGTACCCAATCCTGCAATACAGGTCACTAATCTGAAATCTGAGAAATCTTACTAGAATCTAGATCTAGATCTAGATTCTAGTTCTAGTCTAGATCTAGATGTCTAGATAAAAAATATTAGTTTATAGTTTATAATAGTATAAATAAGTATAGGCCCTACTATTAATAAATACAAATAGGCCTATAAATTTTTTATAGATCTAGTAGTAGTAGGCCTACTACTAGATTTAACTAGATCTAGATCTAGATCTAGATCTAGTAGGCTATAACTATAACTATAAAAAGTAAAAAGGCCTTTTAACTAGAAATCTAATAACTAGATCTAGACTCTAGCCCTAGCTAGAATCTAGATCTCTAATAACTAGATCTAAGTTAAATAAGTTTATTCTAGATTTTTACCTGGTAAAACTGGTAAACAAGTTAGTAATCCGCTGAACAACCCTCTTTTCAAATGACAGTCATAGGTAGGCTACTTCCTCAAACAAGAAGAGTGACAAACACAAAGTTAGGTTTGTAAGTTTTCGTGACCACCTGCTTGAAATTTTTTAAAAGAAGTTTCGTGTAAAAAGAGTGCTATTTTTCACAACGAAAATAGGATGCATTAAGTTACTAATAACTACTAATTTAGACCACTAGAATCACATACTAGACTAAGCAGGACATATAAAAAAAGTAGTTTTAAAAAAGTTAAATAATTAATTAGATACCTAGCTAAAGTAATAGCGGCAAATCAATGATAGGCCCTAGGTGTTTCTATCTTTTGCGTTGTGGGTGTGGGGTTATTTTTAGCATATGGGAATTTAGTTGTTTTTTTTTTGTCAACACAACAAAGACATCTAGATCTAGATTCTAGATCTAGCAATTAGTTACAGTAATAGACTATAGACCGTTACAAATTATTATAATCAGCATTGCTGGCCTAATTTTTAAAAAAAATGGCTTGTGCTGCATTATAGATGTACATTGTGTTTAGGCCTAAACAATAATTTCTGATCAATATTATCTAAAGATCCTAGAGCTAGACAATGTTCCAATGTTAATCATGTTCAGTGTTTCTTCCAGACCTTTTTCTCCGGGGGGGGGGGGGGGGGAGGGGAACTTGAAATTTTCATTCCGTTCGGGGGGGGGGGGATAGACTTTCTTCGGGGGGGGGGGGGTGGAGAACAAAAGCAATATACCAAATCCAGTGACTAAAATAATCACTAAAATTATATTGTTCCTGTTAAATTATTTTGACCCTCCCAATAACAAATCATTAGAATTTTTTTTTGATTTGAGGATGGCCACTTAGATATTAAATATTATAATTTGAAGATTAAACAATTAAATTACATCCGGGTTGACTTAAGAGCACGTGTCTGTCATTGGTCCGGGAATTTTGACTACTCACATGTAGCCTACTTGTCAAATATCCTGTAAGGGAAGTTTAACTACGTGGGCCATTAGTAGTTACTTCTGCTCAGTAAGCTATTCTTACTTCTCATATCCGTACAAAATAATCGGCGGATGGGGGGTGGCGGCGGACACTGGTAAAAGTATATAGGCCTATTTTCTTTATAAATTCATGGGGGGGGGGGGGGGGGGGGGAGGGGTGAACGGCGATGCCCCAGAGGCGTAGCAATCCTTCCCGGCGCGCGGGGACAAACTTTCGATTTGCACCCCCTCAAGCTTTCGATTTGCAACCCCCTCAAATTTTCGATTTGCACCCCCCTCAACCTTTCAATTTATTTTTCCAACCCATTTCGGCGCCCCCTAAGGTCGGTGCCCGGGGACATGTGTCCCCCGCCCCCCCCCCCCCGCTACGCCTCTGCGATGCCCCCTTCCTCCCTGATGTTGAGATGTCTGAAAGAAACTGTATGATTTATATTGTATATGCTGCTGGATATGGAATATAAATAATGAGTGTCACCAGCATTGTCCAAGCCGTTGAAATGCAGCTCCAAGGTTTGTTTGTTCAGATGAGTGTTTTTATAAACCAACCTAAGGCGAGTAAGGAAAGGAATGTTTTCATACTCCGTCGCGTTTGCACAAAATACATGATAAAGGCCTACTGTGATTGGAATTTGAAACAGTTGACTCTTGTTTAGAAATTATATCGTTTTCAAAACATCCAGTAGCTTAGATATCACACATGTTTTCAAATCGGTAACATCAATGCAGGGGCGTAGCGAGGGGGGGGGGGCGGGGGGTGCGGACCGCACCGGGTGACACCATTTAGGGGGGTGACACCAAGGCAAAAAATAGCAAAATATATAGAGAAAAACTCGAGGGGGGGGGGGTGCAAATCGAAAACTTGAGGGGGGGGGGGTGCAAATCGAAAGTTTGAGGGGGGGGGGGTGTTAAATCGAAAGTTTGAAAGTTTGTCCCTGGGAAGGGTCTCTATGCCTCTGGGGGGGTGACACCATTAAGTGCCGCACCGGGTGACACCCGACCTCGCTACGCCACTGCATCAATGCATAATATCTGTTCAAATCTAATGCACATTAAAGTGTGTGTCGTCAGATGTAGGTCTATCTCTCGATCATTCATATAGGCTGTCAGAAATGTAGTCATATTAATACAAAAATATTTGTCGAATTTCGATTTCCGACAAATTACTACTAATAGATTATAATACGTTTCACGTCAGTTGCTTTGCGGAACTTTTATTTTAAAGATGTAGATTCTAGAAATTGCTAGCCCAATGATCGACCTTCCCGGCATCTCGTAACATACAGACATTTGGCACTTGCTGAAAAAAATAATTTCTAGCAGTTTTGTATTCATTCTCCTATTAACATAATTATCTGTCCCGTAGTTTCGACAGTACGTGCGTCTCAAGTGTTCTTTCCCTCCATTCCTTTCCGTACTTTAGCATCTGCCGTGTCTCCCACCTCCCCCCACCCCAAGGTTAACCCCACCCATTCTCTGATGATATCTTCTCATCTTTTCTCCCGCCGGATATTTTTTTTTTGCTCCTATATGTAAAGCTTTTTAATATGTGTAACTTTACTTATTTAGCACCATTAATTAAAATAAAATGGTATCAATAATGTGTGAATCGTAAGCCGGCTCATTGAAACCAAAAAACTCTCACTCTCATGTCATCACCCCACTCCCATAGACATAAACAATTGCTGATTTGCTATAGTTATTAACAGTGTTCGAGGCATCCTTTCGGCGGAGGGGTGGGGGGAGGGGGGTAGAGGGAACTGTACCCCACATTGAGAACGTCCATGACAGATCCCCCCTCTATCATGACATAGGCAAATATTACTTTTAAATAGAAAATATATACTTTAACCAGTGTGCGCTTCCTGCCTTCCTCCTCCCCATGTTTTAAATGCCCCCCCCCCCCACCGAGTGAAATGTTTTAAAGAAATGCTGGTTATTAGTGGTTCTCATATTAACTAGTTTACTTGTTGTTAGCTTCAGGAACTAGCCCATGACTTTTATCTAGTCCCTATCAGAGTTTATCATCTCTTTCTCCGCTCCCCCTAGAACAGTGGTTCCTAAACTTTTTCGAGTGGCGACCCCCTTTTATAAAAAGTAAGTGACCCGCGACCCCCATAGAATTAAAAAGCCGACATTAGTATGGAAATTAATAAGCACTAAAATAAAATTTTCTAGGAGACTTTAATATGAACTACTCTTGATAACTGTTTTAATACGATGCATGCTATTTACTAAACATTCACTGTTAAGTTTTTGTTAACGCCAACCTATGTCATTATCATTTATTATCAACATTCAATTTATTTCTTAATTTTGTTTTTAAATCGGAGAATAGTGATGAAAATCTATTCTAGAAAAGTCAATAAATTTTACGTTTGGGTATGAATGGTGAATGTTACGCCAAAATTGTGCCTGCAGTTTTTCATCTTACGCGGAATCATTATGCAAATCAAAGAATTCATCTTGTAATTCATTTGGGAATGCTGGCAACATCAAGGGAAGAAGAGAATGGGTAATGCGTCAATGCAGATTCTTCTTCTTTCAGCTCAGAGAAACAGCGCCGCAGTTCGGTTTCAAGAGATTCAAGATGCCAGAAATCTCTTCTTTCAAAATTTTAATTATCCCACAATCAGATTTATGTACCACACTGCAGAGTTTCTCAAATGTTCAATATTTCCGAGATTTATTTTCTTCGCCAATTTTGCAGCTTTGATAAAAATGCCCCGAGATTATCATGGAAGGTGATAATATTCGTTAATTTTCCCTGAGCTTCAGATTAAGCTTATTTTGATGTTCAAACACATCTGCTAGGTATGATACTCTCTCCAACTACTCTATGTCGTTTTAAGTATACCAAAAGTTTTGTTTCCTTTGCACTTCCAAGAACAATTTGATTTCAGATTTCAATTCACGATTCACAACATTTCGTTTGACAGCCAGCGTACTGTAGTGTAGAAAAGCAAAACCTCGTGATTTATATTAATGTCGTTGCTCAGTTTTTTTAAGGCTCCAGATTTAATATAATTTACAACTTTTACTAGCAATGGAGTCGGAAGCGCCTTGATGGCGAGTGCATACAGGTGAATCATGCAGTGTTTAGGGAGCTAAATCTTTTCTGTTTTCTGAAAGCCCTATTTTGACTTAAACATAGAATGCGCACCATCCGTACGAATCCCCACAGCCGTTTTAACCCATTTTAATCATCGAGTTTCAAAAAACGTATTTATTTTCTCCATGCTAGCTTCACAAAATAGCAACTCATCTTTGCTATCATCTGAATGAATATAGAAAAAGGCAAGCAACTGCGAACACGAACTCAGTCTGTTGATTCATCAACTTGAAGAGTAAACAATGTTGAAAGCTTAATTTCATTAAAAATTGTTATTTAACATCTACGGACATGTCTGCTATAAGCCGCTGAATAGTATTATTTGTTGCATCTTTACTGCACTGGAATCCCCAAAAATTAACTTCTCCTATTATGTTCTTTTTTTTGCTTAGCATATTCTATCACGACTTCATTTGATGCTTGCACTAATGCTGTGTTTCCTTGAAGAAAACTTTGTGTTCGATCAAGTCTCTGACGTTTGCAACTAACTTCACGCGGACGAGAGAACTCCTTATCTTTTTTTGTTCCGAATTACTCGTCTCAAATGACGTTTTAGTTTTGAAGATTTCATAAATTCATGACTGAGAACAACTTTGTACAGTACGCATTGTTTCTTTTCTATTCCAATTCCAGTTATGCTAGTAAAGCCGAATTTCAGATATTCTTCTAAATATTTATGTTTTGTTTCTTATTGCTAAGATTTAGAATACCAGTTGGCGACCCCCCTGAAAGCCCTTCGCGACCCCTAGGGGGGTTGCGACCCCCAGTTTGGGAACCCGTGCCCAAGAATAAATTTTAAAAAATCATTTATATGGATAATATATATATTTTAACCACTGTCGCCCCCCCCCCCCCCCCAAAAAAAATAAATAAAAATTAAATAAAAAATAAAATAAAATAGTGCAAATGAAGAAACACAGTGTACTTTATTCCGTTAGTTTTTTTCACAAATATTTTCATCTATTTAAAAGAAATTATTTGAAATGAACTAATATCAATTACATAAAACAGTGCATATATCACTAGCCCTTGGACTTGCTCTTAAAAGACATACCCCTCCCCCACCTATGTTATTTTCGGTTATTTACGGTTGCTCGAAATAAACGAATGGCCGAAAATTTTCATCCACTTCCTTTTCCGCTGTTTACCAATTTCTGGTAAAGGTAGCCATACAAGGTATAGAAAAATTATCTATTTTAATCCAATTCGTTTGTTAAAATTTATCAAGTTTAACGTTTATTATCGATTATTAAAGAGTTCTTCAATTTATGATTGTAAATCTATAATTCTTTAACAGTAATATATGATTAGATACAGTTTGATTAACATGTATCGATAATAGGCAATATTCAAATTTATACACGAAGAGCTATAAAATTCGTATATCTAGTTGTTTTATCTTTTTGCTTAGTGCATTTTCATTTTCTCTTTTAATTTACTTACCAATGATATTAAAACCATAATTAAAATGTACCGTCGACTTATGGCGGCCATATCTTTGACTCAATTTTTTAGTGAAGGTTGGCTGCCATCATTTTCTAACCTAGCCACTAGGCTTTTTGATGAGAATTACAGAATGATTTTTTTTATTAAAAATGTATCAATAATAGCTAGAACACTAGTAAACTAAGCTAATTTAGCATATTTTAACTTTCTGTGTAAAGTCATTATTACTGAAAAAAAATTCCAAAGTCAGGTCAGTCTGTGGCAACCTCCAATGAACTTGACAGAAGGAAAAAAAACTTGACCCGTGACCTTCATTAAAACAGAATTTGCTTTTGTTTTTTTTTTAATTTTCAGTATACATGTGCTTAATCTTACCCAATAAGTGATAAAAATTTGAAAATTAATTTTAATTACTGGTGTAAAGTGACATAAACAGCTTAATAAACACGTGTTTTCTTGAGGGGGTGTGGCCCGGGTGTGGCACATCCTGACATCGCATTGTTTGTAACTTTATATTTCTGTGTTTTATGACTATATTTGTTCACAATCAGCATGCTATGCTTTTAATTTTGATAAAGGGTAAGTATACCAAGTTACAAAACCTGAAATCTAACTAATAATTCATACTTTCAGTTTAAAAAATAATGAAAACGATCATCAATGAAGAAAGCGTAAACATTCTATTTTTAGGTGTGACATAAAAAAACAGTCATAAATCTAGCCAAATGATTGGATTCTTGCGCAGCACACATTTTCCCGCGCCTCGTTTTCACTAAGCAAGATTATAATAAAATGGCATTATTGGGGGGTGATCGTTTTCCCACGCACATATCTCATTAACACGCCAAATTATTACCAGTTAATGGTAATGTGTGTAAAATTAATACTTTAAAGTTTACATCTGACATAAGCTGGTTTGCATCTGGAAGCGATATGTAAGAGTTATTTGATATAAAAGACAAGAATTCATAGAGCTACTTTCACTAAGGCGCCGCTTGCGAGACAAACAAAGGAATTAGGCCAAAAGTAGATCCGACAATTCTTAAATAACAGACTTAAATAGAAACGGATAGTTCCGATTTCTTAAATTAACGATGGCTTCGTAATCATTAGTTTTATCGCTCTACCCATTAGTGAAAGCGAAACTGGTCGCCATTTTTGGTAAGCGCATGAGCCGTGAGATGGCTTCAAAACAACAAACCCGGAAGCTGCGAATTCGAACGGCCTACTAGCCACTTCACCAGTAATACAGCCCTCCTCCACCATTAGATCTTAATTTAAGCTCAGAATTAGCAGGTCTAACTTTTGATGTGCTTAACAATTTGATATTCATTGCCTAATGCTGATTCAATGTTTTATTTTCCAGATGGGTATCTCAGTCAAAGATGTTAATGCCCATGAGTTCACCAAAGCTCTTGCTGATTTTTTGAAAAGGTTTGTCCTCTTTTTACCAAGTAGAATCTAGATCTAGTAAAATTGATCCAGTCTAATATATTGCATCTTTTATTTGAGAAGTTCCAATTGTTGATTTGAAATATTTTAACAAAGTATTGTTTTTTTTTTTCAGGACTGGTAAAGTCAAGGTTCCTGAATGGGCAGATATAGTGAAACTTGGCAGATTCAATGAACTCAGTCCTTATGATGAAGATTGGTTTTACATCAGAGCAGGTACAGGTTTCTGCACATTTGTTGACCTTAACTCTGCTTAAAATGTCTCAGTTAGGCTATAATTTAAGATATCTAGTTATTTGGCTTCTATGTAGTCTTACTTAAGTTTATTATCTTCAGCATCTGTTGCTCGCCATTTGTACATCCGTGCCCCCTGTGGTGTCGGAGCTCTGACAAAAATCTATGGAGGTAAGTTACTGTGAACGTTATCACTGAATTCAATATTTTTCCTCAGAGCATTGGTTCTACCAGTGTCAGACAATGAAGTATTCAGAAACAGGAGTTAGGCAGCTAGTAGCATGCAATCTCAGATTTAGGAGCAGAAATTAATATAAAAATAATCCAGTAACCGAATATGGTAGAGCTAACTATTTTCTCTTGCTTGGTCTTGTTCCTACGGGTTAACGCTCTCTTTAATGCATCAGCTATTGATAGACCTAGGGCAGCTTTTGTGTATTTGTTTCGTTCCCAAAAAGCTTGGGTTAAGTGACTATTATATCAGTTAAAATGTATTTTAAATAGGTGGAAAAGGGACTTGCCTTAGTTTAAACTGATACAGTTGGGTCTGGTTAATTTTCTGGAAATTCCAACAGGCCACAATTACGATGAAAATACATACAATTTTAATGAATCATCTAACATTGTTAATTACTTATATTTGAAATAGATTATTCAACTAGCTAAAGTGACTTAACGACTTAGGTGATGGCTTACTGGGTGGACAAAAAAGAAACTTAAACAACTGAGCATTTTACTGAAGACTGGGTCAAATTATTTTGACCATTTTTCTCAAATATTACCAGCAGAAAATTTTGAATTGTTGGCTCGGGAGACAGACTGGCATGCTCAAGATAGTACAAAATGACAATCAGCAAGATGAAGCTGTTTACATTCCCTCTCTGGCCATGCACATTATTGGTTAAACTCAGTGTAGATGCTATTGCAGATATTGTAGGGAAGACCAGGTTTTAAAAACATTCTCCATATTTTCCACCTTTCGGCACAGCAGACCAGACATGGCCACAAGGTCTTTGACCCATGTATAAAGTCAGGACTGTTTTGACAAGGTTGGAAGAAAATACTGCGTCTTTCAAGAGATGAAGCAATTGTTGAATTCATTGGTTGTTTGACCTTCAAACAATACATAAAAGGAAAGCCACACCCGTGGTGCATCAAGGTCTATTGTGCCACAGCTTGCAGCAGGCTTTATATTGCAGTTTGACATGTACACTGGTAAGGTTGACACCTTAATACCAAACAGATCTGGCTTATCCTGTGTTTATGAAGCTGGGTGAACCATACTTTGAAAAATTCCATCATGTCTACTAAACAATTTTGTCTGCTCAGCCAGTGGCAGATCTGTGGTCACAGCAGACCTACTATTGTGTCACAAGGCCCAATGGAAATGATTGGCCTATATCTTTCAATGTAAAGGGCATAGAAAAATTAGGGAAGGGGAATGGAGTTATAGACAGCTTCACAACAATTATATGGATGGACAAACGTCTACTCTTCTGGGTACCTGCACAAGCCCTGGAAACCCAAATGGGAAATGTCGACCGTCCATCTCCAATAACTACCCAAGGTCTATGGATGAAAGAAAAGTGTATCAGCTTATTAGAATATTGCCTCAAAATCTGTCCAGATTGTCTGCAGGAAACAGGCTGGGTGAGACTTCACAAACAAAATTTGGAAAACAAGACTGCAAAGGAACATGATTTGTCACATAAAAGCAGGACTTAAAGTTTGAATGTGTAGCCATTTTTTCTTCATCCTAATTTGGATTATGTAATGGGTTTTTATGTAGTTAATTCATTTCAGGAATATTGTTTTAGAGTTGTGCCCCTTATATTAGGAAACAAATGGGCTGTAGTCAGGCCTCATGGGTATGCATTCTTTTTAGCTAGTATTTGATATGAAATTATTGATACAATTTTTTTTATTTCAGGAAACCAGCGTAATGGAACAACTCCCAGTCATAACTGCCGTGGCTCAAGAAGTGTAGCTCGTAAAGTCCTCCAGGTCCTTGAATCACTTAAGATGGTTGAGCAGGATGCCAACACTGGGTACGTTCAATATTTACAATGTCTTATCATGTACAGCTCTTAATTGTTTCACATTTACAAAAAATTATGTTCAACATTTTATATCAACTGGTGATTATTTTTTGTAGTGGTCGTCGTCTGACAGCCCAGGGTCGTCGTGATTTGGATAGAATTGCAAGCCAAATTAAAGGTGGAAAGAAACAACAGAAATAAATGTTTTTAATTTAATGTCCAGCAAGTGTTACTCTTTTCATTTAGTTTGCTGATACAACTGTGTATTTGTTGTTTTTGCATCTCAGCTGAATGTGCTTTTAAATCATTACTTGCTTTAATTTTCAAAAGGCGAATTTTAAAAATTGTGTGGTATGGTACTGAATGTGATAGTTGACCAGAAAATCCTTCTTTGGTACTTAAGTGTCCCTTTTTGAAGCTTAGATCTTACTTGTACTACTTATAGTTTAACTTTTTCTTAATCATGCACTGTTCAGCAACAGTCTACTATTTGACAACGTTCTGTTGAGCTTAGTTTAAAGATTGATATGCAAGTTATCAAAAGCTGTATTAAGGAAAGAATATTGGGTATTAGACTATTTACACTCTTGCTTTGTGATAACTAGACAAAACTTTGTTCCTTGTTCAGAGTTCAAATCTATTGAATACATTTTTGTTAAAAATAAAATCGTTCATGGACTTTATTAGATCACCTATTTCAGTCAGTAACTAGAAATAACCAGATTTATCAAATTACATTAAAATTAACCATCCAGAAAAAAGTACTATTGAATAGATACACATTTAACAGTACTAACAGTAACAAGCTAGCTACAAAAACAGGAAGACATTTTATGTGGTTGAGAGCTAAACTAACTCGAGTGTCTTGAGTTCAAATCAGTGGAACTACTGGAACGTTCCTGAACCTACCCAACTCTAATGGGTACCTAGCTCACATTAGGGAAAGAAAGGTGGCTGGGTATGGTGCTGCTCACGCTATCCCTTCTTACGGCGAATTCTCTTCTTCGTTCTTAATTATTAGTGTTGAAGGGGAACGAGATTTATCTGCCAGTGGGTTTGAACTCGAGGCTTTTTTGTTCGAATTTATCAACCATGAGCTTTTTGCCGACTCGACCACACCTCCAACACAATTAAGCGTTACGTATCAACTGGTTATGCGCCATTGACTCCGATTTCAGCCTGCTTTTCTTTTTGGATTTGCTTCCATAGCCTTTGTCCAACCAAGAACAAACTACAAGGCAGCAGTTGTTTAATTTTGGAGTTGTCTCTCCTAGAAGAGTCGCTGTTCCCAGCTAACGAGCCTCATCTGCCCGAGGGTTCGAACTCGAGACTTTTCGGTTTAGCAACCATGAGCTTTACCAACTCGACCACGTCTTCCCCGCGAATTCTCTGAAAGCAGATGAACTCTACTTCATCTGCCTATGTGTCTTAGGCAAGAACGGGAATGATAGGTGGTTCAGCTTACTTGTTCCAGCATATTGGTTCTTGGTAAACTAAGCCTAATTAGGCAAGTAATTTGGAGTGATATGGTTAGTCGAACTATTTTAATTCCAGAGTTGTGTCAAGGTTGTCACTAATGTCACTCTAGTTCTTAAAACGATCATTAGCATTGCTAAATGTAGGGTATGGCTAAAGTTCGTAGATAAAGAATCGTATCAAATAAAGGGGCGACACAAGTTAGTCCAGTACGTCTTTTGTAGTATACATACATTCATCCATGTCACTTAACATGAGAAAGGTATTGCCACTTAAAATACAAGGGAGGTAATACGTACATGATATATCTGTTCGAGTTTAACATGATTGTGTACCTTGTGTTACGATTTTAAAAGTGGGCCACCATACCATAATAAATGAATTTAGCATACATTTTCAATCCTTTTTTTTTCAGTTGGGATAACTTGATAAAAAATTGTTAAAGTTATTTATATATATATATATAATATCAGTGGCGTAGCGAGGTCGGGTGTCACCCGGTGCGGCACTTTATGGTGTCAGCCCCCCCCCCCCCCCCCCCCCCCCCCAGAGGCGTAGCAACTCTTCCCGGGGACATACTTTCGATTTGCACCCCCCCCCTCTATATATATTTTGCTGTTTTTTGCCTTGTTGTTACCCCCTAAATGGTGTCATCAGGTGCGGTCCGCACCCCCCCCCCCCCTTCGCTACGCCTTTGAGATAGAATACCTATGGACTCCCTCCCCACAACACAGCTACATCACTGTTTTGGTTCGTTTTCGCTTATACTTAAACTTAAAGATCAAGTTTGTAGATAATTGTCTTCTATAAATTATGTGCTACATTTTTTAAATTTTAATAAAAAAATTAATAAATAAACACAATAGCTCTCATGTTGGGGCCTACACAATGATAAAATAATATATAAACATTCTTGGTGTCTGCTCGTAAGTTGTTAACGCTTGGCCGCTTGGGTCAGACACCGCAGGACAAACAGGAGTTGGGGCATGGTCGAGTCACATCCACTAATGTAGCTTGTTTCAGCTAAAGGCTCAGACGATGATGACATCATCCTCAGTACCATATCGTGGGGGGGGGGAAATATATTCTCGCTGCAACAATCTTCTTTCAGCACCGTGTTTTACACTCATGCCATCAAGCGTTTTACATATAGATCGAGAATAGTTCAATAAGATATATATTTTTTAAAAATCGAATCCGCCTGATTTTTTTTTATTTAGTTTGGGGTATGGTCAGGTTGAGTTTTTTTTTTTTTTTTTTTTTTAGCTTTAATTTAATTCGTACTATATTATAAACTACAAGACAGTTTTCATGGGCGGTGGGGTGTGGTACGACTACTTAGAGGTATGATTAAAAAAATAAAAATCACCACGTATTGTAATAGTTAAATATAGGTTCCAATCAAGGATATGAGTGTCATTGAAGTGGTCGTTAAAGACTCGTTTAACCCCACAGTACCAAAGAAAAAAAAAACCTTTTCAGTTTTTGATATCAAACTTTTTTTTTGCTTGAATTAATTACGTTTAACGAACAAAAAAAAAAAAAAAAGATAGTAGAGGTAGACATAGGCCTTAATTAGATTTTTAGATTAGTAAAAGGTTTGAAGGTGCGAAAGATGGACCAATGACGAGTCTTAACTAGGTCTGACACCTGACATTAATCACCTGTCAATGGCGTTACGTCACGAAATCCAATGATGCGCAGCGAGCCACGAGTCGCTGAACCGTGGAGGAATGTCCTTAATTAATACCGGTCACGTCTCCATAGCGACACGGGCCAGTTACCTGTTTCCCTATACGTCACCTGTCCCTATTGATTTCGGTCTGGTGATGACGTTTGCCTGGAGGCGGGCAGCCGTGCCTGAAGGTCAAGGTCACTGTCTCAGTGTAATCGCGGTCAAAATTATTGACCCCCATCCCCCTCTTTATCTCCGTCACAAGAACAGAATTTGTGTTAAGTTTCTAATCTTGGTACATGGTAGATCAGTCGGGGGGGGGGGGGGGGGGGAATGGGGGTTGCAAGGGGAGCAGAAGAAGCAGACGTATATATTCATTTTCAGGATAGTGGCGCCTTTTTGGAGATTCAGTTATTGTTATTTGGACTCATTTGGCGCATCCAGGATCATTGGGAGAGGATTTTTTCCCAAACTACTTAAAACACCTTTTTTAGAGGGGCAGGTGAAATACTTGACCTCGGCATATGAAGGGAAGGTGTGGTTAGCACTTTTCCCAATCGCCATAACATGAGTTGGGTGGACACATGGAAATTCTACCCGGATTCGAACTCCAAACTTTCGGGTTAGCAGCCTAGCGCCTTACTTCTCTACCATGCCCATGCTACTTTATCCTTCTATCTTATGGACTAAACATCATGTAAAATAATCGACTGAGGAGATTGTTTATCTGGACATCAGCCAACAATATATATATATATATATATATATATATATATATATATATATATATATATATATATATATATATATATATATATATGGCTAGGCTAAAAGTTAGACGATAATGTCAGCAGATCCTGCTTAAAGTATCTCACAACAACTATGGTACTGGTCAGGCTTGTGATGTTGACCAGTGGTTTGCATGTTGGGAGATGATCCTGTATGGGGAGCATAGGACTAGTGATATGGGAGGCACGTCTATATGGGAGCCTAGGACTAGTGATATGGGGAGCCTAGGACTAGTGATATGGGAGGCACGTCTATATGGGAGCCTAGGACTAGTGATATGGGGAGCCTAGGACTAGTGATATGGGAGGCACGTCTATATGGGGAGCCTAGGACTAGTGATATGGGGAGCCTAGGACTAGTGATATGGGAGGCACGTCTATATGGGGAGCCTAGGACTAGTGATATGGGAGGCACGTCTATATGGGGAGCCTAGGACTAGTGATATGGGAGGCACGTCTATATGGGAAGCATAGGACTAGTGATATGGGGATCATAGGACTAGTGATATGAGAGGCACGTCTATATGGGAAGCATAGGACTAGTGATATGGGGATCATAGGACTAGTGATATAAGAGGCACGTCTATATGGGAAGCATAGGACTAGTGATATGGGGAGCCTAGGACTAGTGATATGGGAGGCACGTCTATATGGGGAGCCTAGGACTAGTGATATGGGGATCATAGGACTAGTGATATGGGAGGCACGTCTATATGGGAGCCTAGGACTAGTGATATGGGAAGCATAGGACTAGTGATATGAGAGGCACGTCTATATGGGGAGCCTAGGACTAGTGATATGGGGAGCCTAGGACTAGTGATATGGGAGGCACGTCTATATGGGGAGCCTAGGACTAGTGATATGGGAAGCATAGGACTAGTGATATGGGGATCATAGGACTAGTGATATGAGAGGGCCTGGAAATTGTAAAATGGAAAGCTCTACACCTTTTACAGAAAAGTACTCTTTTTATATCAAACACATATAAGTAGGCCTACATTTGCATGTGATAATAGAAAGGGATATGTAAAATGTTAGCGGAAAGACTGTTCCTCGTCGGTTGTTGAACATTTCGGGGTGGGGGAAGGATACATTTCCTGGAAAGGGGGCGACGAATACTGGTATAAGTATATATTTTCAATATTTTCTATTTAAATTCGATTTCGTTCGTGGGGGGGGGGGGGGGGGGGGATGGGGGGAGACGACGAAACCTCTTGTGGGAGATACTTAAAATGTCAGGAGGGGGACGACGACATTGGTTAAAGGATATAATTTCTTTAT